TATTTTTGAGAAGTGGGGGGAAAATGTGTAAGAATATGTACTGAACAAATATGCATGTGTCTACTGTATGTATCAAATGCTATAGGTACAAAACCTGTTGCTTTACAAATACTGGTGCCTCAGATGTGTGACTAGTCTTCCCTTCTGCTTCAAAAATCATTTGATTAAGGTGTATGTGCCTGCCAGAGAGTTGTGCTTTGGTCCAAAGTGACATTTCTTTATTCAGCTTTGGATATTTAAACCTGAAAGAGTAATTCTGGTGTCGCGTGGCACCTTTCAACTGAATTGTCAAAACAACCCATGTTTGGGGAATTGTAATTCTAAGAATTAGGCATGGATTTGTTGACTAGTACTTCTCTGGTACATCTGGGCATTTTCCTATGGTACTTTGTGGCTAAAGAATTTAAGGTGGTCGCTATTTGGACTTTATTTCTGATCTGCAACCTACAAGAGTTTATAAAGAAATAGTTGTGTACCAGCTGAAGGGAGCTCTTAGCCATGACATTTGTTGTTCCAGCCTTAATAAGGGGGGCTAGGCAGTAACAGATTCAAATAAGTGGATTTATTGTGTTAATCTTATAGTAGCAGCCCTTCAAGAATGTGTTAAGCAGCAAGGAACTGCTCAGACTTTCATAACAAATTTGCAAATGTATTTCAAACTGAACTGTTCTGTAGGGATCCTTCAGTTATGAGATTCTAGATCATTACAAGAGGAGAAACAGATCTGTATCTTGCATTTCTATCTTATATATCTATTCTATACTGATCTATGTTGAAATGATCTCTGGGGGCAGATGCTGGATTCATGGATCAGTGTCCAGGTATTTTAACATTATTAGGATTAATGTAACTATCATTTTCTTACTAAACACGGTTCATACAAAATAAGAAACATTCAGCTGTAAGCAGGATTTTCTATACTCTGTGATTTGATTTGCTTTACTTAAGGTCATAATTTTATTTTAGAAATGCACTTCTATTTTTAAATATAGTTCAGTGTAAATAGTTGATATCTTGTGTGAATCATAGTGAGACACAGTCAGAACCCCATATTTTTGTGGGTCTGATGGTCACCTTTCTGCTGCCTACCTCTTATTTCACCAGTCAATTCAATTTATTCCATAAGTGTTACGATTAAGTAGCACAAACTAAATTATGGTTTTATTTAAGTTTTGGCATTTCACAGCATTTTCTTTTTTTCCTCTTATGTTACCCGCTTCTCCCTAAGATTCCTGCTTCTTATATGCATGGATCTGTTGAGTCAATTATGCATATATAGGTATCATAAAGGAACACAGATGTTCATAAATAGTTCTTGCAAGATAAAGTTTAATACATGAGTGAGGCAATGTTTTAAGTCCCTGAAAATGAATTAAGTTGTAGTAGTATCAGATGATTTCTGTGTTGTGAGTATGGCAAGACAATTGAATCCGTGTGAAAACTCATTGTTCTTCTGAACTTAGAGAAATGTTAAATTGCAGTGAAAGACTAAGAAGGAACTGCCATTTCTAAACCTGAATCAGGGCTCATTGTATGAGATTAAGCAAGTTGTTTGCCAGTCTTTCAGTTTCCTTAGATATAGAAGGTATTGCTTTCCAGAATAGAAGCATTTCAAGGCCAATGTTCTTCAGTCTGTGTGAAGTGCTTTGGTACTGTGTATCAAACAAGTGAATTTAAATTAAACTACAGTTGGGGTACTCTTAACGCCTATATAGTAGTGCAGGCGCTTCTGCCCAGGAATGGCAAATCATATTTCTAAATTAAGACATATTTTTAGTTAAGTTCAGAACAGAATTAGTGTTGTATCCTGGGTATTGAATGTACTCTTCTGAGAATTTTAAAATTTTATTTTAGTTACGATGATCATAATATTGTCTTAAATTTAATGGGACAAGTGTTACTTTTTAAACTTGCGTGTTCTATAGCAGAACTCTCATAATACCTAGTCTTAGCCTGTTTTCTTAAATACTTCCTTTTATAGTTTGTATTATAATCAGAAGAGCTGTGAGTTCTCTGGGAAATGGGGATGTGTTGTATTCTTTATTAAGGCAACATGTGCCAAATCCACAAAAAAAGCTCAATGAACAGCACCCACCCAAAATAAAATATTCCTGCTGAGAGCACTTTGTTACAGAACAAAACTGCCTGTTAGAACTCACAATTCCTGATAAATACTAGAGTTTGCAGCTTTGAGATGTGCAGGAAGACATTTAAAGTTTGTTTATTACCACATTGTTTAACAGATAATCTATTTCTATACTGTCACACATGTCATTTCACACTGCAGCCAGAGTTAATTTTTCCAGTGACGGAGCAGGGCAAAACATGGCAAAAAGCCATTTCAAACCATTTGGATAATTTTCTTTCACAATCTTTGGACATTTTGTTGATGAAAACATACATTTTGCGGTTTTGAAGATTGACTTTCTAGTTAATGAGCTTTCAAGGTGATGCTTGAAACTAACTTTATTGAAATTAAGGTTGTTCAATACTTTGTGAGAGTTATAACAGTCTCCCAAGTGAGCACAAATGCACTGCAGAAAACTGGGCTTAAAGTACAGGGAACACAAATTATTTTAAAGAGTCACTTGTTTCTGATTTTAAGTCTCAATACAAACAATTTCCAGATGGTTGCACAAATCCCAGAACTGTGTGCCGCCCTAAATATTAAAAAACATTTTTTATAAATGAAGAGATATTTGCTCTTTGGGGTTGCTTTTTCTTTTTAACTAATTCTTTTTTCCACACTGCTTTGAGCAGCTGTTTTCAATGTTCACCTTAGTTATGTTTATATTGGGTGCAGTTGAAACCTATTTAAAAACAATAATTAAACACATTAAGTACATCCATAGTATGGGTTTCCAGAGATTTAGATGCATAGAATCAGTGAAGTTGTTAGAGTGGTTTTCTCCACACTGGCACAGCCTTTTAAGTAGTGCAGCAAGCTTTTGATTTATTCAGTACTAGTTTTCCTTCCTCTCTCCTTACAGAAATCTGGATGTAAGAGAAAATTGAATGATTTATCAGTGGTTCTTTTCAATTTGTAGACTTAATGCTATCGATTACACTGAGATACACAGGAAATTCAGTTTCTCGTCCATAGATACAGATTTAGGTAAACGTGTCTAAACTAGAATAAGAATTTTACATAGAGTAATCCTTTTTTAAAAAAACTGTAGCTAAAGTAGTTTTGATCAGTATATGGTAAGCCAAATTCTGCCCACGATTATCTCTTTGGAAGCTCCTATGATTTTTTTTCTGGTGTTGTAGTTCTGTGAGAATAGAACTTGGTTTTAAATAATTAAGAAGTGCAGAAATCTCTGACATCTGCTGTCAAGAGTAAGGAAAAATCTTCCTTCTGAAGATGAATTCCCCAAAATAAAATCACCATTTCATCGTTGTTTTAATCAAAGCATTTATAATTTTAAGCTGCGGGTGAAGTTATCTGTCTTTTGCTGCCAGAAACATGAATATATCTGAACTTGTGGCCTCTTACCATGCGTACTTGTGTCATCCAAACTGCAACAGATGTCTCTGAAATGTATTAGAGATTGTGTAAAACTTGGTTTACTTCATTTCATTATTTCCTATGAAGACTAGCATTTCCAGAAGTTTTCTAAGCTGCTTCGCAACTGACACCCAGCTAGCACTAATTCTGCGTCCTTTAGAATGGGTGCAGTTCTTGTGTACTTTCAAAGAAAGTTAGGCCATTCAGGTACGATTGAATTGAAAGACAAAATTCCTGTCTTTGGAAGGGCTTTTTTTTTTCTGGTGTTTTTTTGTTGTTTTGTTGTTTTTTTTTTCTTGTTTTCTGTGTAACATGATATGTTCTGTTAGCTTTTTGAAATGAAGTGCCACTTTTATGGGAAATGGCGCAAAAAAAGTTTGAACTGGAATTAGGGTGGAGAGAGATTCTTTCCTGTAAAGATTTAAAAACTGTTTTGCAAAATTTCATTTTTCCTGGGATAACATATATAGGGGCTAAAAAGAAAAGAAATACGAATGTCAAAAAGTCTGGAAAATACAATTTGTTGCTGAGATGAACTTATGAACAAGAAAATCACTTAAAGCGTTTCTCTCCTGTTGCATGCTTGTTTTCTGTGTAACATGATATGTTCTGTTAGCTTTTTGAAATGAAGTGCCACTTTTATGGGAAATGGCGCAAAAAAAGTTTGAACTGGAATTAGGGTGGAGAGAGATTCTTTCCTGTAAAGATTTAAAAACTGTTTTGCAAAATTTCATTTTTCCTGGGATAACATATATAGGGGCTAAAAAGAAAAGAAATACGAATGTCAAAAAGTCTGGAAAATACAATTTGTTGCTGAGATGAACTTATGAACAAGAAAATCACTTAAAGCGTTTCTCTCCTGTTGCATGAAATGTTATTTCGAGTGTAACTGGACCCAGAGATCCCAGTCAAAGTCAGAGCCCTTTGTGGGTTTTACCCAAATATTAGTCCCTTGCTCTTAAATTTTAGTTAGTTTCAAAGCACGTAATAGTTAAATCTCATAATAAGTCTCTGGAAAAAGTATGTAAACCTAATTATAAGACAAGCCAGTAACCAATGTGGACTGCTTTAAGCATGTGTGACATCGTGTTGTTTCCTTCAACTGGACAATCATGCAAATGTTGAATGATTTAGTATTAGTCTATGGGGGTATGCACTCCTAAAATCTGGGTTTTCATTCTCTTTCAGTTTCCGAGTAATGTTTGCATTTAAATGTTACATGTATGTCCTGCCATGTTCATCTATTTGTTGTGTCCCAGTCAAAAAGAGTTGGCAAATCTTTTGTGCATAGGTGTATTATTTTTCCTAATGGCTAGAATATTTCTGAATGTTTGGTGAATAAACCTTAAAACAAACATGCCAGAAGATCACAAAGACTGGATAACATGTCAAGCATTCAAAGAATATTGAACTTTTTCATATTAATTATAGGTTAATCCTTTTCTCAAATAAATAGCACGTCTGTACTAATTGCTGCTTTCTTCATTTACAGATGCAGAGCCACGGTACTTGATTTCAGTAAGACCAGCACGCATTTCAAATAAGAAGTCTTGTTCAGGTATTTTACCATTACGGCATCTCTTTCTTGAAGTAGTTATATGAAGACAGCATCTTTTACTGGGTTTCTCTGAAAAGATATTTGTAACTGCAGGTGCCTGACTGGAATGGACAAATTCCATATGTGGAAAGGTAAAATGTAGCACAGATGTAGGACAGTACTTCCTAGTCAGTTACTAGTAGCACAGGTGGTGTTCAAAACATGAAGAATCACCTAAAGATTGTTCTTGTAAAAAGTTCTTGCAAATCGGAATTGAAATTTAGAATAATAATTTCTGATGTTTAAAAAGGTAACAAGTGCATGCCAAAAAAGTAAAAGGTTTTAAGTACAGTGATCTGGTGTATTGAAGTTACTTTTACCAAACTACCAGTAAGGGTTCCTTCATCCATGGCCTACTAAGTTTGCAGATGCAAGGAGTTAAGGAAAGAGGGATGTTTCTAGCTTAAAGTGTACATAGCAGAGCAGAAATATGAATTTGATTCTTGTCTGTTCCAAACATTTTCTGTATGACCTTAATCATGTCATTAACACAGTTAGTTTTTAATTCCTTACTTAAATATGGAGATGACTCTCAGGCTTGTTGGACGGTTGCAAAGAATAAACTGAAAGTACTTATGTATATGTTTATAGTTTGAGACAAACTTTTTATAATGGCCTGTTGCAATAGGACAAAGAGTGATGGTTTTAAACTAAGAGAGGGTAAATTCAGACTAACTATAACAAAGACATTTCTTATGGTGAGGGTGGTGAAACACTGGCACAGATTGCCCAGAGAGGTGGTAGGTGCCCTGGAAACATTCATGGTCAGGCTGGTCAGGGCTCTGAGCAGCCTGATCTAGTTGAAGAAGTCACTGCTTATTGTAGGGGGATTAGACTAGATGACCTTTAAAAGTCCCTCTCAACCCAAACTAGTCTATGATTTTTATATTATTTTTTTTCAAATTCTTTGTAATTGCTTGGGATTAATTTCTTCTTGCTCTTGCCCAGATGTAAAATAGTAAAATAGAAAGATTTTGAAAAGTTATTTACCTTTTGGACATTATTAATTTCTGTATCTTGAGTTTACAGAAACTGATTTGTGGAACAAGGTTCAGATAATTGACTTTTCAGTCCAGCAGACAAAGGTTTAAAAACAGCTGTTGGTTAAATGCTAGCGAGATACACAAAATACACAAGTCTTTCTAGTTGTGAGAACAGTTAAACCAGATAAATTACCAAGAATTATGGTAGAGTCAGAGTTGGTGCAATTTTAAATTTAAAAATGAAGACTGGTTACATTTCTAGAAGAGACACTATAGTTCAAACTGCGATTCATACAGAAGAGTTATATGGTTTCTATTCATATAATTCAAAATAAATAATCACCAAGGTAATTCTTGGTCTTACAGTGTATAAATCATTGCAATTTTTAACTGGGAACTAATGGCATAATAATAGTGATAATCAAAATCATATGTAAGTCCTCTCAAAAACCAGAGTGATTTCAAGTTACATGAGAGCCTGTTTTTTCTCTTCCTTACAACTCAGATATTTTGTGAATGATCAAGCTCTTACATTTTAAATTTTTCTTTAAAAATGAAGACTGTAGGAACTGGTCCAGAAAACAAGAAATTATTCAGAAATCTGCCCTTGTGGAAGTATCATGTGCTCCATGGTATTTCAAAGCATGTCATGCTTTGTCTTAAGGGTAGAGAGTGGTTTTGTTTGTTTGTGGAGTTTTGGTGGCAACATACTCATCATCAATATAAAGTAAAAACCTACAGGGTTACTGTTTCTAAATGCACAAACATGCATTGGTTGAAAGTACGAAACAGATTTTCATTTGGGATTGTTAGGTGAAGAGATATTAGGGGTCAAAAGGCATGAAAAGAGAGTTAGTCAGATCTGTTTCACAACAGTGAAAAATATAACCCTTAGATCAGTGGCTTATAAACTTTTAGGAAATTTGGGGTCATCTGTACATTTTGAGGAGATCCTTTGGATTTTTGAAGTATATAATTTGATATAAAGAATATATGAATTTACTTTAATTAATCATCTCTCAACACCAAAGGTTCTCCTTAGATTTGTAAAAGTCCACAAACTACAGTTTTAAAATAGTTGCTCTAGATCATGTCTTAATTTCCAACTATTAGCTTTTTAGCTTTGTTTAAAGGCTTTTGCCACACAAGAGTTGTGGCACTTCATTCAGAGCAAAGCTAAAGTTAAGAATCATGCAAAAACTCAACAGTTTCAATGTAGTATGTGATTAAAAGAGAAAAATGCCACCAGATACAGACACCAAATAAGATCTGCCTTCCCCTAAAAGTGAAAGAAATTTTTGTTGGTTTTATTTTACTCTTGATGAAGAATGCTGTAGAAAATATGAATTATCCATGGATGTAGTTGCAGTGTTACTAAGAGTCTTGCCAAGAAGTTCCAGTTTCTCTCACATGTAAAGAGAGACTTCCTAATGTCCTGAACTCTGTGTAACACTTTCTATGACGCAACCAAGATTATTCAAAATTAATCTGCATAGAGCTTATTCTTATACTAAGCATACAAAAACCACCTGGTGTTAATTTTCAAAAACTAGATTTAATTGGAACATAGGCTGAAAAAAGAAAAATAGTTAAAACATACTGACAAAATTGAAACACAGTTTAGTAAACAAGTCTTCCTTCTACCCACCAAATAATAGCAAGAATTCCTTTAGGTGTGCCCTGGATCTGCAAGTTTGGAAGTGAAGTCTTCCAGTTTCTTCCCAAGTTGAAATAAATGCTGTGCAATTCCAGAGGGGACCAAAAAAAATAGCCTTTGTGAGGCTTGTGTGTCTGATACCTGCTTTCTAAAGTAGTCTCCTAATCTGTGCTCCTGCTGCCTACTAGCTGTATCCTTCCTTCCTTTATGCCAACTTTGTTCTGCACTTCTTTCCTCTGTTTGCACTCAGCTGGCTTCAGAAAAGGAGCAGCCTCCCTTCCTTGCAGATGTTTCACTGGCCTCAACAAGAAGCCAACAAACAGATCTCTGCCTGCTTTTTTACATCATGCATTAGAAATGGTGACTGTGAAAAAGAGGGAGAACTATTGTACCTTTCCCTTCAAATACAGAAGAGAAATAGATCTTAATTTACTTTATTATCCAACTGCAAAAACTTCCCCATAAATAATGCAGGAGAGAGAAACTAACTTGTAATTGGAATTAAATGTTTCTTATGTAGGTCGGACCAAGACCCAAAAGCCTCTGCAGCTGGTAGTTGGCACTCTCACCCCAACCTCTGTGTTCCTCTCTTGGGGCATCCTAGTCAACCCTCAACATGACTGGACAGCAACAAGTAGCTGTGCTAGTGACAGGTAACATAAAAGAAAACTCTTTTTTTATTACAATCATGATTTAATCCAGTGTAGTTATCTGGTGTGGCTGAAGTAAGTTTGACAATGGAAATTAGGAAGTTGGAAGCAATAGTTCTGAAAGTGAAGTAAGTTTTCTCACTTACTTAAATTAGTGCTTCACAGGTCTTTGCTTGTCTTGAGTGCAAATTTAGTCAGGTGTCTACATGCTGGAATGCAAATCTTCCTATTTTATAGTAGATCCTTTGCTCTTAAACCAATGGCCTTGGCTCTACCTTCATTTGTATCTGAATGAATTGAAAGAAACGTTATTAAATCATTGGTTTAAAGTAGGCCAAATAGAAGTAAAATAAGTCTTTTGCTGTGCTGCGGGTAGGGGAATGATGTCTTGTTTTAATGCTACTTGTTTCCTGTATGTGGTCTTACCACTGCACTACTTTCCTGATATTGATACAGTACAGGTTTCATTAATTTTCTGTTATAAGTAAAAGAAGATCTCTTCTACTATAACATTTTTGGTTTTCTGTAATTATTTAATGAGTAGTACAGCAAGTGGGGAGCTCAGGAAAACTCATCAAGTAGCAGTTTCAAGAGAAATTATAGCGCTGGGTAGCTTCTCAATTAAGTGCACCATTACATTTTAGGCAACTCTTGGCAGATGAGTAAAATTCATCTGCTGCAAATATTGAAATTGTTAATACAGATGTTTTCCCTGTTCTATCATTTGGGTGTTTTCTTTATTCTTTCTTTTATGATGGAAGAAATTTTTTTTGGTTTCATTTACACCCTGTGAAGCTCCATTGAATTTGGCAGTGTTTTGTAAAACCAAGAAGGAACTTTGTGCACCCATGTTTGGAATGCATCTGCATCTAGTTTGCAACGATCATCTTTGGTTTTTTAATGCATCTTTGCATTATTGAGAACACATTCTTTTTTCCCTATCTGTCTAATTTTTGTCTAATTTGTAGCTGTCTAATTTACACTTGAATCTGCTTACTTTGGTGTTGATAATAAAACTCCCATATATACCATTAAACTGGATGCCAAACATAAATTATATTTAAAAACCCATCCCTTGTAGCCAATATAACCTTTTTCTTACCTCCCAAAAGTTTTGGACAAATCCTTTTCAAGCTTCAAAAATTTCTCATGAACAAATGTGATTCTTTATCACCAACCAAAATTTCAAGCAGTATTGAAGAAACAACATTAACGTTCCATAGGAAATTGCTATGGAGTATTAGGAAATATCCAAACATGTAATTTAATTAGATTTTTTTCAGTAGAAATAAAAGTTGTTTTGGATTAAATTTTGTTCTCTCAATCAAGAAAGAACCAAATGATTTCCTACAGTTAGAAATTGAAGAAACAAACTGATCATGGAGGAGCCTGTAAAGTGTTCTGCCCACATAATGATGTTAGCACCATTTTTACCATGGAAGTAATCCTCTTTGTGTGCTGTTTCAGCACCAAAGTTACAGTACCCATTGTGCAGTGGAAATGAAGAATACTTTAGAAGAAAACTATACCCTGTATTAATCCAGCTGGAGATTCAAAGCATATGGTACGCACCACAATGCCTTCATCACCTTTGGTTTTTCTCCTCAGTAACTAAATATTCTTGTTGGACGTTCATTGCCTCCAAGTTTGAACAAACTCTTTAACATAGTATGTAACGTTTTCCACAGTGCGGTGCTAATGGTGTCTTGCTATGTTTAGAATATACTCTATATGTTTGTTTTTACCATGTCTGTGTGTCAAGTAATGGTATGCATCTCCCAAAATTCTGGTTCTTTAGTTAAGTGTTGTTTAGTCCAGTTAGGACTGATTCCTCTCAGGTGTTTACTTTTAATGAAGCCCTCCATTTTAATGAAGCGTTGTCAGTTCTGCCTAATTATTTCCATTTTGCGCCCATAAGAGGACTTGCATATAAGAGTTGTACTGTTCATCTTGTTTGAATATCTCCCTGTACAACTGTAAAGATACACTGACATTGATGAGTAGCTAGTTTAAAAATACTTCAATCAAATTACAAGCAGTCATAGTGAAGTATGGGTTATATACTTATAGGTAGATTTCTATTTTGCAATCAAGCATAGCAATAAAGTTAATGAAGAGAAAAAAAATCATTTAAGTGGTGCTCCTATTTTGTTTACCTTTACCGGACCAAAATGCTTGTGGCTTGCATAAATTATGAGAACAATTCTCCACCATAGTGTGTATTTCTATAATTCCTAAGAGAGATTGGATCCAAATATATTTTTAGTCAGTATATAGAAGAAAAATTAATAATTTCTGATAATAATTTGTATTTTAATGGATAATGTGTAATAAGAAAAAATTAGGAAATAGTGCATCCTTACCAAGTTAGCATCATGTTAAAAGAACAAGACTTAAAATCAGATAATGGATTCATTTGTATCTATTGCAGGGGCAGTCCACTTACTGGATCTTATTTTGTCTGGCACGTTCTCTTTACTGTGACATGTTCAAATGTACTGTTAATCATCTTCAAGATTGTTTTATAGTGACTAATCTCTAATCTTTGACATTTCCAGTATGTGGCAATTATGACCTCTTAACTCAGTTCTGCTGGTTAATATCCCACCAAGTTTTAGATTTGTAACTCTGTATGACCTGAAATGGAGTCACTGTCCTCAGCCTCAGATTTTACCATCTCTGCGTGGATGTTAAGCTTTTGTACAAATGTTGCATAATATAAGCTAGTTGAATATGTTACTGACTCAGAAGATGAAAACCATATGGAACAGCATGGATCCGTTGGCCAAGAGGTTGTCTAGTGTGAGTTTGATCTCAGTGGGATATTCCTTAGAAGAGCAAATGAGCTTTGAAATAAGAGGTGCCATGTTTTCAAAGAGCAGTGGTATCTTTTATTGCTTCAGTGAAATTGTTGCTTGCTTAATGATGGCACATAGTGTTCTTCTGTACCTACAAAGTGCTTTTTAAGAAACTCCAATGAAGAGAAATTTCCTGTGCCATTTTTTTGGACAAACCATTCTTTGGTTGCTTAATTCTCTAGAGATAAACCAATGGAGTGCTATATATTTCCTGCAAGATAACCCCAAACCTCAATTTCTCTTGGAAGCAAAGATAATCACTGCCATTTGTGTGGACTGAAATTCTTTGTAAGGTCAAATTTTAAAGTCTCCTTGAAGGCGTTATCATCTCTGGTGACAGCCTTAGCACTAGAATGCAAAAAAAAAAATCCCAAACAAAAACCAACCAACCAAAACAAAACCAAAAGACCCAAACCAAAAACCTCAAGTGATTTGTTTAATTTAACTGATGAAAACTACTTGTTGGTTCCACCAACGATGTGGAGTTAGCTTTCTCAACATCTTCTGTTTTCTGACACCAATATGAGGTAGTTGATGGCAGAGGACTGTCAAAGTCAGGATAACCTGCTGCACTGTCATGTTCAGTTCCTCTTTTTATATCTCCAGGAGAGTAGAGACTTGTTCTCTCTACTCTCTATTTCATGAAATATATCTAAGTTAAGAACTTTGAAAAATTTACATTTATATTGTTTACATTTTTTTGCCTATGATTTAAATGTCCTAATGTCATATTTGCAAGTAGTACAGATATTGTGTTTTACTTAATTTGTATTTTGTGCTTAAAGAAAAATAATTATGAAAAATAAAGAGAGGGGGGAAAAAAGAGAAGAATCCATACTTACTCTTTATGTTGTACAGCACATAGCACATAGAAGTAGGGTTTTTAAATCCCTAGATTCAGAAAGATGTATGCATGTACACATTTTTTGTGCATTTCTACAAATCTGTGTCACTATGCAGCTGCCAACTTAATCATACATTGTGTTGCAAATGTCACAGAAAATGTATTTTAAACTTAGCACAATTCCTTAAGGAAAACATACGGCAGCAAATAAACTTTTTGCATTTCAAATGCTTTTGAGTTACTGCTGTGGTGTTTAAACATGGAAAGATTTATTGGTGGTCTTCATAACTTCTAACTCTTCAATTCATTTCAGCCTTTATACTAAAAAATTTAAGTGAAAAAAAGTGAGTGATTATGTAAAAGTGAAAACTAAATTAGAAAGTACTTTGCAAACCTAACTGGTAGCCATCGGCGACATAATTCTTTCCATCTTTTAATATATGTCAGTGTCTGTTACTTTAAACTAAACTTGGCAACAAAAAGGAAACAATATGATCAGCTTTATGTGCCAATATATTAAACACTCAGTATCTGAAAAACTGGGGTTCAAACCATTTATTTTATTACTTTCTAACACTAAATGGATACTGCGCTTAATATGAAGTCTAACTATAAACAAATAAATATACGTATGTGTATGCTAATCAGACGTTTAAAAGTCTGATTACATGCCTATGCACAAAAGTGTAATAAGTTTTAGAATCTTTTATCTATGGCAACACGAAATCACAGAGCAGGAATGTTCTTATATCTCCAAGGCTTAATTGTTTGTTTAGTGTTATGTGTGACTAAAATAGTCATGATTAAATTGTTTGGAGTTTTGGTTTGGATCTGGTTCCAAATAAACCCATGATATTTATACAAACTGACCTAGTCCGGAAAACTCATAAAACCATCTGCCTTATAAGATTTCCAGTATATAATTGTGCCCAAATATTTGACTTTGCAAGCATTTTATGGGAATCTGGCTGAAAAGAGTTTTGGTTAACAATGGGAAAAATATTAATGGAATTATTGGCAAGACAGTGTCATTCATACTGATATATGCAACTCAGTGTTTTGCCTATGCATCCTAGATTTTTTTTTTCTGTTAGCAGCAAGTGAGATTTCCTTAATTTCAAAAGCAAAAACCTTATGGGCTGCTTCTTTAAAATGGTCATCGTATTTTGATTTCTTGTGTAATAAAAAGTCTAGCTCTAAGCTCGGAAAGGAAAGGTTTCTCTGCCTTGCATTGTGGAGTTTAAAAAACCCACTATGTATCCTGAACATAGAAAAGACAGAAAAATCCTTTTGTATCAGACTGATAATCTTTCATATAGACTTTGCAGTACAGTAAATACCTGCAACTACTGTGGTTGTCCTATGGAGTAATACCATACTTTTGTGGCTCCCTTTAATTTAGATTTAATCTTCCTTTAGATTGGTTTTGCTGCTTTGGTTTCTGCCATTATTTCACATTTGTGTGCATCATACGTAGAGGCAAGTGAAATCAAAATGTTATAAAGAATGCTAAAGCTCATTAATGTAGAGAGAGTTTCAATAATGCAAACATTAAACATATCAAGTTGCACAAATGCATATAGAGAGAGGCTGTGTTGGGTAATGTAGGCTCTTTAATTCTTTCCATTGGTTATTTATTTTTAGTTGGCTTGATTATAGCAGTTAACTCATCTGTTCATGACACCGTCTGTTTAAACTGTTGGAGCTCAGTATCCTTTCAGTTGTCTAGTCTAGGTGGAGGTAAAATTTCTCTGCAGTCCCCATGCTGGTTTGGTTGGAGGTATCTTCTAATGAGTAAAACATGGCCTGTTAGGGAGAGAGGGAGCTTAACAAAAGAGCTCTAATATTTTTACAGAATGCTGGCTCAAAGAGGAATGAAATGAACCCTGAAATCTTTTGATTGGTATTTGTTGTAAATAGGAATGCAAGTGCTATTCAGTGGACATTGTTCCGATAAAATGTACCCTTCTCATGTCCCCCGCCAAAACAAATAAAGAATCAAAATTAAAAGCAGTTAAATAGTCAGGTCTTTGTACATGCTGAGAATCTAGATTAAAATCAATTCTCACCCAGTGAGAGGTGTGCCACCTCCTTGCTGAAGCATCAAAATAGCATTCACAGCTGTGAATAGCATTCCTGTTCCAATTGCACTTTACTTGAATAATGTATTACTTTCCTATTAGCTATTAGGGCCCTGCAGTATGTAATCAGGTTTTCATATTCTTACCCCACAGAGATAGTGGGGGAAGTGTTCTATCTGAGGAACAGTGTAGTGTACATTTCCCCTCTACCCAAGTGTGGCTGTACTCCATTTCAGCCTGCTCTCTGTCATTTTGGGGGGGAATCTATGGTGAGCTTTCTCTAAATGTTTGCAATCTAGAAGAAGCATTTTTGCAGCTTCTGATACACACAGCAGGCCAGCTGCGCAAATTCTCTGTGTGTGTATGTCACTGCCACAAAGGGACTGATATACGTGAGCGGTGACTAGATTTTACTGCATTCACATGTCTTCAGTTATATGTGTTACTTGTTTAATATTGTATTTTTTTGTAAAAGGAAGGATTGAAAAAGGGAGAAAATAAAATTACAATAAAATTTAATCAGTAGAATATTCTCAGGCAGGCACCGAAATTCCACTGTATTTGGCAGCTTGTTGGTCTGGTTTAACAATGAATTGTTGTTCCTTAGTGAGAAAACTTGGCATTTCTGAATTCATACTCTATAAACAAATGATTGCATTTCCCCAAAAGTGCATGTTGCATATAATTTGGTTATAACTAATACTCAAACGATTGTGACTTTCAAATTGTTAATTGGAACTTTGTTTTGGTTGCTTTTTATTGAAATGGTTGAGGAAATTCTGTCATCGCAGTCATGTTTTTAGTACTCCCTGTGGCACGTTTCCACTGAAATAATTACACCCTTGGTGAAGTTTTTACAGGCTTGGAAATCTTGGAATGGAGAGCAGATTTTTACTATGCTATATGTTTCTATTTCTAATGGCACAGCTTGGCACAGCTATGAAAATCTTCTTGTCAGATTTTTTAATAGTTTTGAATTTTAGTGAAAGATGTTTTTTGACATGAAAGAGTTCTCTGTATTTTAATTCATGTTAGGGAGAATGAATTTGCAGGTGTGGAGACAGTATTCAAAATCAGAACACTTTTTAAAGTAGAAGCAACTGGAAGCCACCACTTAAAAGCCTATTCATTATGAACAAGTTTTTGATGGTTTTTTTTCTTCCTCATTTCTGTTGCAGCTATTTATTTAGACTGTTATATAACTAAAACGAATTGGTATACTGTTTTCTTGCCATCATGTACAATCACTGTATTTCTACCCTATTCAAAAAAACAGGTAGGAAAAGGTAAGAATGAAGATGAAAACAAATTAAATTTCCTCTTTCAGTCAAGCTGGGAAGACGGTGACTGCTTCTATTTGTGATTCACATTTTGATCATAGATCTATCTACACTTATTCTAAATCCCTTACCAAGAGACTGTATGGGTTCTAGTAAGATGCATTAATGTTGCAGATGGGTTTTGTTTCTTACTGCTACGTCCTTTGCAAGATAGTTACAGAGATTTCAAGAAAGCTTTTCTGTCTGTTAATGTTTGTATGACTATGAAACGCTTAAGAGGATAAAGGAGACATTTTCCTCGTTTTAATGTTGCCAATAATTTCTTGTTAAAAACAGTCTTTGTCAGTCCAAATGATAGTTAGGTCTTCCGTTGCTTGAGAAATGAAATTTTAGTAGATCACAGCCCTCAGAAGGATGCAGATTATTACTTGGTACTCCAGGAATCAATAAGAAGAGAGAGAATATTCACTACTTAATGATATTTCTTTCCTCTCTAGGCTTTGGGTTAGACTATGGTTTGTTTTGAATGCAAAGTACTACAGCTAATGAAGAGAGTCATGTGAGCCACTGTAAATATTAATTTTGTAACCTGGTGGAATACCTGAATGAGCCAAATTGTAGCAACTAAAACAAGAGAACCTATGTTTTTGGTGCCAAGAAAACAAATTTGACGGTTGTGAGATAAAATGTGTGAACAAAGTGAATCTCTGTGTATGAAAATATTTTCCATGATTGGCATTTTCCTTGTCTCATGTTGTGTTTTAATAATGAAGTAGGAATTTCCCTGTACTCAACTCTACTCTTGAAGTGCTCCTCTGTAACTTTGGCAAAGGCAGCATTATGCATTGACAGTGTTATATTTGGTCCATTAAGTCATTTTAATCTGGACCTCACAACTAGGTATTCTTTCAGTTAATTAAAGAACTTTTTTGGGTTGTTTTCTTAAGCTCCCTTCCTTTCTCTCCTTATATTTTTCTACCTAATATCTGGATTAAATCTCAAAACCCAGATTCCTTTTTCTTTTTGCTTCTGAATGATCTTGGGCACATACCCGGGGTTTTAGAGCTGGAATTCTTTTATGTCTTTAATTTGCTTCGTTGAAGTATGGAAAAATATAATTGGATGGAATTAATCATTTTTCAGCTGATGTAAATATAAGATGGATATGGACAATGAATATCCATTCATTATTTATGTAATGTGTAACAGTTTTCAGTAATACTTGGATTTAGAAGTTGCCAAATGCCTCTGAGATTTGTTTTTACAAAACCAGAAAACCCCACCTCATTCTGGCAGTGATACAGATTGTATATTGAAAATGAGACTGTAGCAGCAGTGAAGTTCGTGTGCCGTAACTCTCACCATTTACATTGCATTGTTTTATACTGGCTAGCATTGGAATCATACTTTTTCAGGGTGGTGTTACTTGACCAAATTGGTTAATTTCTGTAGAAATATTTTTAAATTTCATAATCTATTAGCATTCATCTATTGATTTAAACTGCTGAAAGTAAAGTCTTGGTTTACTTTCTTGTTTGAAGTGTGGGCAATGCACAATGGGATCACTGAATGAGGGATGTGTCCTTTAAATGTCAAATATTACTGGTTTTCTTTTGAGAATAGTTTTGGACTAATTTTGAGGGGAACACCTTTCCTTGGACAGATATAGAATATTTTAAGACATTATTTGAGGCTTCCTGACTAATAGACTCATGTTTGAATTGACTAGTTCTGGCATATGTCAGAATCACAGAAACTGCTTGCAAAATGAGCTTGCAGTTTGTGGTCAGACCACACACACACGGTTGTTTGTGAATAAGGAGACTTCATTTATTACTCTTCATATCAGGGTCTGTATGATGGGGACCGTATATGTATCTAAGAGAAGACTGGGCTAGCACAACATTTGTAAGGAAGGTATGCTGACTTTTCTGATACTCAATAATCATAAGGGGCTAGAAAGAACAAGAACAATGGTAGGTAGAGATCATTTTAGTAATTCCTCACAAAAATGCTTGCAATTGGTTTCTTTGTGAAGAATATTTTCTTTTTCTTTTTCTTTTTTTTTTTCTGTTGAGCAGGTTCTATACAGTTCGCTACAGAGAAAAGGGTAAAGACAAGAAATGGGTTTTTCAGCTTTGCCCAGTTACAGAGACGGTAGTGGACAATCTGAAGCCAAACACACTTTATGAATTTGGAGTTAAAGACAACGTAGAGGATAGCATTTGGAGCAAGACTTTCAATCATAAGACAGTTCTGTCTAGTAAGTATCTGCCACTAATTATCAAATAATTACGCAGTTTGACAGTATTTTTTCCTCTGTTGTGGTATTATTTAAAGTGAGCTACTGATCAGGCTTTCATTGCAATGCTATCCCCTATGCTTCTAACAAATTCTTTTAGGAACTGGTGAAACTAGAAATAGTTTGTGTTTGAAAAACTACCACCTACTCATATGAAAATTGTTCTCTTCTCATTGCAAATAGTAGAGGATCTGCTGCAGGTTGGTAGAACTCTAAGTGATTAGTTTAGATACGCACAAAGTGTTGAGTAAATATGTTTATACTTCTGACTGGATTCCAAGCTTTTTCCTTGGGCCGTGAATAATAAGATCATTACTAATGTGAATTGACAGAAAGTATTAACCTTGTTTTAATCTTCTTCTATATCTACTTTTACATTCAAGCTGGTTAAAAGCTAGACAGGGCCTGTCCTATCCAACACTCATCACAATGGACCCCTTATGACTCTGCCAGAAGGTTCAATTTGAAGCTAGTTTTCAGTCAAGGTATAAATTCAACTTTGAATTGAATATATACTTGAATAATTTCAAGTATAAATTGTGCTTGAAGCACACACTCTAATGTCTGTAATTTTTTTTAGGGCTTTTGGGGAATTTTGGGCTTTTTTAGGGCTTGTGTTTGGGTTTACATGGAGGCAGTGTATGGCATCTCTGGCAGTTCTCTCAATCATATTTTAAGCTTTTTTCCTCCAAAGTCCCAAGACAATGCAGGCAAAGTGATGTCAAATTAATCCTTGAAAAAAATCTACTATTTAAGGAAGTTTGATTGGAAATGTGAAGAAAGGAAATTCTCATGAGAACCTTATTCGTATGAGATTTCTGGCTGAAATTTGATGTGGGCCTCAGTTTCAAGTTTTAGGGGAATTACACAGCTTGATATACTTCAGGATAAGGCAAGGGAGCAGTTGGGTTGCTTGTTATACTGCAAAAGCCCTCATACTGCCTAATGAAGAAATTTGCTGGCCTTCATCATAAATTAGAAATCTGTAACTTTGAAGTACCTGCCCAGTGCCCATAGAGCCATTTTAGCAGTCCAAAATACTGCCATCATTATACCGTTAACTTAAAGTGGGGAATGGTGGTTGTTTCCTTCCCTTTACCTGCCCCACAAAAAGAAGCTCTGCTTCATAGCTCTAAAGAATGGTTACTAAATAGCTGGTTTTCCTACATTTTAAACATTGCTAAGTCATCTGTAGAAAGAGTGCTGGAATATATTTGAGCACTTAAAGTAGGAGGGAATAAAGAGCCCATAGTGTTTGTAGTTTAATACTGTGTTCAAGACTGACTGAAATGTACACTGGCATCACCACATTTGCTCTTTGTATGTGATATATTTCTAAATGCTGTTTCTTACAGACACTACACATTTTTAATAGGCCAGAAGAATCATTCTTGTAAGTTATGGAGACAGATTGAGTTGGGTTGAAAGATACTTTCTTGCAAGAGTTCATATTCTATTTAAATGAGACCTCTTTTCCCTAGAATGCAGACTTGTGTATTCAGTGGGTGCTTTTGCAGCAACTGCATCCAGGGAGCTTGCTATTACCTTGTATGTCTATATTCTGTGATTCTGGTCTGCTGATAAAGTATTTTCTAATTGGAAAACTGACAGCACCTTTCAGATTCAAGTGTTTCATATTGTCATTGCAGAGTAGGTAGGTAGAGAAACTGTGGGCACTAAACAGAGAGTGAACATTTATTATAAATTTGTAACCACCTGTCTGCAAAGAAGTTTACCATCAGCACAAATGGCTACTTCTTTTCTAACTAACTGTCCTGTAGCAAATCAAGGTCTTTTCATGTAGTGAGAAATATCTCAACCGAAATCAAGCCTCATTCACTGTAAATTTTCTTTCATCACTGAAGAATACATAAATGACTATAAACTGAAAATCCTGTTGCATGTCCTTGTATTTCTTGAATCGACAGGGCAAATTTTATTATATACTAAACAGGAGGTTTTAATTCATAATTTGAGGAAGACATAAAATGCATGGTTAAATAAATGTTGCGCATTTGCCAAAATGTATCAAAAGAAAAGAATAGATTATTTCTGACCATCTTAACATGATTTGCTCATTAAGTCAGTGTGAAACTTTTGTCAGTTTTCCCTTGTCTTTGGACCAATAGTAGGTCCCATTCCTGAGAAGTATCAAGCACTTTGAAAGGTATTTTTCAGGGTTATGTGTCAACTTAAAAGTGTCTCAAAGATGTTTCTTTATAGTTGATTTTGTTTCTATCGCTTATCTGTTTTGGATAGATTTGTGAAGAAATACAATAACATTTAGCTTGATTCTTGTTTAATTGCCTGTCGACACAAAGTGAGCAGAAAAGCGTGAAGGTGGAAAATGCAGGCAAAATTTGAAGCCCCATGCTAGAATACAGGAGGTTCTGGGAGGGATTGTTTCTCCTTTGTACATAACAGCTGCATCACAAGAAGCTTCTAATACTAAGAAGCTAAGAGAAAAAGAAAAAACTAAGAGAAAAATTTCAGAGATTAAATCCATGGGTTACTTTTTTTATGCGTTGAGACAAAGGAAACCGTGTTAGACCCTAAGAGACGTAATAAGCCTGCTCTGTATTGCTAGTGCTAAATGTGTATTTCTTTTAGAAGAATGCACTTAAAACCAAGACTAACTATTGGAGACCTTAAAACATGCTGCTTTTAGCCAGTCTTGGTACAAGCCTGACAGATGGGATGCAGTAATTCATCTTTCAAGTTTCTTTCTTGCATATTAGTGTTGTGGTTATATTAATTTTATTAAAGAATCCTCTTAAGCACCTCTGACTTCTCCTTAGTAAGTCCCAAAGACCACTTCAGCTCTCTTGCCCACTGTTGTAGAAAAATTAGAATACATTTAATTTCCTCTCTGTCCAAATGTGAAGGGGAGGCTTTGCAGAAGAATTAATTAATATGGAGAAACAGGACCAAACAAAACTGTTACATGGTGTGCTTTTGTACCTTGTAATTAAGCCTCCTAACTGTCTTAGCTATTGAAAAAGGTGAATAAACTTGGTTTTGGACAAAGCAAAAAGTAATTCTTTGTATTTGTTTCTCTTTCTGTCAAATCAGATAAAAAAATAAATGGACAACTCCAGAATATGTACAAGTTGGTACCTAATGCCCAAACACAGGTATGTAAAACATTTTTATACCAGATTTGTATTTTTTATGGTCAAATTTTTGCTTATATGTTAGAGTAAAGTCAGGAAGAGATTATGGCCACAAACTGCCAAGATAAAAATTCCATTAAATCTAAGACTGGATAGAATCATATAATATCTCAAGTTGGAAGGGACCTAAAAGGATCATCGAGTCCAACTCCCTACTCCTCACAGGACTACCCAAAACTACACCATGTGACTAAGAGCATCTCCCAGACGGTCCTTGAACTCTGACAGGCCTGGTGCCATGACCACTGCCCTGGGGAGCCTGTTCCAGTGACCAACCACCCTCTCAGTAAAGAACCTTTTTCCCAATGTCCAATCTAAACTTTTCCTTCCCTTTTCATTCCATTTCCTCGTATGCTATTACTGGTCACCAGTGAGAAGAGACCAGCACCTCCCCTCAGCTGAGGAAATAGGATTGTGGAAGAGAATTACCAAATGAAGCTGCTTAGCACAGGGGAGCTGTTATGACATCTTATGATAAGGGACATACCATGGACATTTGGGTTTACTAGTTACTGCTGAGTGACTCCTGTTCAAAAGCTGTCAAAGCCTGTCACCCTCAGAGCCTGTGGGAGTGCACTGAAAGCATGTCTTTTCAAAGCATTGTAAAGTGACTAATGTAAGAATACAGGAGGAAAAAGTCTCACTTAAAATGCGTCATTAATGCCAAAGCAGAAAATGCCAAAGCCCCTGAATAGAACGCCATGGGAACATATGCAGTGTATGTTCATAGAAGAGACATTAAGTGTCTCACCACGTGATACTTAATTAGCACAGGTAGTCTGCTGAGTGAGGAAGACATAGGAGCTAAGCAGCTGCCAAGCGTAAAACTAAACACTGACCTGCTATCCGCAAAAGAAGGAAAATGCACCTGAACCTGGAGGCCCTATACCAGCTGATTCCTTTAGAAAAGCAAGCCAGCAAATAACAGAGAACATACTTCATCATTGGGTGTGGGGTTTAGTTGGTGGGTGGTGGTTTTGGGTTTGTTGTTTTTGTGGTGGATGTGTGGTTGTGTGTTTTTTGGGGTTTTTTTTTGTTTGTTTGTTTGTTTTTTGTGGTTGAACTTGATGATCTCGGAGGTCCCTTCCAACCACTAAGATTCTGTGATTCTGTGAATCAAATTATATTTTCTTGTAGGAATAATTAGGTATTAATTTAGGACAGTAATACTTTAATTATAGCATTACGCACAGAGTTAGAGCAGTATAATGCTTAAATTATTGGAAACATAGTCATGTCTCTCATTCAAGAGAAAATGTTTTATCCCTGAGTAATACGAATCCAATTGATACAATACTCAGGGAGGTGCTCATCTCGTTATGTTGATGATAAATTCAACTTTACTTTCTTCCCATTGGTCCCTTAAGCATCTTTAAAATTGCACGTGACAGCCCAAGACCAGGTAATTCATTCTGGTATCTGGAGTGCAAAAGCTGAGTTCCTTTATTCATCTTAGCAAACCCTGTGTGCCAGGATTCTGGCACTGTTATGCTGCTTCTGTGGAAGTAGGCATTCTATTTATGCAAGAGAAGTCCTGAGAAAGTGAGCTAAAACAGTTTTCCAAATATTTGCACATCTTAAGTATGAAAGGAGGACTGGAGCCAACATCTAGTCTTTTTAGTCAGCTTCACAGGGCTTAGCTCCAGAGCAGTACTGCTTTATCAGCCTCCACAGAAATACCATGAAAACATTCCGTAGATTATTCTAAAAATTCTCTTATCATTCTCACTTCAGTGGTGCAAAAAGCCATAAAACTAAGGCTTGGAAGCAGATGGTGCCCAGGTTTTAAGTTTACATTATTACTTCAGTTTCCACAGCAATAGGTGGGGTATGTTTCAGTGGTGCAATCGCATCATCAGTGCAAAGCCAAAATGTGTGTTATTTAGGCCAAACTTTGTTTATGCCTTATTTTGCTCCAAAAACACAACTGGCTCCTATCACCATGGTTCTAATTCTTCTCTGTAAGGAGACATTTTAAAGGCTGTTTATTAAAGCAACATTCTAGTTGTGTATCTAGTCATTCTGCCCTTTCAACATCGGTCACAGATCAGCTTGTGTTTCTTTTGGCAGTTTCATCATTTCAGTTTGACTAGGCTCCTGGGACTGTGTGAGCTACAGCTAATGAGAGAGGAACAAAAGAAGAGCTCTAGGAATGGTCATTCTTTTTCCCTTCATAAACAATGGGTGGTAGTAGGGTGGAGATGATGAAGTAGAAATTTATTTCCTCTTCTGTCTGATCAGGGTCCTATAATTTCATAACGTCAGTCTGAAAGGTGGGGTCCTCCTTGACTTTGGGTGGCTACAACGAAGATGGACATTCCCTTTTTTCAAGGAGTCACACGGAAAAGATGAGGGGTAATGGCTAAACCACATGGAAAAGATGAGGGATAATGGCTACACGTTACTCCTGGGGAGATTCTGATTGGATGCAAGAGAAAAAATTTTCACAATGAGAACAATCAGCCATTGCAATAACGTCCCCAAGGAAGTGGTGGATTCCTCAACACTGAACACTTATAAGATTCAGCTGGACAGGGTGCTGGGCCATCTTGTCTAGACTGTGTTTTTGCCAAGACAGGTTGGACCAGATGACACTTGAGGTCCCTTCCAACCTGCCATTCTAAGTTTCTATTATTTTTCCAGCCAAACAGCAGGACTCTTAGCTCCTGTCATTTGTTAAATTCTGGAAGAAAACATGCCTACTTTTCCAAAACTTATCCAGTCCACGTGGACTGTAACGTTTCCTTGAGGAGTCCTTTACATGTATGCCAGTTATTTGTGGCTTTCTGGATTATTGGAATATAAGAGGCAGAAAGAACAAGCGTCTGTTAATGTTGTCGTAAGCTGTTTGACAGAATGTCTGAGAACTGCAGTCCTTTTTAGAATATGCCATAGGTATATGGTCAGAAGTTAAGGTGCCTGACTTATGGTATAACTTACATCTCTATTTTTCCTCTGAAATTAAGAAATACCTTGTTTACCACAGTCATTTTAATATCTAATGTTCCTAATACCTATATGCTTTATATTCTCTGTCTGGAGAGTACAGTTAATAGTCCCATTCCTACAGATCACAGAATCACAGAATTGCCTAGGTTGGAAGGGACCTTTAAGGTCATCTAGTCCAACAATAAAAAAAACCCAAAACCCAAAAAACCGAAACCAACAAAAAACACCAAACAAAACACACACCAACACTAAACCATATTCCCGAGCACCATGTCAATTCGTCTTTTGAATATCTCCAGATGATATGTTTATTTTTCTGAAATAGTTTGTCCACATCATAAATTTTATTAGACATAGAAATACCTGAAGTAATCACTCTTTGGAGACTAAGAGAAAATTGACAGCACAATGATAAATTTCAAGTGCAGCACTTGCAGATTTGTGCAGGTGAGCAGTCTAATTATAGCAACTGTGGAACACGGATTTCATATCAATGATTTGTTCCTGAGTGAGAAACTAAATTTTGAATGTATTTTAATGTATTTAGCTTTTTTATATTGCTGTCATTACAGTCATCCATTATGATTCAAGAAAGGATGCCCTTGTGAACATAAGAACCTTTTACTATAAAAGGACTGGTAATAATTATGATTAAAAGTTCCACACTGGAGTTATACAAATGCTCACAACATCTTGAGGCCTGTTTATTTGATTGTAGGGCTCCTGATGAGAAATACAATAAAATGAACACCTTTTTTCTGGTAAATTTGTTTCATCCGTCTTGTTAGTTGCATGAATAGCAGGGTTACTCTAAAAGCTGATCATCTGCAACACAATTTTTTTTACTAAAAGGCAAAATAGAAATGTAAACCTTGTTACTAATGAAGGGAAAGTAGTAAGCAATAAAAAAAATATTATTTTGTATCCTTCATTAATAACAGTGAAAACCTCCAGTTAATTTCAAACCATGTTCATGCCAGTGCAAAACTTTACTAGGTAGGAGAAAGTAATGCCTTTCATAGAATAAGCAACCTCCATCCATTTCCCTGAGGAAATGGATATCTTACTTGTTGGGACTTGCCTTCCAGCTTCTTAGACTTTGGTATGTGTTTGATGTGTTCCCAACTATTGCTTTTAAAGCTTTTTTTTTAATATTGAGAATAGAGCAAAAATAGTTATCCTTAGGTAAATAATGAAATCTTTGTCATCAAATGCTGAATTTTCATGGAAGTGTTCTTTCACATGAAGTAAACCAGATGTTGTGAAGTGCAAAATGAAGACTAACTGAATCTGACTTCAGCGCTGTACATTTAACACAGAAAAGTTATTGTTTGAGTTATTTTCTTCCTTGTAACTCAAATATAATTCCAAAAAAAATCAGTTTTAATGTATTTAGCATTTTTATGTTGCTGGCATTTCAGTCTTCCTCCTCACATCACCTGAGTATATTATTAAGCTTTCAGAAGTTGTTCCTAGTACCCATGTGTGGTAGTGAATACTGATTTATAATCTTTGGGATCAGCTGTTTTCTTCTTTTTAATGAATGTGGGATCCATTCACGTGTTCCTTATTTTCATGGTATCAAAATGCTACAAAAGATTCACACTTAGATAAAAAGTAATCTAAGTCAAAGACAAGTGAACAGCAGAAAAGTCCAAATATTTAGCATAAAAATGTGAGAAAGAAAGGGGTGGCTGGCCAATTATACTTTGAAAACAATTTAACCAAATAAAATTACTCTGTGTTAATCTACTTTAAGCAGACTATAAACTCAAGAGTGCTGCTGCTTTACAAATGTACACCTGGTTCTGGAATAGTTTGTGTTCTAAATATACTATTCCTGAGAATATAATTATATCCTGTGACCGAATTTGTATGGCTATTTTTCAGATGTTTTGTTGTAGTTAAATTTCAGCTTTTAATAGTTTTCTGGACTACTCCCCAGTGAGTGCTCAAGGGATTCTTAAAAGAAAAGAGGATTGACATTTCCTAAGTTGTCAAATACTGTGTTTTTATGAAGCAAAACATCCTAAACTGAAAAAAGGGAGATCAAAATCCAATGTTACTCTACTAGCCCATGGGAACTGAAGCAATAGCGTAACCTTTGGTGATGAGGGCCAGAGCCGCATCCAGTGTTAACTTGGGGCAGGCGCAGTGTTGGATTAAAGCCCTCTATTTTTGTTACTGAGAAAGTTCAATTACTATTATGGCAGTTATCCCAAGGCTTTTTTTTTCCCCTCTTCCTCAGCTTACACTGCGTGATAATAAGAAGTTGGTCCCTGTTACAATAATCAAACAAGGTAAGTTTCTATATTTCTGAACTGATTCCTATTCTCTGCAAGAATAACTTGGAAAAAAATTCTGACTCTGAAGTGGATGTCATAAAAATGTGGAACCTTACAAACTAGCATATCCTTTAATTACAGATACTATTGAGTTGTTACCTACCTGTGTTAATAAAATGAGCTATTACATTGCAGTATGAACAATGACTTGGTTGAGTCATTGGATGGATACCAATCAGTTCTGATTTCTGCTAGTACCCATTCTTTTTCATCTGGAATGTCCAGTTACATTGATCTCTCAGCTGTGCATAACCTGATAGTCGGGCATGACTGTCAGTATGGAAAAGATTCACGCTACCAAACTTTTTTGTGGGCATCTTCAGCTAAGTCATTGACTTAGACTCCCTCCTTCTTTCCCCGGTCAGTGAAGAGAGACATCTACAGCAGACTTAAAAATATTACCCTTTAGAAATGCCTGTTTCTCTCTAGTAGTGAGAGGTAGTATAGTAGTGTAATCTTTGAAAATTGACTACTTAAGGATAGTTGATAGAAAATGAGCTGCAGATTAAATGCTAACAGAAATTGTGTTTTGAATATTTTTAAGCAAAAAAATCAAGGAAACTGAAAGTAGTTCACAGTTCAGGGACAGGAGTACACTGGAGGATGGTGTGAAAGCAAATTATGGTAATTACCATTAAAATATGACTGTACTAGCATTTACTTCACATGCATCTTGTAGGGTAATGAGATGGTCTGGAGCTGGCCCTGTATTAATATAAGCATAGAATGTAATTTTTCACCAAGGATATAAAACTGGTATGCTAGGGGAAAGAAGAGATGCACAGTTAAGATATCATGTAGAGGAAACATGGGTTGCAGTCTCTTAAGATGAATGCAAATGCAAAAAGATTAGGATGTTGTCCTCATCTCCAGGTTTTAAGTTGAGGAAAGGTTTTCAGAAATCTGAGGCTTGTCTCAGGTGTGAGTTTGTTTCTTTTTTGTTGTTTTTTGGTTTTGTTTGTTTGTTTGTTTGTTTGTTTTTTAAATTATTTTCTAATACCCCTGTGTTGTCTCCACAGTTATTCAAAATCGGACACAGTCAAAAACTTCAGATAGTTCTTCTCTGCCAGGAGCAATATTAGGTGACTAGAAGATATTCTTATTATTTTTCCTCATTTTTGCCTGAAAATTAGATCTGTGTAAATACTTCTAGGTTTTTTTGATCTTGATAGTTCTATCCTTGCATATCAAAGGATATTTTGCAGCTGCTTCAGACAGTATTTGTTATATTTCATGGTGTTACAGATGGTTGAAGGATGATGTAGCCTAAGGGAAATAGAATCATTTTATTGTCACAGTATTTAAAAAAAGTACTGTCCCTACTTAAGCCAATAAGTTCTTTCATACTTAAAAGTAAAGTTCTGTGGCAAAGATCTTACTGAGATCAGGAGTTGTTCTTTCTAGTTTTATTTAGGTAGTATGATAACATACTATCTACAAACACAAACCTATACTGATATGTTAGCTGATAGATATATATATTATAACCTTCCTTGCAATTAGATCTTGATGTTAGATCTTGGGACATAACTGTTTCCCTCAAGCCATTCAGTTTCATGCTTTCTGTTATTGTTTGACATATTTATCATATAGTGCTTAGTGTGGTGAACTACTGGTCTGTCTGAAATAAGATAGGAAAGGCTCACCGCATCCTGCACCTTGTAACCAATTTATTCCTGGATTCAGGAAGGTGTTTAGTCCGTTCTATATGTGGAAACGCTTTATTTAACTACATAACTTTTGCTTAAGTTTACTTTGTCTGAGTTTTAATGTATTGATGTGAATCAAACAGATACTTACTAGCCATGTTTGGTGTTGAGTCTTCGTGGCCCACCAGACAGAATGTCCCAGAATCTGTGATAGTGAAGTACTCCAGGGTTGTATGCTCCAGTATTTAATTGTTTTCAGTTCTGATTAATCATGAAATGATGGTAATACAGTGAATGGTGTAAAGGGGAAATAGCACCACATGGTAGTGACAATTACTGAATAGGACTAACTCATTTCCCAGTTAGTTCAGTCTGAGTGATCACTCAGACTGATCTTCCAGTGTACTACTCAGTAGCAGTTGCTTACATATCTCAGAGTGCAGACTATGTATTTTTCATCTCTTCTGGAATTAATGGCATACATCTTCCTGTGTAGTGCACCTTATTGTTCCAGGTCTCAATGAAACTCAGCAGAAACTTCCTCCTTTCCTGACAATAGATGACATACCGCAAGCTTCCAGGAAAAAAATAGGTAAGTGGAAATGAACTAAGCTTGTGTTGTTTGTCAACAGTATCAGAAGCGTAGTGATGTGAGATCATGTATGTACGCAGAAAGGTCTTTTTTTGTTTGTTTTTCCCCTCTCTTATCTTCTTTTTCTTTTTCCTATTTGTTTAATTAATTATTAGCTTGGGCTTATAAGGATTCATAGAAATTCACTAATTTTAAAACATCTGGATAGATTTTTAAGGTATTTTGCAGCTATTTAAAAGAATATGCAGAAGCTTTGATTCATAGAGGAAGGAAGGGAAACTAGTCATGCTTATGGTCTTAAGGGTTTTGTTTTGTTTTACAATGTAACATTTTTGTTATATGTTATATTTTTCAGTATATGTCTTAAAATGGAAATTTGTATGTCCATTTGAAAGACCAGATTTTCAGTGAATGTTAATTACATGAGTTCTGGGTTGAGTACCTGTGACAAATTGTTTCATGAAGAGATTCTTATTATTATCTGTAATTAAATCCATGAAAAAGTGGTAGCCAGAAATTAGAACATTTCAGTACAGGTTTCATGTGTATCTTGTGAATATGCCTGAAACCTGCAGGAAAAAGATGAATTTAGGGTTTTGTTTAAGATCTGTAAACTAGCATATCGTCTGTGAATAGCATAATTGTGGGAAATACAGCTATCTTTAAAAACCTTAATAACGCCCCCCAGTGCATTTTTCACAGATCCCTTGAGTAGAGTTCTGGAGTTGATGACTTTTGGTTTGGCTAGTCTAAATACTTTATTTGAACGCTGAACAACTAAGTCAGATTTTTTTTTCCTTTCTTATTTTTGCTTTGTTTAATTTGCTCTGTTGCTCTATTGCTGACCATGGCACTACCTCAGGCTGGCTTGCTTTGCAGCGAGAAAACAGCAGTGTTAAGATACTGTGTACATTAAGGGTAGAGCTACACTGTAGAATAATATTTTAATGTAAGAATGTGTTTCAACTGAGGCTGAGTTCCTTAAAAATTAATATCTGGAAGTGTTTACCAGCATTTGACAAACAAATACTGTTAGCATCATCTATGGCTACTGAAAATAAGGCTAAGTGGAAAAACTTAATTGCACTATTTACATTACAGAGCATTCTTGTTTTTCAGTCATGTTGATAAAATTTATCACATTGTTAACGATTACTAACATTTTCTCTGAACAGCAAGCATAGAAACCAAGGTGTTTATCATTACTAGTTTGGTTTTAACATGTACATGATGTGCAGGTAACAAAGGTACCATTAAAACTCAGTATACCATATTTTGACAAATCCGTTTTTCATACCCCTTACTTTTAGTAAACCATATTTTAAGACCTCCAATATTAGTTTTAGACTACAGTATCTAGAACTTTTATATTTCTTTTCATTTTCTACCAGTTAAATTTTATCTTTCTGCAGGAAAACATTGCATTTTCAGATAGGTCAGAAGGTTCAGTAGTGTGCACAGTAAAAATGGCAAAATGTGACTGCGAGCAAAAGATGGGGAAAAAGGCAAAGGTAGCTTCAGTTGTTCTACAGGTGTGCACAATCCCCAGCTGGTGGAGCATAGAACTTGGACTTCTAAATTTAAATGCTCTGATATGCCCAAAATAGCTGGTGTGATGCCAGTTTGAAGCTACTCTTTTTGGTAGATTACACAAACACCTGTGTGAAAATTACCAGAGCAGACAAGTGATGTTTTGTTCTCTTCTGTTTACTATGTGTTCCTTACCAGAGAACATGAAGTACACGGGTGTACACACAAGGGACTACTAGATTTCAAAGCAGCCTAAAACAGGGAAGAGTCATTGCTTAGAAAGCAAAAATACTCTGAGAAATAATGTAAATGTATAAAATAATCGACAAAAAGACATATTGTCCAAATCTATAGAGCTGTCCTTCACTGATACTTGAGGATGATGTATGTCTACAATAAAATGCAATAAGACTTATGCTGTGTGTGAATTTATGGTTGCTTATGGTTTCCTGACATACTGCAACTATTCCAGTTCTGTATTATTTAGAAAAGTCAAAATAATGCATCACATAATATCATATTTATTGAATTCTCAAAGTATTTTTTTTCTGTTTACTTACTAAAAAACTTACTGGTTTGGGTTTTTTTTTAAAAGAGTAGCAATCCAGAAAAAAACTCACAAAATACATTGCCTTCGTCCTCAGTGGAAAAAAACACCAGATGTATTATTCAAGTCAAAATCAATTAATTTTCCCTATATCCACTGCTAGAATATCTTTGTTGAAATAGAAGTCTTACCATTATAATTGTTACAAGTAATGTAAAGGAAAATAAGGACATGACTGCCGTGACAACATCATTGTATTTGACAATTTATTAGATAGTTATTGTATAATGCTTAGAACTATGTTACGTCTTTGAATCTTGTAAAGCATTTTTACTGTTAATGCAGAAATGCTAGACAAGTGAAAAGCACTCAAAACTATTTTGTACTGTGAGCATAATGATTCATAAGGCATTAAAGTCATTGCTGTAAATTTAATTTTTAAAGAATCTTTTAATGAACAAAGCAATACCAAAACCACATGTGTTTAACATAGCTAGATAGATGCTTGTGCTGATTGTGCAGTGGAATTCATTGATTGCTAAAGGTATTAATCTTTCCACGTTTGTTCATGTTGTTTTACTTTGGCAAACTGAAGTGGGACAGAAATAAATCTGTACTAGAACAGAGCAGATATAGCTTTTTACATTACTCTCTAATGTCTTTGTCCCTTTAGCTAAGAATGAAACTCAAGTATGGCCTGCTGAATCCAAAACACCAGTAGTTCAAGAAATCTCCCCACAGTCCCTACCAGGTAATCAAATTTCTATTTTTAGAAATTCTGTGGAATATCTTTGCCAAATATATAAACTAAAATTAAACCCATTTTTATGTTTCTTAATCTGCAGTTCAAGGCAGTAGTTGGAAAACAGGAGGATAATGTAGCTCAATTAGTATCTATGCATGGTAAATGTGGATAAAAATCTGAATCTAATTTTGGAGGAAAGTTTCAGATGCTACACTCGTTAGGTTTATAAAAACACTTAGAACCATGTCTTTGTGGGGTGCTGGATACCTTAACATTTTGAAAAAAAGGCAAAAAAAAAAATTTTTGTGATGTATCTTGAACGTCTGACTCTCATGAAATGCATGAAGTAGAAAATTAAGGATAAAGGTATGATTGTGCAAAATGCATGTATGAGATTAAGATGGAACAGTCACAGTAACAAGTTCTATTTCAGAGGTGCAGATGATGACAGCATGATGTTCTATTTACATTCAGTTTTGAATATATTAATTTAATATTGACCACACTCTTTGCAGAATTACTGGTCCTATTAAAATTAATGGGAGCTGTTCACATGGGAAAGCAATATACAATTTGATCCTAGACTCATATTCAGGGTTATGTGTCTGAAATGTGTGTTAACTGGTACATTTGGAAGACTGAAGTTTTTCATCATCTACTTGTGGCTGAAAAAATATCACTTATTTAAAAGGGCATACTCAGATGCTAATTTCTTCAACTGGTCAAAAAATGAAGTGAAACTTTAAAACTCACAAGCTTTAATGCCTCCATTTGCTTAGGAAACAAGTTAGTGTAGCATAGATGGACAATTTTATCAAGTGTTATGACAAGTATAGCCCTATATTTTAACATTTATGAACTTAAGGCAAAAAGATTGGAGAGAACTAAATTGTTCGGAGTCAAAGGATGAAGAGTGACGTTCCACCCGCTTTTGTTTAAGTTGATATATGCATGTCTTCATTTTCTGTAGTCTGGCTTTTATCCTCCAACTGAGACAGAAGTCTTGATTCTGCTGTCATTAGAGACAATAGTTGGCTTTTGCCAACTTCTTTGCTGAAAGGGGAGAAAGGAGGCTTGAGCAGTGGCAAGACTTTAAAATGAAAAAAGGAGTTGAGGAAGCAATACAGCAAAGGTTTGCTTTGCTTTAGTTTAGCCATATTATATGATCTTGCTGTCATTGCTCTATTCCAGCCATAAAGTATTTCCTGGCTGGCTGAGAGGGTGTAGCATGTTATTCTTTTGACACCACATGATTTACACAGATACTGCCCTTAAATATGAGTTAAAGTATTTTATTCCTTAAGTATATGCAAAGATACCATACTTGACATTGGCAGAAAAGCTCAGTCATTAATTAAAAGAAACAAACAAACAAAAAACCTTCCCAAAGAATAAAAGAGATGTAGGATGAAGTAGTGCAGCAAAATCATGTAATGATTGACAACCATCTTTTAGATTAAACAATCGCTCTTTTTTTCTCTCTGAAAATGTTTGCAGATTTTTTTTTTACATTTGATAGATAAGTGTATTTCTACATTCTGGTTTTAACCATCAATTCCTTTCTGCAAAACTTTCATATGGATAACTCTTTTCTGTTCATCCTAAATATTTAGAGGAAAACAAAGATGCTCCCCTAACAGGAATTTATTATCTGAACTTCACAATTTTAGCATATGTGTAATGAACAGCTAGCTTTTAATTGCAAATCTGTGGGTACTTTTTAAAAAAGCTGTAAAGAATATTATTTTTTTCAATTTTTTTTTTTTTTTCTTTACAGTTCAAGGTCTCTTTTAGACTTAAGTTCTGAAATTGTTTTACTAAAATATTTACTTTGTCTAAGTAACTGCAGAACAAGTAATCTAAAATTATATTTTATAGAGCTTTCCAATTTCTTGAGTAATATACACACGTATTTATGTAATCGGCTCTCCTGCAAAATTCTAATCCTCAAACTTGCTTCATCTAATCAGAACACATCATTCCTTGTGGTAGAATTTACTGGTTAATGAGATAAATAGTGTGAAATCTGACACCAGAACTGATATATCACCTGGGCAGGTGAGAATCATTCCATCCAGTTTACTTTGTGTTCTGTAATTACGTTTATGTACCTGGCATGCAGTAATTCTAACCATAAACATCATAATCTCTAGAGATAGCACAGGATTATATGATTATGAAGTTGGATAGTGTTTCATTATACATGATAATAATTGGCAAGTACTATCTTTACAAATTATATATAACCACATTCTTACTGCTATTAGAGCATTAGTTTACTGAAATATTTAGAACAATTTTCATCTTCCACTTCATGATTCCTCTGTAGTTTTTCTTCCATGTCTCTTTTTCTGGGGTGACCATTCCTTTTAGTTATTCTCTGTTGATCACAGCACCAACGTCTCATGTTAGAGTGTGTCACGCTGCTTACATTAAAGAATGTAGCAGGAAACAATGAAAGTGAATCCTTTAAAAGAAAAAAGTCCTTTGAGTGTAATTTCTGTCTAGCCATTGCATATGCAAATATAACTTCAATACTTCAACATTTGAGCCAGATTTCACCAGTAACTTAAGCGAGAGATCTGAGTACCAACCTTTTCAAGGGTTGCATCTGAGAGACATGGTAATATATAGGCACAATTGAGTTTTCAATAAGATCTACTTCATTATGTTTAATTCATACTTCTCTATTTGAAGATCCTTTGAGTAAGGCATAGTAATTATTTGCTGTGAAAGCCTTAAGGACTGGTGCCAAAAGTGGCAACAGATCGCTGATTTAAAAGGAGCTGTGTGCTGGAGCAGCCGTTGTTCTTTGCAAGAAGTGAAGAAAGGAGCTTGAGATATTTCAGCAAGTGGACTATCTGAAAGGCTCCATGAGCTGAGTGGCTCTTGTATTCTACTGAGTATTTGTCAAAGGGTGTGTTTTGTGGTGTGATGCATTTCATTAACTTTTTTTGGTGTATTTGTCAGCCAGGCATCCCATCATTTTCTTAATTTCAGGCCTCCCCTCCCTTGGCGTGCACTTCCATGGAAAGATCGGTTAGTGAGCTCTTTCATAGTTTGTTTTTGCCAGGCTTGTTACAATATTTTCCACTTAGGACTAATTTATTCTTAACACAACAGCACCAATTCATAATGCCTTTTTTTTTTCTTCCTTTAATATTTGAAATGCTGTCTAATCTATCTCAAGCTACCACTACATTTTTTTTTCTCTCAATTGAATCAAGTGTGAGCTCTTTTATTAACTTCACAGGGAAACTGGATCTGACCAATGGTTAGAAGTATCAGCATATTTGTCTAGACAAGGAAGAATTAGTTTAAAAAAAAAGAGGAAGTTATTTCTCTATGTAGGAGATTGTACCAGAAATTTGTCAAAGTAGATTAGTGAAACAGAAAATAGACTTGAAATGAAAAGTACCACCTGTGAATCCAAAATAGGGTTAATGTTTAGTAGGAATAACTCCTTTGCTGCCATGTTTCCCAAGTTCTATTCCTCCTGTCCTTCTGGCCCCTGAAGATTTCCTCTTGTGCTCATGTGGGATGTGAGAAGGGGTGAGATTATTGCTTCCATCAGAATATCTTAATCAGAATATCTTAATTCCAATTGTGGCAGAACAAGGGAACATTTCATCCCTACAATGTTCCGTGCAAAACAGGGCAGAGCATGGTTTCTTTTATCCCAGTTCTAGGCATGCTTCTTCTTGTTTAGCTTGCTCAGCTAACTTAGCTGACAAGAGACGTGCTTCATATGAGGGTAAACCATCTGACCGCTAAAAAAACTTAAAGCATAATGAGTTCTAAATTTCTATATTTGCTTTTTGTTGGATTTTTTGGGTTTGTTGTTTTGGTTTTTTTTTTTTCATGATTACATTTCACCAATAAGAAATGCTAGCTTTTGAAGTACTTCTGACGTATGGGTTTCTTTGTCGTTGTTTCTGGATCACAGCTTCATAGAGATAAGTTTCTTTAAATTCTCTGTGGAATAAATCCTCCTTCCACTGATGACAGTAAGAAGCTGAACTGGGTTCTAATAAGGCAGCATCTGTGGAGATTCCAACTTTTGTGGCACTGAAAGCACCATACTCCAAAGCAGAAAATACAGTATAATGGTTGTAACTCTAATAGCATCTATGTAACTATTTAGAGTCTGGAAAACAATATGCTTTCTCTGGGAAAAGAAATGAGAAGCTTATAAACCTGAATGATCAGTTCTTGCTTGAAGCATGGTCAGTTGACTGTGGAAAAAGTGTGGAGAGCATGCTGGAAAAACAAAAGTAACTCTCTTCTATTGTATCTCAAAAAGAAAGTGATATTTTGTTAAACTGAATGAATATTAAAATTTAGTGCTATATTGATGCTGATCATCAATATTAAAGATCTCCTCTAAATACCAACAGATGCTAAATACTGTGAAATTTGCTCTGTGGAAAAAATTAATGTTTTTATCACATGCAAAACTGAGACCTTACCATCCCATGTTTCACATCATTTTATAATCTGAGATTACCCGTTGTATGTACTGTATGACTGATTAAACACTGTGAGACCTCAAGTAAGATGGAGAGAAAAAAAGCGATCTTGATTTACATAACACAGGAATTAAATATTATGTTAAACAGCTGAAAGAGTATAATTATGCACTAGTTGGTTAAAATATGGTCATCAATCCCATTTAGGAACATTTAATGTCTGTTTAATAAACTACCTGTGCTTTATTCTGAAGAAGTAGAATTAGAAGAATGAATGAAGTCAAAAGCCCAGTATATTATTACTAGAAAGATGAAAGAGCTAAGGTATTCTAGGTGAATCTTTATTCTTTACATGATAATTTTTGTATTAGAAGGATTAAAAAAATGAAAATAGCAGGGAAAATATTTGTAAATACACTTTGTGGTGTAATGGATCTTGTTTATAATGTGGAGCATAATGAATTTGGAAGGCTGTAATGGAAGTATAGTGTGAGCTTCTGATCTTAGCTTTGATCTTGGTGACTTTTAGTTTGCTTACATAAAACTGCAACAAAATAAATCATAAATACCATATAGATTTCACATCTGAAAACAAAAATAAATATTAATCATGATGGAGTCAAGCTGTTGCAGAAGTTATTCTAATCAGGTGGCATAAAATGGTGGTAAGAAAAGCAGTGGGCTGTGGTCAGTAAATAAAGAAAAACTCTGAGGGATTCTAAATTAAACAAAGCTTCTTTCTTCTAGCTCAGGCTGAGAAAAAACATGGACCTGAGGAATATAAATCAACGCCTAAACCCGAATTGGTACAAACTCAAAACATACTGGGTAACTAATTTTGCTGCTTTTTTACCTTCTTAGTACGTTAAATGCTTTTTTTTCACCTCCAGAGAATTTTTCTACTACTTGCTACATTGCTTTTTATACTGACTCCAAAGGAAGTTCTAATTAAAATTTTCTGGTTCCCTTTGTCTTTCCAGTGACTCATAAATGAAATGTACAGCAGGATGCATCTAGCTCTGGCTGAACTGTGGCTGTTATATATACAATTATTGATAGCCAATTTGACTGGGTGATTAAAATTTCACAGTAATGCTTTCTTTGTGATCTGCAGGATTGACATCACATAAAATTTCCATCAGTAAAATTAACCTCAGTGACAGAATTGAAATAATTACCTCCTTGATTTTCTTCTGATGACAGTTTCATTTAAGTAGCATCAATGGTGAAGCAAAAGGAAAATTTTATATTGCATGTGACATGATGTAATTTTATTTGTCCTGGAGGAAAAAAGAGCTCTGCTGATTTTTTCATAGAGATGTCTCAGAATGACAGATTTCTGATCTAAGTAGTAGTGGTGTTAGTTTTGTGATTTGTAGCAGCATCTACTTACTTGTTTCATTCAGAATTCCAAATTCTCCAATGTTGATTTTATTGCCTGTATTTTAATCCCCAAAGCATGGAAAACTATTAACACAAATTTAAACTTTAGGTTGTGGAGTTTTAATTTTTTTTTTTTTTTGTAAACAAAAGATATCAGCATTTGCAGGACTGAGATACAGATCTTCCCATGAAGAGGACTGCTAATGCTTCTCAATAAACATATTTTTACATAATCCTATTGATTCGTGTTAATGTCCCACTCTCTCTTTTGTCCTTTTTCATTTACAGTTGCAAGCAGATTTCCAGAATTTATTAAAGCTAACCATTAGTCAATCTAATTTTCAACCTAACTTTCTAAGACTTTTTTAAGCATAATCATCTTGAGATTAAAATATGAAACTTAATCAAGATGTGCCAGTGCTTAATTTCAAAACTAGGTGGTCACAGTTGCTGATGGATATTCATTATCAAATTCCTGTTATCGATGGGTTTTTATATTATGATTAGAGAAAAGGTGATTTCATTTATATTCCACACACCTGTTTAAGTGACAGTTAGGTGTTTTTTTTCTAGGTTGGACCTACTTTTTCTTATTAAATATCATTGTTTTCAGGAGTGAGTGGTTTATAAGCCAAAATATAGTTCCATACTGTCTTGTAATATTCTTAATCAAGTAAAGCCTTGATTATTTCTTTTATCATAGCTTCTAATGAAATACAGCCACTTCCTTCTGGACCCAGAATCTATGATGCTCCAAAAAGTCCATTGACAGAACTTGGTAATTACTTTCTTTGTAAATTTGAGTAAGCTTCAGTGGGAAATGATCTAATTCTTTTGTTGTTTCTGTGGCTGGTAGGTTTTAATGCTTCAGCTGCAATAATATCATTCTGTATGTAAAATATGGTAGCCATTAGCTTTTTCTTCACAAAATGTGACAAATTTCTTCTTTTATTCTAAGTGTGGTTTTGCTAATCCTTCATTTTAAAAACCAACCAAAAAACCAAGAACTCATGAGGCTATACGGACTAACTTTTATCTATAGAATGATGATGGCAATTTATATTTAGCTAAAATCTGTACTCTTAGATTTATGATTTTCTTTTAAATGCCCAATAAGCTTCTGAGACTGACCCTATTTCACAGTTGGGAGTACTGTTCCAGTCAACACCAGTTTTGTGGGTTTTCATGTAGTTTTCCAAATACTTGTACATTTGTTTTAAATGGTGCCATAATTTGTAGATGTTGTTGTGTTTTAAATATCCATAAGTGTTTACTTATTTCTGGATTCATTAGTAGTTTGGTGATGAACTTCAGGATGCTTTAGAAAAGCCTGATATTTGAGAAAGTATGACATGCTCGCATTTTCAAAAGAGTTTTACCTGTGTTAGGACCAAAATGTTACGGTCAAAATGTTCTTACAGGCAAAGAGGAAACACATCTTTTCTTTATATGTATATATACACATACATTCACATGTATGTAAACATGTATAGACCTATGTATTTACATATATGTATATGCATATTCATGTTTATGTATATAAAGCTAATCACTAATTGTTAGTGTAATGGAAATCTTAACAATCTAATTCAAGAATCATCATTAGTCCAGATTTAAATCCTACAGTAAAACAAATAATATCAATGCACATGGAGTATTTACCTACAGGAAAGCCCTCAATAACAGCAGTAATATAATTAAAACAGTAACACTCAAACTTCTTAGTTTCTACCCTTTTTCCTGATGTATTTCACACCCTTCCACTACACTTCTGAGTCCTAAGCCTTGTGATTTCATGTTTGTGTTGATGATGAGTGGGGATGTTTCAGCAAGTTATGAGCATCTGGAGTCCTGTGCTGGGAGGAATATGATGTTCACGTTGATGATTTCTTCCTCCTCTCTTGTTTCTTTCTTCTGACACCTTATATCTGAATTTACTGTATATGGTTCCATTTGTGTATGTTAGATACTATTTCTGTGTTCTGTTGTTACTCCTAAAGTATTTTTTGTCCAGCTCCAGGTGTGTAGTTTTTATAACTGACTATCACTGATCTGTTTATGGCATGGAGTCTCCAGTGCCAAGCCTGGTCTGCATCTCTTATCATCCTGTGCCTCTACTCCTCTACGCCATATCCTCTGTATTCCCTTCTCAAAACCTCTGCATTCTTAACAGGCGTGTATTTCTCTACACTGTGTCATTGTGTTAGTCATGAATGTCTCTATTCTGCCAAAACAACTGCTTGTTGCTGCTATCTATATAAATCGCTATTACACTAGTTAACTAGAGTGACCTTGAATCAATATGGATTTATATTTCACTAAGCATTAGTCAAGAAGTTATCATATAGTAGTGCTGGTTTATTTTGATGGCATACTTTTACTTAATGTGTTCTGCCAAACCATTTCCAGGAACATCTCTTACTTCTTGAAATGCATATTTGATTCAAATTCTCAAAAACATGAAAATTATCTTCACAATTTGTTCTTCATTTGCTACAATTTTTGACAGCTCTTTTCCAGATATGTTTGAGGGGATGGAGATACGTATTTGTTTTCACTATAGTGAAAAAAATTTGGTTAAATCCAATTAAAGGCAGCATTGAAGAGAGACAGACACATTTGGTGATTTAAGAACCAATTTACTATAATGTAGCTGAAAACTTGAAAATTATTAGAGATGGGAAGTATTTTTGCATTCTGCTGGGGAACAATAACCTAATCCTATGTTTGTCTCAGCAGTACGTGTTTCATTCAAGTATTTATTCTGGTTTTGTTCTCATGTCTTCCATTCCTGCCAAATAGTTCCACTCAGCAAAAGTGAGATTTAATTATGTGAGGCTAGGCCTAGCCTTTGGGTCAGCTGGAGCATCTGTGCTCCCCATGAACTCAATGCTGAAGTCAAGATATTCTGTGAGACTGAGGAGGGGGAGGTCGTACAGAGAAGATTTCTCTGCACTGTGCCTCTGCATGCCTTGATCACCTGCTGTCATAAAATCAGCAAAGAAAGCACAATTTAATTTCTGAAGTGTGTGTGTGACCTGTATTCTGCCCTAGTTCCCCTGTAGAACTTTTTTCTTTATTTTTCTATCTATCTCGATTGTACCAGAGGGAGATATCTGCTTTGTTTTCTAAACTTTCTGTGTGGTCGGTATATTTTGAATTCAAACCTTTCTGGAAAGATGGCTTTGTTAACATGCTTTCAATGTTCTGATGCCTCTGGGAGATCTCTTATAGTTCTTACTGGATGTAAATGGATCAATGGAAGCTTTTGCCAAAAGCCGTGAATCATATGGCTTTTGTTGGTATTATTTTCTTCTTTATAAATATAGAATAGAAATCAAGTAGTTCCAGTTGGAAGGGAACAACAACAACCATCTGGTTGAACTGCTGAGTCCAGCTATATCAGGATAGGAACCTGGGTTCATATTTGTTAATGTGAGATGGTGGATTGAAAGGAAATGGAAAAGCAGATCCAATATACGAAATAAAAGCCTGTTCACTTTTTGGCTTACATTCATATGGCCTACATTAGAAATGAATCCTACATGTAGTTGTTTGGATGTTTTTCTCAATCTCAAGCATTCAGAGACGTTTGATTTTAAAATTCTGGTATAACTGCATTTCAAAAAACCTCACCTTGATAAAGATCAATTAAAAATACAGATGGAAATTTTCTCTTTCAAATACATTATAACCTAAACAGGCATAAGTGACTGGTGCTGCTAAGTTTACTGGGAAGAATGTACTTACCAGCCTGTATACACAGTTGAATAGGATCTGTTTCTTAGAAGCAGGACAGTAGTGCAAAACCTGCACATGGTGGAAACTCCATCATGATGGCCCTTAGGTATGAATGCACAATTCCACCTTGATTCCCTATTTTCATTAAAGCACACTTGAGGTTATCCATACTTCCATGCGAAATAACCGTAAGGTCTTTGTAATAGTCTTCATTAAAGCATAACAGATATAAGATGCTCTTTACTAACTTTCATGATTATTTCACTGAGTTCATTGTACTACTCTTTTTTTTCACCTTTTCCCATTGCACCTCCTTTTAAAATAGTTATACTTGATATAACAGTAAACAGTTTATACAGACCTGTGAGTGCTGTGAAGATCAAATGCATTGTGTTTGGGTTTTAGCTGTTTCTCTGTGAAGAAAAAACTCTTAAGTATTATGGATTCAGCCTGATTAGATAATGTATGGCAAAGTCTGAATGGAGTAAAAATTAATTGAAAGAAGAGACCTTCACACCAAACAAAAACTTACTACTTGAGTTAAAATTAGATTTTGTACTATTTGAAAGGAGAGTGTCAGTCTCGGTGTCATAATTTTTTTTTCATGTTTGCTCTTAGCTACTCAGCATCCAGCCTTGAAATCCATATCTCTACCTTCTGCAGAAACCAGAGAGATGGAGATGGGTAATCAGCAGATTATTTCCATTATTTTTTTCCATTATCTCAGCATCATGCAGATCTGCAAATGGTAATTTTAAGAGCTGCTTTAGAATCTTGACTACCAACGCTCACAGAGAGCTGCTCATTCACCATTCTTGTGCCTGTGTAACTAGCTGAAAAACGTATTTGTTACTGGCTTAAAAACTGCTTAAAGGCAGTGTTGTCATATCTCATCATGAGTTATTTCTTTTTATATAGCTTGTATTTCTTTTTGTATAGCTGCAGCTCTTATCCTAGAAAATGTAATAATACAAGAATTCTTTCGGGCAGAAGACTGTATTGCAACCTATCATCTCCTGTTGTCACGGTGCAGTTGTCTCAGTTGTCTCACGTCCCACTTTCAGGCCATCTGCCATCTTGCTTAGCTTTGCATTAGCATCATCTGGAATTGCACAGCCTTCACTAAGCTATTTGATGCTAATCCATTAAGTCACAGGTCTCAGCATTTTAAGCTCAGACTCTTTTTTCAGCTTTTGAGGAAACACAGCCTGTTTCTTCAGGATCCAAAACATCTGGTACCACAGAAGTGCAACCAACCAGATCTGGTAATGATTTCTCATAAGATTAATCCTCTTGACAGTTAGTAATTTTCAGAGGAGACATAGTGCCTCTCATTAAATAGTTTGTTCAGTTTGACATAAATGAAGAATAACTCCAGGTATGAAATTGCTGTATCAAATAGCAGGTTTCTTTATGACATTTTATATGAAATATTGAACTAGTAGTTTGGAGGTTTTTCTATATTTGGCTGCAGCATGTAATTCTTAGTTTTAAAATTAAATCGGACTTACAGTAAATACTAAATTTAAGTGGGCCTGTCCATGCCTGAGTTTCATAAGTGGAATATCCTGATGTGCTCAAGTACTCAGAGTCCTAAGAAATTAATGGAAACTTCAGAAATTCCAACACCTTTTGAAAATGTAACTCTTCTTTTAGCCTTTCTGTATAAACATAGACATAATTCTAAGTGCCCAGATTTTGAAACTGGCACTGGCACTATAAAAACGTCATTGAAGACTGAGAAACTGGGCAGTTAGTCCTTAGAAAATGTCTATCATGTGTTTCTCTTATTTCATGCATGAGTTTGTAAGAGCTAGTTATATACTTGGGGCCACTGACAGTTATGCAAAAGAAGAAAAAAAGAAAAAGTAAGATGAGAGCCTATTGGAAAGATTTCACTTCATTAGCATTCCAATAGTATAATGCCTGATGCATATATTTTTGGAAGAAATTAATTTTTGAAGGAATTCCATTACTAAAGGGGAGATTGAGTGCAACTGTCAGCTATTCATGTGTCTGACAAAGGACAGCTTATATGTTTCATTTGGTACAGTTCCTGTTTTGTCATCTTTTTTCCTTCTTGAGTTTCAGCACCAGGATATCCTCCTTCTTGATCCTTGGAATTCTAGACAAAAATTCCACGCAGTCCCAGTTTGCTAATTTTTCCTCATAATTTGTTCTCCTTTTTTGAGCTATTGTAGCTTTGAGGCAATGAAGCCTTTTAATATAAGATTGTCTTTCCAGATTTAGGTGAAAGGAAGCCTCTTTCTTCAAGATCCACAACATCTGGCATGCCAGAAATGCCACCAATCTCAGCTGGTAATGATATCTCTCTTCACTGTAGCTCTCCTGACGTGTAGGCTGTCTCTCAAAAGACACAACAATGCTTTGCTAAATTGAGGATTTATTCTGACTTGCTCTATATAAAAATGTAACTGGAGAGAGAGAGCACAGTTGTATCTGCTGCAATGTTTGAGAAATTAGGAATGAAATGTTCGAATGATAATATTAATTTTTCTTATGTTTGTAAATGATTAACTAGATATTGTCCTGTGGGGCTGTCGTCCTTTTATTTTTGTGAAGGGTTGCCTATATATGGAGGCCTGTAATTTGGAATGCTTAAATAAGTGCTAACATATTGAATATGGTCCTTTTGTACATTGGATGCAAAAGCTGCTCCATAGGTGGAAAAAGCTTTAGCTGCTGTTCTTAAGAACTCTATGTAAGTTTTTAACCATGGGAAAATGCCAGTTACTGATTTGGTTACTGAGCCATTGAAAGGTGCCAGAAAAAGTTCACATAGAAGGGACATGAACAGAAGGGTTTCAATTTCTAAAGGTAAAAATCCCAGAGAATTCACTAGGCACCATTTCCTTACTACCACCAACTTCTTCATCTTTGTGTATGTCTGAAAAATGTGACTAGGTTTTACACTGGTGTATGTATTAGGTTATGCTTTTTCTCTGTACAAAATTGGGATAAGAGAGTATGAGGAAGACACCTCAGGGAAGTTACTTGTTCTTCAGTGTCCAATATAATGATGGACTGTACAAATGCAAGTAGTTGAAAGACATGCTAGAATTCTACAGAAAAATTGTGTTTGGTCACTGGTTGCAGGCATTTCTCTACAGAGTCACTGTACTTTATTAGGCCAAGGACTACGATTTCTGCCCCATAGAATGAAGGCTAGATTCTAGGGGAAATGAGATAACATCTTGAATTTTCAGTCCAAAGGTGGGTCTCTTGATTCCCATGTTTCCTCTGCAGCAACAGTTGGCATCTTGCAGAAAAATGTAAGGAGTAGTTTGGTGAAGTAGAAATTTAATCATTTCTCTGCTGAAGGAGAGCCATTTAGCTACTGAGTTTCTGAGAGTATGGTGGCAGTTGCAAACACAGCGAGATGGTTGACTACTGATTTGATCAATGAGCCACAAGATACTGCCAGGAGAAGGGATGTGTTGCCTTAAATAGGGACATTTTGAGTGTTGTGAACTGGTGCTGCTTGTACTGCTGAGGCAACTCTGTGTGGGTATCTCAAGATCATTTCCATGTCTGACCACAGCAAGCCAGAGGCCGGACCTGGAATCCACCTCGTCTGCTTCACCGGAAACCACAAGGACTGTGATGGGTAAATAGCCAGCAATTCCCTTCACGTGTTGATTACTTTGGCAGTGCTTTCCTCTGCAGTGATGAGCCTGTTCAGGTGTTTTGATGTCCTGAAAAGTGGGTCCACAATGCAATGGATCCCCTATTGCTCTGTACTAGGACCTGCTCCATTTGTAAGCTTTCTGCTGCCTTTTTTGGGGTTCTAGGTTTACTCTGTTACCTCGGGCTACCGATGCCACTTGAAAGATAGCATCACGCTACTATGGGGAGTGATGCTATGACATGGGAGCCTGCCCCAGGCAGGGCCACGTCTCCTTGTTTATAACTCTGTCTTGATACCACCCACGTGACAGCAGCCTGTCTGAGGATCTGAAGGTGGTGTTTGTGTTTGATCTTAGCTACTCGAAGACCAAGGCTGAAGTCCACCACTCCTTCCTCCCCGGCAACCCAGCGAACCGTGATGGGTAACTAGCAAAACCCCTTCTTTTGCCATTTTCCTCTTTCTCTCTTGATCCCCATCACGCTTCCCATCCCAGCCACCTGCCATCCTTGTCGTCTTCCACGGAGAGTATGAAGACCTGTTGGTGCAGCTTGGCTTGCCAAAGCACTCACCACACCTGTTCTGCAGTTCTGTTGTTTGATCCCATGCTTCTTCCATTGCTGATGAGCATTTTTGGTGGGGACTGAGCGACAGCTTGCCTGGAGAACATAATATCGCACCTTGCCTTCACCTGCCATTCCTCTGCTTCTTTGTGTTTTGGTAGCCGTCTTTCTTTCTCTGACACATTCAAATACAACGGTGTCTTTACAAGGCGTGTTCCATCTGGGCTGGCACAAGAGGACAGCACTGCAGTTCAGCTGCCCACCAGGGTTTCCTGGTCCACTGGTGCAGCAATTGTTTGCTTCACCGCTGACTTTGAAGGCGGCCAGTTGTCGTTTGCTCACACCTTCACATTGTCACTACCTGGAATTCGAAACACTGTGCTCCTCAACTGCTTTTGAGGTCACGTTAGGGTTTTGAGAACGAGGCCTCTTTTCTGCTTTGTGTGAATCACAGCACGTTTCTGCAAGTTTCACAGCCCCAGCAGCCTTTGGCGCCTGACCGTGCTGCCAACCCAATTTGGTAATGACCTTTCTTGCAGATCTGGTAACAGTGCAAGGTGGGAATTGTCCCCGGAGAAGCTGTTGTGCTTTTAGCCTAACTGTTATTTCTCTTGGGCCTATGTTTGGGTGAAGCAAAAGTGTAGAGATGAAACTGCCATACGTGAAAATCCATATTTATTTGAGGCGTTGCATATGATACTTAACCACAAAGGGTGGAGATGCTTGTGGCAACAGCTTCTTTCACGTTGGCAGGTGTACAAGACCAGTCCTGTGTCCTCTCAGTATTTTTTGGCCCATGAATTAACAAAACATTACATGAGCAGGCTAGTAAGCCTGGAGACCTGAAGTCAAGTGTAAGTTACAAGTCTAATGAACCATTTTAAGTATCCTGCAGTGTTATTTTGGTAATGTGTCTTGCTTTCTTATCAGCTGAGATATGTCACAAACTTCAGGATCTTTTCCAAGGAAGTTACATTTCTTGCCTTCCGTTTCTTAGAGTACTTTTAGCTTTCTTGTTTTTACAGTGAGAAATCAGATACTTGTATCAGATCTATAGAAATTTGGCTGGGCTGAGGCTACTTCTTTCTCTTTCCGTGTCTGGAGATATTGTCTGGATCCCTTTTTATGTTCTTTGATTTTTGCAATTTTTTTTAACTGGATTTTTTTCAGTATCATCATCATCACATAAATTTGCTTTCTCTTTGCCTCCTTTTTCCCAGTGTTCTTGCGCTATTTCAGTCTTACATTCCTACTAACCTCAAGGGATTTTTTTCCATTCTTCTTTTGACATTCCATTTCATTTTTTGCATCATACTTATGTGTTTTTATACATCTTTGCATATCAACCTCTTTCTTTGATAAATTTTGCTTATTTTGCAGAATGCATTTCTATGTTTCTTCAGTTCCTTATTATTCAGACACTAAACCATCGAGTCCATTGTTTCCAATGATGCCATGGTGTGATGGTTTATGTATCTTTTAAATAATAAGCCACAATTTTTTTTCCAGCCTCACATGAATTTCATCATGTTACTTCCACTCCCCAAACATCTACATCTGCAGAAATGTCAGAGCAAGAGACTGGTAAATGGCATTTGTTTTATTTCAAATCCTTGATATTTCTTGACATTTAAGTAGTACTATTCGAATGTTTGTTATTTGTCCTGGCTTTTTAATGTTGACTGCAGTGGTCTTTCATTTGTTCACTAAGGTTTCATGTTATTTGTAATAATTGCCAGTGTTCAGCAATGGCAATTGTCCAATCAGTAAGTGATCCTGATAATATCTGGCTATTTCAGGGTAGTATCATATTACAGAAGGGTTGTGGCGGGGCAAGTTGGGCAGAATTTAGCAGATAAAAGGAAATTGTCAAGCTTTGATGAATTTTTGGGTTGTCACTATATCCTTTCGGGAAGGAATGTTTTGTCTTTAGCTAGTAAGCCCTTTTAAAAGAGATTTCTTGTTGAACATTTGTTTCCTATTGTAACTTCTAAAGTAGTCCCTAATATTCAAAAGCTTGGTACAGTATAGCATTTTGGTATTAAAAATTATTTTTGCAGTTATTTCTGCTAATAATTTCTTTTTTCTCCCTGTGTATTTATGAAGAACTAAGTTTTTTGGTAGGATATGTACATTTGTAATTGAGCAAGAGTTTTCCCAGAATGTGATTATAAAAAAAAAGTAGAGGGGGTGAGATTCTGACTTGTGTTTCTGTTCATGTGAGGATGAATTATGCAAGTGATATTTTATTACATCATTCTCTTTCTGTAGACCAACTTTTAAATAAGTTGTCTTGATTCTGCAGAATACTATACTGAGACAACGAAGCAGGCCTATACAAAGCTGGTTTCTGAGTGAAAAATTAGTTGAAGCAACTTCATCTTCTCGATACGTTTACAAGCAGTGTTCAGTAATGTAAGGGCAATGAACATTAATCTTTTTGAATGCACTTACATAAGTGTTATACAATGCTTGTGTGGGAAGGATGCATGTCTTATGACATGCTTGAAGTATCTTTACAGAATTGAAAATGCACAGATTGATTTTTCCATTTAATAATTCTAAAATTTACTAAATGGACAGCTTCTTGCATTTTTTGCTGCATTGGTTAAGTACAACTTAGTAAACATAGCTACAGAAAAAGATAATTTGTTAGTGATGTATTTGTAAGAGACAATGTGATCTAAAATCCTAGCATACAAAAATGACTGATTTCTCTATCACAGTAACTATTCAAGCACCTTTCAAACCAGTTATATCTGACAACAGTGAGGTGGAATTGGGTAAACGATCATTAACGTCATCATGTGGCAATTAGCTTATTACAACCTACATACACTATTCATGTTTTCCCTAGTTTTATTTGTTAAACTTTGGTCAGTGTTCTTTTAGTTTCTCATCACAGATGAATTTAGAAAAGTCTTAGCTTTTATCTATTTCAGTATTCATACTTTACACAAACACGATGCAGCTGTGTTAATACTCCATGGGTGGTACTGACAGTTATCCTGCTTCTGCATGAATGCAGTCTTTTTGTTTCCCTTACGGTTGAGATCTCTATTTTGTCCAAGGTAATTTCAGTCAAATCAAACTATCCTCATTAGACTTTTAGCAGCTAGTCAAGTGTGACTTTACTGCTCTCTGTGGCATGTTCTCTCAAAACTACCACAGCTTTCTCTCTGGACATAAAGAATTGGGCTACTTAGATTTCTTATTTCTTGTCCTTCAACTGTATTCAGTCATGAGTGATTTTAACATCAAGAGTAGCTGCTCTTCAGTTTTTCATATACCACTGCCCATAGAAACAGACCATGTTTCTTTCATGCTGGCTGATCAGATACAGACAGCTGGCCTTACAGTAAATGCATCCAAAAAAAATCCCAAAACCAAGACAAAGAATGGAGTAGGCTACCACAAACATCAACTAAAAGTTGCATAACAACAAATCTAAAATAAATTTAGACCTTTTGGACATGCTAATGAAGGGCCAAAGATTACCTTATCTAAAGACTGATCTCAGTCATTGTTTCAAGATTGTTTCCATATTCGATCTTAGCTACCCAGGGACCAGGTCTGGAATTCACATCTCAACCATCCATGGAAACCAGAGGGAGTGTGATGGGTAAATAGCATATAATTCCATTAGCTTTTCCATCCCTTGCCATCACTTCCATTGGCTGTGGACAATGCTAAGATTCATTTCAACAAATTGCTTTCACGATGCTAGGCTTTTTTATTTTATTACTTCTTCCCCCTCCCCTCTCAACTCAGCCATTTCTGTGTATACAAAGCTGAAATAATACTTACCCCACTGACTAAAGTGTCTACAAAAAGACCTCTGCTAGCATACGTTGCCTTCAATTTTCTTCTGGCAGTTGCAGTTTTCTTTTGAAGAATAGGTATTTTAAAAAAGGCTGGTGAGAAGAATTCTACCTAGCATAAGATACCAGAATTGACCTTTCTTTATTTCACACCAGCTTCAGTGTTTATTTAACACCTCATTTCACAGCTGATCTTTAAAGCTGCTGTCATCTTGCTTGATCTCACATCAGTGTTGTCTTGAACTGCCCAACAGCTGCTGTCCAAATACCGTGGCTCTGAAGACAGTTCTCATTTTAACTCCAGATTCTCTTTCAGCTTTTGATGAAAAGCAGCACACTTCTTCAAGCTCTGAAACACCTGGCATCCAAGAAATGCCATCAGCTGTACCTGGTAATACTTGAAAATGTGATTTTAAATAGAAATTCTCACAGAGATTTCATCATACTTTTTGGTATATTGTTAGTTAAGTTTAACATGAATCAGAATATCTACAGAACTATCATAATTAATTTGCTCTCTCAAATAATAGATTAATTTAGGAAATTACATATGATGCTCTAAAACAGTAAATGCTGTCTTCTAATTTTGATATATTTTCCTTATAAATTTACAAGTCTGTATTGCTGTGCTTGATGATAATAGGCTTTGGCATATCTTATTACATATAGTAGTGTTCTCTTTTTAAGATGGAGCGCTGCAGATGGGTAAGAGTGAAAGCTAATAAAAGTTTTGTTTAAATCTCCAAGTGAAACTATTCTAATGGTTAAAAGTGTTAAGTCCCACAGAAATAATGGGATCAATAGCAATGAATATATAGGCTTCAAAATAGTGGAGAATGGACTCTTAAGTCCTTTCATTTTAATATATTTAAAGCAGTTAGACATTTTGCTGCCTGTAAGTGAGACAACATGGGTCCAAGGCTAATAGAAATAAAAGCATGCTTTTCACATGTATTGACAGAATACAACTTTTTAAACTAAACTGCACAATGTTGTAATTAAAGTAAGTATTGGCAACAAATTGATCTTGAGCTGGTGCTTCTCTGGCAGATGTAATTCAAACACCCTTGAAACCTGTTATACCAGACCTCAGTAAAATTAAACTCATTGGATGGTGGTATTTTCTTGACACATATTACTTACACTTATTAATATATAATAATCTGAAGTATATAGTTTTCCTGTTCTTCCTTGCCAACACTTATGCTTTATGATTCTTCTACTTCCTGTGTTCAGAAAATAAGCTAAAACTTACCAATTCCTTTCAAAATGACGCTGAACAAATACAGTTTTATCAGCGCTCAAGGTTCTGCTTTTTTTACTGTCCCTGCATAAAGAAATAATTTCATTTTCTTTCAGTAATGACAATTCTATCCAAAGTCTGTTTCAAGTTCTTGCCCAAACTACCTTGCAGTAAAAAGTGAGCTAAAGGGGTATTTGACAGGAAAGTTCTACAGAATCACAGAATCTCCTAGGTTGGAAGGCACCTTAAAGATCATCTTGTCCAATCGTCAACCTAACTGACAAAAATAGACACCCGCACAGAAAACAAGAAGCATCACCATCACTAAACCATACCTCCCAGCACTACATCAACCTGTCTTTTGAACACCTCCAGGGATGGTGCCTCAACCAGCTCCCTGGGCAGCCCATTCCAATGTCTGAAGTAGCTAGCCAACTGCCTGTAGTTGCAGGCTAATGGCAAAGCTTGCAGGATCCAACTAAACATTCTTAAAATCAAGAAATGGAGATGAGCTAAGTTTTATGCATTTATTCTTAAAATATATTAATCAGTATTTATCATTAACGCATCTACCATGGTGAGTAATAACTTACAATTAAGTGCCTTAACAGAACGTTTCACTAATGGTTTTCTAGATATTGATATAATAGTACATCCAAGTTCAACTCCTTCTTCTGTGTGCTTTGCCTATAAAGAAAGTTGTACTGCACACTTCAAACCAATTTCCCAACATTTACAATATTTGGAAGAATGGAGAAAATCATGTCTGATCTAGTCTGGAATTCAACATAAACGTTTCCATGCAAAGATTAAGTCCCACATTTGAAGAAGAGTTAAAAATGTGATGAAATATGATAATAATGTTTAATTAACATATTCTAGGCATAGGCTTGATACGAGATGGGAACCATTAGCATGTACAGTTGTTTGCATTTAAAAGACTTCCTTGGAATAACCTAATGAATTCTGGTTTTTAATTTCGTGTGTGTGTGTTGAGAAGGGGAGGAGCAGGAAGAGATGAGAGTGAATAGAAGGATTCTTCAACTGAAGAGGGGTGGGGAAGTCCAGCCACACAGTGAGGACTGCAGTGAAATATTTGCTTACATGTTATTTCCTCTGCAGTGGGACTCTTAGTGATATTAATGATCTCTCTTAAAAACCAATTGGTTAGTTGGTCACTTTTTTATTAGTTGCTTTTAGCAAATGTTTACTTGCCAAGATTCTTCAAGCCTATTTGAACTCTTCCTCATTTCTTGAATTCTGATTAATGACTTCACATTAATTGTGCTCTATGGAGCTACATAATCCAAAAAACTAATGTGGTTTTTCAGGTAATAAATAATACTTTCGGTCTTCACTCCCTTTAAAACCACAGTGTTATCACTTGTGCAGAGACTGCCTATTTCAAGATTACTTTCATGTTTGATTTAGCTACGTAGGGATTAGTCCTCAAGTCTACATCTCATCCTTTTTGGAAACTAGATGCACAGTGATTGGTAAGAAATGTGGGATTCCATTTTAGTTTTCATGTCATTGCCATTTTTGTTTTGTGTCAAACACTTCTTGATCAGCAGCCAGAAAACATTTTTAGTACAAATTGCGAAGGGGCTCGTCTTTTATACCAACTTGAAGCAATTTTATTTTTCTGTTGGTGTAATTTAAACTCCAGAAAATGTAAAACAAGAAGATTCTTCGGAGTTCTGCCTAGCATCAGGTATTGAATCCAGTTGCCACCATGTTGGGCTGCGTATCTTTCCCTTTATTCACATAATAGAGAGAGGACTTTTAAGCATTCAGTATCTCGCTTGTGTTTGCAGTTGCATCATCTTGAACAACACAACTTGTGCTGGGCAGCATGTTGTGCTGTCCCAGCAACAGTGAGATTCCTCAGAGTTGTAAATCCAGATTTTCTTTTCAGCTCTTAATGAAAGACAGATAGTTTCACAATTCATGTCTAAAGCATCTGGAGTCCCGGAAATACCATCAATCCAATCTGGTAATGGCATTTCTTGCGAACTGAGTATTCTTGACAGTGAGGAATTATCAGAAGAGTTCCGCATGTGCTTTTGGTGAAATGTTGGTTTAATTTTCGTTACTTTGGGGAAAAGAACAACTGCAGGATAAAAATTCTATGTCGGGTACTACTTTCATTTAAGGCAACGTTTATGATGTTTACAATGCTGGATTATGATTAATTTTTTTTTAAACTCTTAGTTCACGTTTTCAGTACTAATTGGTCCTATCACCCATAATTGCCATTGACCAATTATATAACTTCATGTAATAGAATATTATAGTATAATGTCCTGGGCACTTCTATGCCTGTGAAATACTGTGAGGCTGGTAATGAAACTTTAGCTTCTCCATCTTATGCAGAGTCTCCTGATAGAGATAACTAATTATTACTTGAAGTTATACTGCTTTTTATTTTATATTTACTATATTATTACTATAGTGAAGTTTTGTGGTCATTGGTATTTGAGACATCTTCCTGATAAGTTACAATATTGGGGGTGTGTGAGATGTTAGGAAATTATTTGTAGATTTATTTTCTGTTGACTGTTCATGTTCGCTTGCAGTTTTAAAACAATTAAGAAGTTGTTCAAGGTGTAAATACTGCAGTTGTGCAGAATATTCAAGTATATTTCTCATGAAAAATGACTCTTAAGCTATGCTGTAGTGACAATACTTGTATTAGGGAGATGAAAGACAACACAGTAGGCATTGCAAACCCAAGTTCAAGTTGCTTTTTAAATAGATCAAGACTTGGTAGTCCAGATATGTCGAGAAAAAAATATGTGCTTTTTTGGGGAGATAAAAGGTTTATTGGCTGTCTGCCTGTATCCTGAAGAATTAAGCTAGTTTCTTTAATATTTTTCTTCCTCCATAGGAAAAATTTAATGCTGAACACAGGAACTCTCCTTTTCTTTTTTTAGTATATTCTGAACCTTGTCTTCTACTGCAGACCTCTACAGATATTTGTAAATATTCTATAGTGTTCCCCTTTACACTAAAAAGCAGGTACTCTGTTTATATTTGCCATCTTAACTGCTGTGTCAGTTCATCAGCAGTTCTAGTAAAGGTGCTAGCATTGGCTAGGTAATTCAGAAAACATATTTGTGGAGCTCTTGTTATTCCCATTTTTCAGCAAACAAAATGAAGACGGAGATGACAGTAAATAGCCCAGAGCCACTGAGAAGCATTTAGTCAAATAGATCATTGAAAGGGAGAAATTTCTGAACCTCTTTCAATCCATCCCCTCATCAATCAAGTCTACAAACTTTAATTGCATTTTTGTAGGATTTTGTTTGTTCAGACTGGAGGAGTCTAACAGAGTTCTCTCAGAACAAGAGTTCCATGTTTGAATTTTTTTCTTTGTTGGTACATCAAATTTGTGCTCTTCCCGTTTGCCTATAATGTGTTCTTTGAAGTGTGATGACAGTTTCAAAATGTTGATTCCATTTTCTGAAGTATCTACTATCTGACCTATCTTCTGCCTGTGTTAAGAATTTGCTCTATGGTTTTATCAGAAACTCTTTTTTTTTTCAGTAATATATTCTTATACAAGTAGGTTACAAGGGGTTTTAATCATAATCTTTGTATGTCACTTGTCATTTACATATCTGTTCACTAACTTCTGGAAAATAAATGTGACTCAGCTCATGCTTGTCTAACACTGTTGGATGTGAGATTCTGTCTATTTGAAGTACTCCATAACTCTTCACAATGAAAACTGGCTCCTGTATACTGAGGTGTGGTTCCATTAGAGATTCTTACAGATTTTGGTTATGAAAGTGCAAGTTGTTTTTCTTCTAGTAGATGGCAAAACTCTTGGTGGAAATCTTTATTAAGTTCATCTGTATACATTTTTCAGCAGAGAAGCTATTGTTTCCTTTCTTCCCAGGCGTATATTATTTTAGCCCCAAAGTTCAGATTTTTAAGGGTAATGAAGAATATAGTAACCAGAGCTAGTTGTTTTTCAGATTAAATATTAGGAGGTCATTTCTAAAACTTGACAATATCTTTGATGTGGGCTGAAGTTTTGGCTATATATTCATTGATTAGTTCTCATTTTATAGTTTGATAATATTTGTTTGATTCTAGAAAGTGAATTTGGGGATCTGTCATTTCTTGCAGTTAAAAGGCAGCTCTGGAACATCGTGACTGCCATTATTGTCTACTAGGAGCAGTGTTTAGCCAGTGGTTAGGGTTTTTTGGTGGTACAAAATGACAAAAAATTCATGTATGATTTATTTAGTAGGAAGAGTATGCCTGAGAAACCATAATTTAAATATTTATTTGGATGTGATTAAATTTGATGCTTTCATATGCATAGAGAGACTGCCATAACATCTCAAGATAGTTTCCATCTCTGATCTTAGCTTTCCCAAGACCAGCCCTGAAGCCCTCATCTGTTCCTTCTCGGGAAACCACGAGGACAGTGATGGGTAAACAGTGATTCCATCATAATTTCTGTAATTTTGTCAATACCTAAATATGAAAAGCATTATTTTAAAATTTAGTCAAAACCTTTTGGGTTTTTTTTTTCCTGTTAGTGGCAATGCCAAATGTGTCAATGAGGTGGTCAGTCATTTATATAAATGTTAACAAAAGATACTTAATTGTTAAGCTTCTAAAACTCTCTTCATAATTTTGTGCTCTGTAGGCCTAATTCACTAAAAGGTTAGCTGTTTGTATTCTACATTTACTCAGCAGGGCCACCTTGATTAAAAAATGGAATAATACTGTAGTGAATGCAAATATGTATGTTAAAAAGCTGAATGTAATAATGGGCTTCATTAATGTAAAACTCTGTACTGGCACTGCTTTGAAAAACGCTGTTCATCTGTAATATCTGAAGGCAGTTTTCTGGTTTAATCTTAGTTACTCAGAGACCAAAGCTGAAATCTACTTCTCCTTACCTTGCAAGCCGAAGAACAGTGGAGGGTAAATAAATTTTCACTTTTTCTTTTCCCCTCCCATCAGTTGACATATTTTTCATCTACTTTGAGCAATGCCTAGGTTTCTTCCACTTTGGCTTACAAAAACACTTGCCAAACTAATGCCAAACATTCTGATGTTTGAACTGACGCTTTTTTCCATCACTTGAAAAGTCACTTTTTGCAGGGGCAGCTGGCAAAATGAATGTCACACAATCTGTATCTCTAGATGCAGTTTTTGTTTTGAAAATTCTTTCTCAAATTAAATATTCCACTATGGCCAGAATATAATTTCACTTCCCTTGTCTTGCTATTGATCTATAGCTGTGTCATAGATTCCTTATAGGACATCAATTATTTTCTCCCATTTCATTTCACTAACTTGAGAACTGAAATTCAAGCTTGACGAATAGATATGTTATTCGTTGTCTTAGAGACTACCTTAAAGGAAGAATGTGGATTTTCATGTGTCATGGGAAATAGTGAAGCCTTTCATGGGAATTGTGAGGCTTTCCATAGTCTGTTCTTTCTAAAAACAATAATAATAATAGTCACAACAGTAAGAAAATACATTTGAAAAATTATTGAACTTTCATGGAGAGTTGGAGTTATGTCTGAATATTGACAGGATAACGTGCAATTTTTTCCTTCATGCGGCAGTAAGGAAATATTTACTATTTGCAGTTGCTTGCATATGAGTAGTACCCTCCTGTCAACTTGAATTGGGAATACAAAGATGACTCTCTTGACTCCCATGTTCAGTCCGCAAACACAGCAAGACGGTTGACTACTGATTTGGTCACTGAGCCACAAGATACTGCCAGGAGAAGGGATGTGTTGCCTTAAATAGGGACATTTTGAGTGTTGTGAACTGGTGCTGCTTGTACTGCTGAGGCAACTCTGTGTGGGTATCTCAAGATCATTTCCATGTCTGACCACAGCAAGCCAGAGGCCGGACCTGGAATCCACCTCGTCTGCTTCACCGGAAACCACAAGGACTGTGATGGGTAAATAGCCAGCAATTCCCTTCACGTGTTGATTACTTTGGCAGTGCTTTCCTCTGCAGTGATGAGCCTGTTCAGGTGTTTTGATGTCCTGAAAAGTGGGTCCACAATGCAATGGATCCCCTATTGCTCTGTACTAGGACCTGCTCCATTTGTAAGCTTTCTGCTGCCTTTTTTGGGGTTCTAGGTTTACTCTGTTACCTCGGGCTACCGATGCCACTTGAAAGATGTGACATGGGAGCCTGCCCCAGGCAGGGCCATGTCTCCTTGTTTATAGCTCTGTCTTGATACCACCCACGTGACAGCAGCCTGTCTGAGGATCTGAAGGTGGTTTTTGTGTTTGATCTTAGCTACTCGAAGACCAAGGCTGAAGTCCACCACTCCTTCCTCCCCGGCAACCCAGCGAACCGTGATGGGTAACTAGCAAAACCCCTTCTTTTGCCATTTTCCTCTTTCTCTCTTGATCCCCATCACGCTTCCCATCCCAGCCACCTGCCATCCTTGTCGTCTTCCACGGAGAGTATGAAGACCTGTTGGTGCAGCTTGGCTTGCCAAAGCACTCACCACACCTGTTCTGCAGTTCTGTTGTTTGATCCCATGCTTCTTCCATTGCTGATGAGCATTTTTGGTGGGGACTGAGCGACAGCTTGCCTGGAGAACATAATATCGCACCTTGCCTTCACCTGCCATTCCTCTGCTTCTTTGTGTTTTGGTAGCCGTCTTTCTTTCTCTGACACATTCAAATACAACGGTGTCTTTACAAGGCGTGTTCCATCTGGGCTGGCACAAGAGGACAGCACTGCAGTTCAGCTGCCCACCAGGGTTTCCTGGTCCAATGGTGCAGCAATCGTTTGCTTCACCGCAAGGCCTCTTTTCTGCTTTGTGTGAATCACAGCACGTTTCTGCAAGTTTCACAGCCCCAGCAGCCTTTGGCGCCTGACCGTGCTGCCAACCCAATTTGGTAATGACCTTTCTTGCAGATCTGGTAACAGTGCAAGGTGGGAATTGTCCCCGGAGAAGCTGTTGTGCTTTTAGCCTAACTGTTATTTCTCTTGGGCCTATGTTTGGGTGAAGCAAAAGTGTAGAGATGAAACTGCCATACGTGAAAATCCATATTTATTTGAGGCGTTGCATATGATACTTAACCACAAAGGGTGGAGATGCTTGTGGCAACAGCTTCTTTCACGTTGGCAGGTGTACAAGACCAGTCCTGTGTCCTCTCAGTATTTTTTGGCCCATGAATTAACAAAACATTACATGAGCAGGCTAGTAAGCCTGGAGACCTGAAGTCAAGTGTAAGTTACAAGTCTAATGAACCGTATTAACATATCCTTCCCTTTGAGATGCACTTGAATTGTAGGTTCCCCAATGTGGTCGCCATGTTTCTTGGTATCTCACTCTAACTGATAGAAACCGATTCTGAAGTGTTTGCTTGAGGCACTGGAGAAATCTTATTTTTGTCAACTTAGTGTCAAGTGTCAGGGTCTTCTCCAATGATGCTCCAATTCTTGCCTACTAATCCTGTTAGGATCCTTCTTTCTTCTGTTTTGCAAGGAAATTCTTTCTGTGTATCAGAAAATGTACACCTTTCCTCTGTCACCTCTATTTTTAAATATTGTTTTCAAACTGAGTTTTTTTATGTCACGCCTTGTTCCCAAGGCAAACACGAGTCTTTCTTTGCCTTTCACCACTTTTTCAGTTAATTTTTATCTGTTCTTTTCTTTTTTTTTATCATATTTTCTGTTGTCTTTGAATATTTCTTCATATTTCTTGCCCCTTCTTCTTCATCATTTGCATCACCAGTGCAGCTTCACACATTCGTATTTGAAAATCCATTCCATGTGCATTTGATATGTATTCCTGTCTGAAGTCTCTAGTTCCGTAGCAAAGGATTTAAATCTGTTCAGTCTATAGATTCGGATGTTGCAAAAAGAATTTTTGTTTTGTTTTGTTTTGTTTTGTTTTGTTTTCCAGCTTCATTGGACTCTCATCATTTTACTTTCCCTTCCCAAACATCTGCATCTGCAGAAATATTAGAAATCGAGACTGGTAAATTGTGCTTGTGATACTTCCCTAGCTTAGGATATTTTTTTGCTGTTTCCTATGATTGTTTGATGTTTTCTGAAATGGAATTTCATCTGCAGTGTTTGGTAGTTAGGCTCTATAACCATATGATGCTATTCTGTGGTATAGGATCAAATGAAAAACCCACAAGAATCAATAGTGTTTTGGGTGATTTGGGTGGTGATTATAATCTAATGGATATAAGGATCTCTAGCTACATAGAATCATTATCAGTTACAAAAATGTATTCTTGATTGTGAGATTTTTTTGGTGGGTGATTTTTTTGGCAGTCTTCTCCGTTGCTAAGCATTTTTTTCAAGTTATGTTATGTTGGAACTTTTCTTACTGGGGTCATAGCTATCCACCATTAAATTTGTATTCATAGCAAAGGTATGAATGCTCAAGAGATGACAAGGAAAATTATCCTAAACCTGACAGTCAGTATTTCAACAGTATTGTTTTGACTTTTCTGCTTCACCTTCTGGCTCTTTGGTATGTCACAAAGGTTGTGTTAATTCATGTTGTGTCAATTATATAAAATATCACAATTTATCTTAAATGAAAAATTACACAACGTGTAGTATAATAAAACCTATAACTCAAAATACTGGCATATGTTAAGCTGAAACAAGCAAAGCTTTGGCAATAGAAATACCTGGTTGTAGAAATTCATATTAGCGTATATTTTAAGTGTCTAGGTCTCTTTCTGTACATGCAGGTCAAGGCAAAAACACAGGTGTCTTGATCTTTCATGTGCACAAATCAATTGTCTCCTGTTAAGTCTGCTTTTAGGGAGATTGCAGTTTCTGTCAGGGTGTGTCTGTTTGCTGCATGTGACTTTTTCAAAACTTTGAGCTTTTGTTCACTCCTTTTCAAGCTGGAAATCTTGTGAAACCGCGTTATAGTGGTGTTGGCATCTTGCAAAGCAGTGTAAAGCAATCTTGTTCTGATTCCACACAACACCCCACACACCCTCCCACCCCCCATTTCTGCACCAACGTGAATCTATCTCTCAGGGTTATTTACCTTTTTCTGCAGTTACAAGTTCAACTGACCTGGAAAAATCTATGCCTCCACTTCGCGGAACAGCTCATGTGCTAACAACAACTATGGGTAATAGTAATGCAGTAGCTTTTTAGTTAAACCACTTTGGGTGTTTTGATAGCAATTTTGGAAATCCTGTTCATCCCAGACATTTTAGTCATTTACGGTACTTGTCTTCTGTTTGAGACATGGTCATCAGTGTAGGCAAAGTACCCTTTTTCACGTGAGCCAAAACAAGTTGTGCTTACTTCTTAGAAACTCAGCTAATAGTGTTTCTGATCTTACATTTGTCTCTCAAAAAGCTACTAGAGCTATTTTGACATATATCTCAGTGAAGTAAGCTTGGCATAATAATAGTGCCTAAAGCTTAATGAGAATCTTAAAATTACTTGTTTTCTTCTTTCAAGTTCAATTGTTACACTCTCAGGTAGATGGATACACACACATTTATATATTCTATATTGTTTATTCCAGCCTAGTTCCTTACTGCTTATTACTGTTCAGTGATTTATTTTTTTTGGCTTTATTTTACCCTTGTTTTGTATAGGTACACACATGCAACATTAAAATGCACTAACAAAATCTTCACAAAAACATATTCTCTTAAGAGAATTAAGAGAGCATTAAGAAAGTCTTTTTTACAGAAATATATTTGCAGTGTATTATAGTTTTGTAGATTATATTTTTTCAGCCTTTTTTGAAGTGCTTTATGCTTATAACCATAGTGTTAGAAGTTCTTTTATCTTTATATTCTCTGAGTTGCTTTAAATTACATGAACCATACTGTCTAAAGTCATACTGGTTGGCTGACAGTTTAGTTTCAGTTTTCATTTTAACCTCTAGCTTCAGCTCACATTCTGTGCCGTTGTCAAGGTAAGGCATGTTATTGTAGGTGAACCTCTGCTTTGCAAATTAGGTATGTTATAACCTATAAAATTTTTTCTTTTGTTCTTATGAAACAAACAAAAAAAAACTGTGTAGAATCAGTAATCGTGGATGCTGTGACTGTTGGTTTTTTTATAGATTTCAGTGGTATTCAGCCTGTTCTTTCAAGCCCTGTGACACCTAATAAGCCTGAAATAGCAGATGCTGAACCAGGTACAATAATCTCTATCTAGTTCTTAATTCAGTAGCTCAAACCACGCATTAAAACTCACTTAAATGAGTACACTGGTAATCTTCACTTTCAGTGCACATTTGGATTAGACTCTTAACACCTGAATTTTGAATTTAGATTGCTGTTAATGGTTGAAATAGGTGCTTTCTCACATTTAAAATGCAACTCAGTCATGTGGTTCTCCTGCAATATTTTGAAAAATACGGCACGTAGATAATTGAGAACACAGTATTTATTGTCTAGTTGTGCTGATGAAAATACTGTGTTGTATGTTGTAGACTGCACTCTACTATTGTTGACTTGTTAAAAATACTAAGGATAGTGTATCCTTAATGGCATGAAATTGGTTAACAGTCACAGACACTTGATGCTTTCAGACTGAAACCGTAGTGGGATCAGTTGTCAGCTTTCTATTCCAGATTTTATATGGTTCTAATATCTGACTAACTGATTGCTCAACATTTATTCTTCATTAAATTCCTCCGTTTTACACCATACCATTTCCCTTAAGTAATGGACCAAAACTCATAATGTTCAAATGCTCAACTTAAAGTCTTACTTGGCAGAGGTTGAGATCCTGACCAGTTGCAACGAAGGCAGTAGGAAACAAACATCCAGAATTTCTGCACATCACAAATGTAATGCTTTATAGTAATGGAAGCTTTACACAGTTCAAAAAATGAATTTCTCTATAATACACACTAAACTGATAAGTGTTCAAGTATTAGTGAAATATTTGTTGTGCTTGTAAAAACAAATTTGTTTTTGCCTATGAAGGAAGAGTTTCTTCCATTAGCTCTTTGCTCTCTTATGACTGTCACCATTTCTTCCAACAGCAACAAGTGAATTCATTCTGGAATCTTTCACATCTAAAACTTCTCATCCTTTTCAATGGCCAAGGGTAACATTAGGTAATGTTGTTTTCACCTAGTGAAAAACTCTGTGTTTGTTTTGAGCACTTCATCCCATAAAAATGCATTTCTTCCAGCATATCATTTCACATGCATAATCTTTTTCCTGGTTTAGAGTCTTGTTCTTCCATTGTCATTAGATTGATTCTTCTTTGATATATCTCTGTGTAAGAAGGATGATTGTACTGTCCTTAGAGAAGTAAAACTTGCCTTGCATGAAAAACTCCATCATCCTTTTATTAGAGTGTTTTGTCTATCTCTTTCTCTCTCATGCACACCCATGTGTCATCTCTGATACGTAGAGCTTTCATAGTGGAAATGTTAATTGTTTTGGAGACAGAATCTATTTCTCATCTACGCACAGCATTTCAGTATCATCTCCATTCCACACTTAAAACTGATTTCATCAGATGGCTTTGACATTCCATACTAAGTTGTCTTTTCTTCAATATAAACTTGTGGCATGTGCTGTTTGTTGTGGGAAACCCTTGTTAAACAATTTTTGATTGCAAACTGAGCTCTTTCTTTCAGCTCCAAAAGAAATACCACTTATTCCTTCTAAACTGAAACCATCTGCTTCCCCAGAAGTACAGCATGTGAAACCTGGTAATTGTGCATTTTTATAGATTGGTATGGAAAGACATATGTTCACTAAAAATATCTAAGCAAAACTTCCAAAAAAAGAACATGAGCTATGCAATACATGAGCATCTTGGCTAACTCAGTATTCTAAAATCAGTCATTTGGTGTTGCTTAACAAAAGGAATTAGATAAACTTACCAGTTTTATGCATTTGGGTTCAGTGACAGAAATATAAACAAGTTCTCTAGTTTTGTAACCTTTTTAAAGAACTAAATGGGTAAAAACTTCTAGGTGGCACAGGTTTTTTTTAATATCATTTGTATGAACAATATATATGATTATTATTTCTACAGTCTCTTTTGCCAGTCACCATCTCCCTCTTTCACACAGAAATACTATGGCAAAGATAACATCTTTGTTAGTCACAACAGTTTGTTGATTGATAGTAAAGTACTACTCATGATCAATAAGTCCTCCTGCAGGGAACTCAGTTGAAAGGTTTGCCATTTTAGTGTAAGTAGGACAGCTTTCTGAAAGTAGGAGAAGAAACTTTCATATACATGTGAGATTCATCCTTTGACCATGGGAACATTATCATCGTGTCATGTCTTTTTTCCTTTTCTCTTTTTTGTTAAAAAACAATATATCTCTGTACTCATTTTCATCTGATTTGGGATTAAGGGAGGTGAATTTGCCTCCTTTAGTGATTCAGGTACTGTTCTAATAAATATTATCGTTTGTATTACGAAAGCCCTGAAATGTTTCTGTTCTCATATCTCATACACAGCACAGTAAAAAGCAGGAGTTGCTTTTGATGTCTTCTATGTGTTTTACAATTGACTACAGGCTCTGATTTAAGATTTTCAGCAAGATTTTGGCATTTAGAAGTTTCCTCTTTGGTATAGATCCTCTGATACTTGTTACAGACTGCAGTCTTTTCTTCAATCAAAGCCTTCATCTGTCCTTTCTCACTGTTTTCCCATAGCATCAAAGACATCTGTTTGTTGATTGAGTCAAACAATGGATTAAAAATGTCCTGAGAAAATAAATATGGGGAAGGAGCCTTAGAAGCAGACCCTCACACATACCCATGAGCATACAGTGTGCAGTTTCATAGGAAGCGAAACTAAAAGGATTGTAGGGTGTTATGCTTAAGAGTAGGACTTAGTTGCATCTTATATAGTCTATTTAAAAACAAACAAACAAACCCCCTGAACTACTGGAATGGTAACGCTTTTGACTTACTGTTGATACATCTACTGATCTGTTCTATTACACTTGAATTTTTCTTTTCTAGCCCCTAAACCACCACTTTTGGAGCCTAAAACTTCTCAGACTGTTGAACAACCAAAAGCAACACTAGGTAATACATGTTTCTGTAGCTGTTGGTCACTCTTCTTTGCAGTCCGTGCCACAGTTTGTACTCTTACTTTGTCTCATAGCTCTTACTATATTGAATCCATTTCTCTGAGAGGGGAAAACAGATAGGAATTAAGCATTCAGAAATATATTTTTCTAAACTTAGGAGAAAAAGAAATTTGGAATTTTTTCATATGGTTTTACTAGTACTATAGTACAGTAAAATTTTGGGGATCAGAATTGTCTTTCATTTTGTTGGGAGTTTTTCTACACCAACACACTTTACCCTCAGAAAATCATCAGAAAACCATTGCAAGTACTATTGAGAGGCCAAGTGCAAGGCTAGTATTGTGGATGTTAATCCTAGAACTCTCAATGAAGGATTCCTGTGGCACTGGGTGGACGTATGAATTCTACTCTTCTTTTATGAATTCTTCTGAATGTCATTTTGGCTTGAAAGACACTTATCAGTCACTTTTTATGTCTCATTCTACTCTGTTCTTTCTATAAATGTCATATGCTTTTCTACTCTGTGGAAAACTATGAAACTTTTTCTTAGAAAGCAGTCTCATAGCACAACTTTATTAAAATGAACAATATTACTGCCTATACTACCTGAAACTCACCTTAAGCTTTATCTGATGTCAGATTAACAGCCCTGATTAGCTAATTACAGTTTCAACCCGTGCACGTCCAGGGGAAAAAATGGACTGGTTGCTCTTAATTTTTACCACTTAGATGGTGCTACTTCCATTTTATTAAGATCTGTAACTACAGTTATGAAGCAATTCCCTTTTTTATTATTGATTCCATGTTTTTCCAGCTCTCTACCAGTAATTTCTTTACACTGTTGAAAACTGGGGACATTTTTGAATATTTTGTCTACATATGTGTTTTGATGGCTTAAAATCAACCTGGAGTTCAAAAGGATAAACAGTATTATTATTTTACCTCTTAAGTATCTTGGAAAAATTAATTTTCTAACTTAAGGAAAGGAACATTTTGATGTAATTGTAACCTACAGTTACATGTTTTAAATTCATGTACTGACTTTTGCAGTGAAGAACAAGCAGGGCTTTTGCTGGGGTAGTGAAGTCTTAGGAAAAAGTTTTGGGAAGCCTTCTTAGCAAATCTGATTTTGCCATTTGCTTTTGTTCCCAGTAGCCATTCAATGCTTCATTTCAGGCTTGAAGAATATGATTTTTATGTGATACAGTGGAAAGGATAATCTTATAATCTAGTATATTTCTTTCAGCTCCTAAAGAAGCAAAACTCAAACCTTCTGCATCTAAACATAGACCATCTGCCAGACCCAAAAAGCCACGAACTAAACCTGGTAACTAACTTCCATAGCAAACCTTTTTTATAATGTATCACTTAAGTAGTATACTTTAGTTTAAATTTATTTCATGTGAAGCTCAGTACTTAATCATTAAAGGATGGGCACTGAGGGAAGCTGTGTTGTTTGAGGAATATCATTTTTGTATTGAACCAAGAAAATTTGAAGGAAAGTAAGAAAATTTCTAGCTTTTTTTTCCACAAATCACAAAGTTATGTGGCCTGGCATTGAAACAAATTGTCTTCCTGATTTTGATTTCAAAATAGCAAGTTTTCCAACTTAGTTCAGCACAGAATCCAGAAAATGCAAATTCTCATGCTTTGCTGATAGTTACAGTATCTTGCCTAGAACCATAAGATTCATATTGATTCAGTGATCATTAATGCATCAACAGTTACCCGAAACTGTGCAAAAGAGTTAAATTCTGCTCTGGAATTTAGTCAAGGCATATTTTATGATGGCAAGTTAAATTACACTTTCACAGGGGGGTTGAAGTCGCTCTGTGTTGGAGAATAGAAGGCACATGGCATTTTCTGGAGCTGAAGAATAAGTGAATACAGTTACAAAAATATTACTGGTATTGCATGGTCTATAATGAAGTTGGAAAGCTTAAAATTGCATAATTTTATATTCTAAGAATATATTACTTAATGCTGGAAGAGATCAAGCAATATTATTAAATTCTTTCCAGATTGTCTGTGAATTTATCTTTTTTTTCTCATAAAAATAATTACTCTCTTCAGACCAACTAATTCCTTGTAAAACTTGTTAACTAAACGGCAATTATGACTTGGAACTGTCTCAAAATGGTGTTTATAATTAGTTTTTCATGGTGATTACAGCTTCTACAACATTTTTAGTGTAGGAAGTCCAGTATTGTATTACTAGAACAATTACATTTGTCTCTGCTGTAGATGCCTATATCTGAATATAGATCTGAATCCTGCAATATTTTTTTGAAATGACAGAAGAAAAAACCAACGGATTTGGAAACCGTTGTATAAAACTGTTTTACACCCTTGAATTGCCAAGATCAACACTGTGTATTGATGTTTCCACAGTGGATGGCTGTGTAACAAGCTTCTATATAACTACGAAGAAAGTGGCATGATTCTGTATTTGTACACATGCCTCTTGTTTGTCCTTTTTCTGTTAGTGGTTTTACCAATCAATCAGACAGAATCCTAAGAAACACTTTTTAATCATAATTAAGCTTGTAATGATCTTCCTGTAATTAGGCATTTGTGAATTTGGCATTTGTTCTCATGGGACAAATGATGATGTTCAGAAATTATTATTTGGACATCAAATATGCAGTGCATGGGCATAACCTGGCTTTTGGGTAGGTGGCAAAATGGTCAAGGAGCATGATCTCCTCTGTATTCCAGCATCACCTGGGAGTTCAGTTTAAATTAGAAACTTATGTCATGACAGTGGTTGTCACCTCTACTTATTAGTGAATCAAATAATACTTGATCACTGACTTCCTAATGATCCACTTTGGGTCAAACTGAATTCCTGAAAGTTTATTTTGGTTCTCACTCTTAATAAAACTTGTATTACTCTGGTAAAGTATTTGTCCTTTTGCAGTGAGAAAAAAATTCATTAAAAAAAAACACATGTAAACAATTTTCAGTTTTTCCAACTAACCAAATTGACATTATAGTCAAATTTTGCAGCTTCATTCTTCTTGATATTTTGATAATTGAATCTGTTGCTTCCATGGAAAAACAGTTCTTGTTGCCAGTGTGATCCTGCCCAACCATTGTGTTTACGTGTATTATTGTTAGCATTAATGTATCTAAACATACTAAGTTCCCCATTTTTCAGGAAAGGAAATTATAATGAATTTTCTACATGTATCCAACTGCACTGCAACATTTTCTTTTCAGAAGAGGACAAGAATAGTTCTTTATAATGAATCCTTGTTGAATCCCTGAGATGCACTATAAATATGCACTCTCTTGTGCCTCTAGTACAAAATGCTAGTTCTTCAGATGCATCCATGTATTTCCACTTGTGTAATGTGAGACTTTTGCGAGAGAACTGCAGAATATATCTGTTGTAGAGGAGGATCTCAGCTACCTACGGTGTGTAAATTTCTGTAGTATCAATACAGTACTGAAGTTAAGATAGAGTAGTGTTAGATAGATTGGTGCATACATGTCGTTGTTCCTTTTACAGCCTTCTCTCCCTTACTTGAGGGTACTAGAAGGACTTCTAAACATGCATCTTCTGAAGTATAGTCACACCAGAGAACCATGCCTTCTCAGCCTGTCAAAACTCTCATAATTTGGTGTATGTCTTTCTTTCTATTTTCTGACCTTTAAAGTCTCAGGTTACCTGGCTGCTCAGTGGTTACAACGTGATAAATTGCTCAATAATATCAAGAGTAACTTTTATATCAAAGTCCTCTTGTGTTGTCTGGGAGTTTTATTTAGGAGCTCTGCTTTCAGAACAGTCAGAGGAAATGAAAAGCATTTTATTTCCTCTCAATTTTATTCTCCTCACATCATCATTCTGAGAAATCCATCTCCCAGCTCAGCCTTTTCTTTTTGTCTAGCAAAGTCTATATGAAATGTGAATTATATATCTATTAATTAACTTTTTTTTTTTTAATAGGCTGAGAAGTACCAGAGACTTTCAGGATCTCTTTAGGCTTGGGAGGAGGATGGCATTGTTGAATTTTAATGCCATGTTAATACTAAACAATTCTACCAACTTTGTCTTCAGAGTTCTCTGTTTTTCAGAGTCTTCGGAGTTCTTTCCTATCAAACCTGATTAATTACTCTGGATAGAGATGGGAAGTTTTTTTAACTAGATTATCTAATGTGCTGTAGCACTAGGTTACCTACTGGGATCTTCACTCTTACTTTCTGTCACTTTGCAATTATTTCCACCTGAAGTCTTTCACATCTAACCTTTGCATCACTGTGGAAGAAACCCAGGAAAATTAATAGACAGATTTACCAAAGAAAAAATATTTCTCTGGAAATGTTTCTTTTCAGTGGTCTACAGCCACAAAGGGAAAAAAAAAATAGTCAGGAAAACAGGAAGATGAAGACTGGGAGAGCTCCTCTGCCGGTGGTGTTCCTGTAGCATAAATGCACCTTTTATTTTCAAAGAGCAGCAAAAGATGCACAGGGTAGTTACTGTTGCTTCAGAACACTCAGTAAACTTATTACTTACTCAGTGTTTCCATTTGAATAATGGGGAGGAGGTAGATTTTAATTGGGAAGCAAGAGCGTGTCAGCCATACTAGATGTTGAGAAATAGATATAGATGCACCTGTATTTCTCTCAAGAAAATTCTCTTTATTCCAGCAGCAACCATTCCAGTTTCAGTCACTGCTAAGAGTCCCTACGCATATGAACATCCAAAGACTACAGAGGGTAATGATTACGAGTCATCTTTAGTCATTCTTCTTTCCTGTAGGCTTCTTGCTTATTCATATGTGGTCCAAACCCAAGAAATGGAAACAGAGTCTTGGTGCTTTGTTATTTGTCCGTGTTTCTAGTGTGGATATATTATCTTCTAAAAGACAGGATATCACTTCAAAGGTATCTGATTAGAAGCCTCAGTTACATTAGAAAAAGAAAGAATGAGAACTATTGCAATAGTAAAGACTTTATGAAATATAAAAATAATGTGTAATCTAAAAATCACATTTAAAATGACAAACTGCTGAATAATTTCTGCAAAAGAGTTCTTTGTTGCACATAACTGAGCATTGCTTGATAATTTCTCAAATTTCTGGAAAATGTTGCATCCTTTCAATTAATCCATGGAAACTTATGTTAAATTTAAGAATAAAAAAGTAATAATGATAATTACTTTTTTTGGTATGAGAGAACAAAGGTGTCCTTTGCAGTGAGCCTTGAAATGTTATATCTGATTCAAAGGAAGATTTCAGTCACTGTTTGCATTCACTCTGTATTCTGACAAGCATTTTAAGATGTTTTTAAAGGTATAGCATAGCTCTTTTAAACCTGAATGAAGCCAACTACATATATAATACTTTACTGGACAAGAATGGCCTTAAGTCTGTGCTTAGATTATTTGATTAAATAGAATCAATATATTTTGGCCAATTAGCAACAAATCACTAATAATAGATTCACTGTTTCCAACTGCAGTAAATTCTACTTCATAAAGCACTCTTAAAGCTCTTCTAATGACCTTGGTTTGCCAAAGTCAACATTGGATAGCAATGTTTTCTTAGCATCCTATCTTAGCTTTCTTTTCTTTGAATTTTGGCTAATCTCATAGAAGCTAATTTTGCTACAGAAAAGCATCTAACTCTCTGATTATCCCTTTCTTCAAAAGCTCTGTCTGCTAGTTTTGCCCATATCCAAAAATATTTCACGCATTAAACCCATAGCACCAGGGGAGAAAGAACTTGTTCATTATTTTGGGATAATATTTATACAAAGAGAAACCAGATTGCTTCAGAAAAAAAAGAAATTGCAGATCTAACAGACTTGCTTTCTATTCTTAATATTTGAAGGTTGTTGTGGGTTTTTTTTCATTTTAAGAAATCACTGATTTTTTAAGAGCAATCTGAAAATAGAAATGAATATTTTACAGAAAGATTTTGAATTTAAATTCTGAAAGCAATTGCTGTGCTTGAGTAACAGCAAAGTCATTGCAAACCAGGGATATGTAGTGAGCACATTAGAAAGATTATCAATTAATATTATTTTAATATATTTTCTGTACTGTTATTTTTAATAGATTGTACCACTTCATAATTTAGGATTGTGATTATTTTTTTTCCTTTTTCCCCCAGTTTGACATAGCTTGTGAGTAGAAAAAAGGACCTGATGTATTGGTTTTGTGATCCAAATTATAAGAGGATATAATGAGAAAAACCTAAGAGACGTTATCAAAATATATATTTTCAGATAATTACATAGCTGTATCAATAGCAGCCTTTTAGTCATCTGCTTGACTGTTCACTTTAGAGGAAACAATTAGCTGTTTTGTCATGGTCAAGATGCCACTTTCAAGTAGTAGCAGACTTCAGTTTGGGGATATCTGACATTTTTGTGTATCAGGAGTCCCTTGCTGTCTCTGAGTTAAGCTGTGTGCTCTCTTCCCTTGCTTGTTCGAGGATTTACTGATTTCTATTAAAATATATTTGCTTTCGTTGCCATCAAGTCTGTGCAATTGTATTTTTCTTATTGAACCAATATTAGTAGGAAGTTTAATTGTCCATGCTTTTAAAACTGAAAGTTAATTTGAAGATCAGCCTTACTGTGGTGTAGTATTAGCACCTGCTTTTATACTTACCAGTGGAGTAATTTTAAGTGTTTTGGCATACATTCCATACTTACCTTGTCACGCTGTTTCTGTTGCAGTCTTGGAACCTATTACACTTAGAATTGAACCACCAAGGTCAACGATAGGTAATGATATTTCCTTGGCAAGCTGTTGTGTTTGCTTTTTCATCACAGAAGGCATCACTGAAGTCATCACCTTATGCCTTAGGAGTGTCTCATTAACCTTCATTTTTCTTCTAGGCAATTCTTTCGCTGGGTATTCATGACAGTTGTACATATTGCTTTCTTCACAGTTGGAATGTCTCTTTTTTTTTTAAGAAAACGATGCTGGCAGCTCTCCTTTCTCATGATTATGCTTGTCTGTGCTTCTCCCAGCTTTTTATTTAAAAAAATAAAACCTGAGCTTCAAAAATTGCTGAAATTCCACTCTCTTGCTTAGATTGATGTAAACACACAGAGAGTATTACCTGACTTTCTTTCCTACTTCCTATAAAGAAACTTTTTTTCTCTCTTGCAGGTGTGAGGTTTCTGTGTTTGTATGTTCAACTTGATATCAAACGCTAATTACTGTGCAATTTAACCAATTTCTTACCCATATTTTCTCTTCCAGCTCCAAAGGAGACTCAGCGTATTCCTTCTAAACCTAAAACTTCACCCAAACCTCATATTCCACAAATCAAAGATGGTAAATTACTTTGTGTGATTATTTCTAATACAGTTTATATTGGATTGAAACGTATGTTTGAGCAGCTGTTTAGTTATCTGAGCCAGTTAAAACATAATGGGGTTCTGTTCTGCTGTGTGTTCGGTAATTTGTTTGCAGTTTTCAGGAGTGGTAACATTGCCTAGGTATTTTTCATAATGCAAAAGAGTAAATCTCTGATACTTCATGGCAGCAGGATGAGAGTATTGTTGCTAAACTCAAATTACAGTGTTAGCTAAAGCAAATACCTAACAATTAATGTATTAGAGCTACTTAGGTGGTACAATTCTTTCCAGCACTGCTTTGCATTGTTAGAACAAATATGTTTCCCTTTTAAGTCATAATTACTTAATTTCATCACATTATTATTTTCTGCATAAATGAGCAACTTACCCAGTGCATAGTTACTATTTTTTTAATAAATATTAATATTTATTAGCATTAATGATCCTTTATGCGTATTTCAAAATACTGGAGTTTTGTACTATGTCATTAAATGTGAGGGAAGTTGAATTCAGTGGCAGGCAGAAAAAACTACTCTCTGTCCTCTGCTATCTGGTTTGTAATATCACCAGAAAATAACAAGGGTATGAAAATTTGTCAACATATGTTATCTTTTGGTAATCGTGAAAAATTTCATTATAATAACATTTCTGGATATCTTGAAATTGTAGACATGAAGCAGTATTTTTGAAAGCTGATGTTATCTATTAAATATGATTTTCTCATGTAGGAAACAGTCAAAATCCTTGTTCGTTCATAATTTTTTAACCATGTAACATTGTAAAACATTGCTTCTAAACTACAACCTAAAATGCAACTTCTCATAGGACTTCCACATACTGTTTATACAATACTTCATCTTACTGTTTTACGGTTGCTTTTTTTTTAAAAAAAAAAAAAACTATTCCTTGAATAATCTATAATATACAGAACTTTTTTTACAGCATAATCCACTTAAATTGTGACTGTCTTAAAAGATGCAAAGAATTTTTTTTATTGTCACCCATACAGAAGCATTGACACAAAGAGGGATACCGTTTCTATTGTGCCTCTTTTTCTGATGTGGGAAATGCAAAGAAATAACATCAGTATCCTTATGCACCTTAAACACCCAGTGTTATTTTATATCCATGTCAGTTTAGAGCTGAAGTATGTGATCATGCAATGCAATACACCGTAATGCTCTTTAATAATATAGCATCCAGAAAACAAGCAAGTGGTCTCTGATTCCAATTGTGTATATAAACTGCATCTGAAATACACCACAAAGGGAAGTCATTTGTGTCCCTACAAAGTCATTTTCTGAATAAAGGGGTGATACACATTGGATATATCATTGAAGCCCATGGGAGAGCTGGGCTCATATTATGTTTCAGCTTACACTGCTACACTCAGAGACTTCATTTAATATAACAGTTACAGTGTGAGATGGTATACATAGTATATAATTGAAAATGCAGTTACTAGACAACTAATACTAAATGTAAGTGGAATTATTCTCTTCAATTTTCATAATGGCTTTTATGTTTTGTTTCTGATACAGTCCTGGAATCTGTAACACTTAGAACTGATCAACTAAAACCAACAATAGGTAACAGTTTTACCTACAGAGACCATCACATTTAGCTTTCTTCTCAGTATGCACCAAGTATCACAAGCACATCTTCATTATATTCCACTGCAATAGTGTTTTACTCTTTCATTTCATCCTTTTGTAATTTTTTTTTTTGTGATTTTACACTAACAACTCATAATCTTGTTTGGTTTTTCGCACACAAATATGTTCTGTAAAGTTGATGGAAGCACCACAATCTACCTTTGACTGTGTGTCTCTATACTCAGTTTCTGTCACGTGCTGCTTTATCTTTTATACTAGTCCATCCATACTGGCCCTGCTTTATGTTATCCTGTTACAGTGGTTCTCCATCAGCACTATTCATTTGTGTACCAGACATTCATACTTCTCCATTACTCATACAAGCTTTTTGTGTTTCCGCAGGGTCCCAAAGGCATATGTTCTTTTTTAATATTATGTCTTCTGTCAGTATGAGTTCTTGAAAATTTTAATAGTTGTCTTTTTTTTTAATTTCAGTTCCAAAAGAAACACAGCGTGTTCCCTCTAAACCTAGAACAACACCAAGCTCAGAGGTGTCACAAACCAAGCCTGGTAAGTACACTGTTTCTTTATCTTATTAGATTGATATGTGTGTCTTATGAATTCTACTGTGATCAGTGGAGCTTCAGATTTATATGTATCCCTTGGGCATAATTGTTGGAGCAGTCCTTGGGGAATAAAATCCAGTATCAAACGTCATGAGATGTGGAATTTATAAGAAGAACCTGATAGGTTTAAAATCTCTGTTCGGTTCTTTTTTACATTTTAAGTCACTGCAACAGTGAGCATTTTCTGTGCAGTTGTCAGGGGAAATAGATCTTTTCTGTGTGAATTTGCTTGGGTTTTGTGAAAGTGAAAAGGAGCGGATTCACTGCAGAGAGGAAGGGTTTGTTGTGGTTTTTTTTTATTTCTCAAATTATGTATTTGTTTTCTCTTTCCCAGGCACAATGATTAATTTATACTTTTCAGTTCACTTTTGCACAGCCCTTATGTTGGTCAGAGATTTAACAATGTGTATTACTTTCTATAAAGTAGTTTACACAGCTTGGTATAGAGCAATTTGCTACCCTGAGCTAATGAAGGATGGAGAAAGAAAGTTATACAACTCACACAAGCAATTGCAAGAGGTACTGTGGTGGGTTGACCCCAGCCAGCAACTAAGCACCCACTAGCCATTTGCTCATTCCACACTGCAGTGTGTTGTGGGAGAGAATCAGAAGAGCAAAAGAGAGAGAGAAAAAAACATAGTTCAAGATAAAGAGTGTTTAACAAGCGAAGGATAAAAAGGCGGGGGGGAAACAAGTGATACAAAGGCAACAACTCACCACATCCCATTAGCAGACCAATGCCAGTCCAGGAGCAATAGGTCCTTCGGAAAGAGTACCCCCCAGTGTTATTGCTAAGCATGACATTATATGAGATGGAATATCCCTCTGGTCAGCTTGGTTCAGCTGTCCTTGCTGTTTGCCCTCCTGGCATCTTACCCATCCCCAAGCCTACTTGCTTGAGGGCAGAGTGAAAAACAAAGTCCTTGATGGCGTAACAAGTACTATTCAGCAATAGCTAAAAGATTGGTCTGTTATCAGCACTGTCTTGGTCAAAAATCTAAACCAGAGTACCACAGGGGCTACTATTAAGAAAATAAACTCCTTCCCAGCCAGACCCAGTATGGGTATCCAAGGTATTAGATGGTGCTGCTGGAGAAATGGGCAGAAAGATGACAGCTCTTTTTCCCTTCAGTAAGTCTACACCTATTGTTTGAATGAGAACCTTGAAAGTCAGGAAAGTGTACAAAGTTGAATTTCTTTGTGGCTTATTAAAAAAGCTTCAGATTTATATTTGGGCTCTGCTCTGTATTAGAACTATTGCCTTGAACTGTAGGCAGTCCTGAGCAGCATAATACTCTGACCTACTGAGCTTCAAGGAGTGACCATCTGTTATTGGCTGAAGTAAGGATGGTGTGATCATTGTGGAGGTAGTGATTGTAATGTTTTGATTGTTCTTGGTAATACTTGTTTTTGTTTTTTATTGTGCTAATGCAGTTCTGGAACCAATTACTTCTAGAACTGAGAAACCGAAGTCAACAGTAGGTAATGATACTTTCTTACTTGACTAGTCATGTTGTCTTTCCTCTTCAATGCAAATCATTAAGAGTAGACCTGCAAAAGGTTGTCACCTTTCTTTGTATGTGCCTGAATAATTTAACTCTGTCTCTTTTCTTATTTTCTACAAAACAATTGAGGAGGATCCTTTCAAGTTTTTATGCATATAACATAGGCCAATTTCCTTCAATATTCAATGATAAGAGGCAGAGGGCAGATCAGAACAGGATCCTAACTTACATGTTCTTGGTCATACTATAGAGGTTGCACTGTTCTAATTAGTCATGTGGTTTGGATGAGCAGAGCTGCATACTGCAAGTTTTCTTTATCTGCTTCCCTTCCCCTCCAGTTTTACTAAATGAAATTCGGTCCTTCATAGAGATCTGAAAAATAGTTCTGTTTCACTCAAGCCTCAATTCCACCATCAGAACAGAATCACTTCGGTGATCTTTGGGTCATACAATTCCTTGAAGTCAGGTCCATTTGACTAAGACATTTTTATCATTTGACTCTGGTACTGTGAATCATTCCAGTACAACCTCCATTACAGAGCAGTGGTGTGTATTTGAAGCTCCTTATTTTCTTTTCTTCTTTTATTTTTAAAGTCCTCTTCGTAAATAGAACCAGTGATTCTATCACATGCTTAGTTGACAATATGTCACAGAAGATCATTTCTTTTCTCGATAGCCTGATTTTGTTCCAAAAAAAAATCTTCTCTCTTGCATCACATCCATAGAATATCTCTGGTTAAAATCTTTGCTCTGTTTTTGTTGACTTTTATGGGTAGGAGTGATTACAGATACCTCAGAAAATTTTAGCATGGTGTAACCCAGTTTCTTTCTTTCAGCTCCTAAAGATACACGTCATGGGCCTTCCAGACCTAAAACACCACCCAGTCCACGTGTTCCTCCAACTAGAGCAAGTAAGCTTATCAATATTTTGCCCTTTAGTGCATGAAAGTTTTATCAGTTTGAAAATTTTCAAAATTGATAGGTTTTCTGAAGGAACACAGTTACTTATTGACTAGGCTGTTTTACTGTCATAATCAAAGTTTGCTACATAGCTGTCACGGAACAAGATAATCAGCTATATATATAAAAATGTCAATAAGTTGTATAATGGTAGGAATGTGAGGTTAACATTCATCTTGAGCCCATGCACATAGGAAAATTTTAGTCTAATTTTCCACAGAATGTGATAGAGGTATTTGTAGTCCTAAGAACTGTTCTAAGAACTTTGGAAATAGTTCTGTCCATTTGAAAATTAGTGGTAAATTTCCACATTTTTTCTGCTTTGACTGCTTTGCGGGAGATTTTTTTTTTAATGCGAAGTTGATTTAAATGAGCATCAGATTTTTTGAATATGAAACAGTTGAAAGGGCACCTGGGAAGAAACACTTGAGAACACTTGAGAAGATTAACACTAAGGGAACTGTTAGAATTACAGCTCAATTTGATAGAATTGAGATGAGTGGAGAGTTAGTCCAACACTGCACTATAACAGTCACTTTGTCTTTAGTCTCTTCACTAACATAATACTGATGGCATTGACAGATGATCTCTGTGTTTATTTTCAAATGGAATAAACACTTCCTAAAACAATTTTTTGTAGAAAATGAGTCTGTTGTCAGAAAATTTAAAAGACTTATGTTGAATCATCATCCTCAATAACATGTTAAAAACTTCGCTCATCTTCACAGGTCCAAAAGAAAGCAGACGAGTCTCTTCCAAGCCCAGAGCATCACCAAGTCCAGATGTACCACACACAAAACCTGGTAAATACATTGTTGTTTTGTTGTATTTGAATATTCAGGGTTTCTTTTGGGTTATCTTTCCTCAACAAATCAAGTATTTATTAACATCTCTTCATATAACAAACAAATAGATTTTCTAACAATCATTAAATATATGCTTAAAGGAAGATAAAGCTGATTTGTATTTTTAATGGCTGAGTTTGATGATTTGTATACGCTTTTCAGTCATATGACAGCTATCACTGATGAATAATCTGCATAGCAGGGTAGAATACATACAAACATTGTAGAAAATATACAAACATTCTAAGAATGTTCTTGGAAATTGCATCTCTTCTGGATCTATCAAAAAATGCTTAGAGAAAAACGTATTTGAGGGCCTTCATGTATGATTCTAAATATCTGTAACTGAAGCCACTCAGATTTTATGTGTCCTGGTAATGGAATTTGATCCTTCAAAATATATAGGGATGTACATACTAGTGAACTGCCAAACCTCTGTAATCCCTGGTGGTTCTGAAAGCATCAGTTGAACCTTTTTTTAGAGTGAGCCTATATGCACTAATTCCACCAATAAATAATTAAAGCAAAAAAAAAAAAAAAAAAAAATTTAAGTACGTGTTCCAATTTGGAAATAAATTAGTCATGTAAAGAGTATTTTTACCCTTTTGCTTGTACTTATCACTAATTTTGTGTACATTCTTGTTTTTATGAAGTTTTGGCACATACTACATTTGCAGCTGAACAACCAAAGACAGCAAAAGGTCAAGATGATGCCTTGGACTGGTCATTATTACTTTTTCCCTGCTGCTCCTTGGACCGAAGATCACATATCATTAGTCTGTTTTTCACTCATCTCTATGGGGTTTTAATTTGTTTTCTTTAATATTTGGTGAACTTAATTCTACTCTGTTCCAGGTATTGAAAAATTACTAGCTGTTATGTTGTCGTCACAGAAATTTTCTTTTACTCTCACACTCATTGTAATTCCTTTGACACTTCTAGGAGACAAGCATGCCATGGGCATTGCAGTTATGAGCTCTGAAATGCAGAAGGAAGCATCTCCACGATAGTTGTCTGTGTTCTTTCACTTTTTGTTGCTTGACTCCAGATTTTGCTTCCTTGATCAATTTTCCACCCATGTTTTCATCATGATTTTCTTTTCCCTTTAAATTCTGATACTCGTTTTTCCAGTCTCTCATATAAGGATCTTGTTTTTCTTTGCAAGCACAAGGCATGCAGTGCCTGTGCAATGAACCTGTCTAGCTTCTGAAGAGTATAAACTCTTAAAACAGATATTTTCTTTCAGCTCCTAAAGAACCACAACATACTCCCTTTAAACCTAAAGCACCTCCCATCCCAGATGCTCCACGCAGCAAGCCCGGTAAATTATCTGGTCTTTTGTCAAGCTTAGGTTGATAGTTGAGCAACTGCTTTCAGGGTGGGCAGTGGGGGGAGTTGTCAACAGTACATTTGCTGTTACCTGGGTATCACTCTAGCTTAAGAAACCTCTGCAATGCTGCAGTTAAGTCATACCATTGATGGAAACTGCAATAGTTCGAGACTTTATTTTGTATTAGATGCATATTACCAGAAGAATAGTAATGACTGGTATGCTTAAATCAATGCTAAAAAGTTATTCACAGCTTTTATCTGTGCAACACAGTTCAATTGTTTGCTCCATGTTTTTGAAATGCTTATAAGCCTCTTAAAGATGTTGCAGTGTTTTTTTCTTTATGTATATATTTTCATCCAGGTTAGACTGAGGATTCACTTCAGTTGTATTTTGATTGGGAGACTCCCCATCATAAATCTGACTGACCTGTATAAGATAATCACTGATTTCACTGAAGGGTTATTATTGTTGTTTTTTAACTATCTAGATGTTAAAAACAAACAAAAAACCAAACAAAATTGAACTCTCTGTAACCATAAATCTCTGAGGGTAAATGCCCATTGCTTTTTTAAAACACATCTTCCTGGTGTATATATTAGGAGCTGAAGGCTGTTTTTTAGAGGGTGGGGAGGAAAGGGAGACTCTCTTCATTATTCTGAGCATTTATCGACATTTTTTCCAACAGAAATCATTCCAACCTTCTTCCATGAACCAGATACTACTATGATTCCTCATATTCCTGAAAGAACAAAGGCAACATTGGGTAATCATATGTATTTCATAACCAATTACTCTATTTTCCATTCTTGTTAGAGAAGGTATTCTTAGAAAAAGCTCATTACATAATACTAAAACTAATAATGAAGTTTTACTCTGCTTCTAGATACTTGCTTGCTCTTTGGTATCGATAAGGGTAATAATACATGAGCTCATTTACTTTTGAAGGTTCTTTTCCTCGTCTTCTAGCCTTTCCTGTCAGGATGGCGTAATTCTTCAGATGTTATATAATTTTCAGTAAAAGGGAACTTTATTTAAAGAGCAGGTAGTGATTCCTGTAATTTCTGCATCTGAGGTATGGATACCATCATCCTAAAATATTCTTCTCCTTCACTCCTTATGTTATAATTTTACAGAAGAAAATTGCAAGGAAAATTATAAGGTATCAACTCTAGCATAACCTGTACCAAATCAGACCAGCTGTGTGGTCCAAAACAAATACTAGCTCTTAAAGCCATTTTCTCTCCTAATTTCTAGTCATCCATGTTGGGAAAACTTCCGTAAATATATGAAACATTAGCTGAGAATTCTTTCTTCTTAGGTTAAATGTCAGATGTCGACCAAATAGGGGTCAATGAATCCAAGCAGGATTGAGTAGCAGGAGTATTGCTTGAGCAATCTTTGTTCTCTGTCCTCAGTTTCAGAGACAGATGTTGACCATGATTTTCTGAGAATGAAATGATATCATTAATGAAGTATTAATAGCCATTTAATAATCTTCAAACAATGAAGAGAAATAGGAAATGAAAAATACTTTCTATCACGTTTCTGTTGTCATATATATTCCCTGTATGTATTGATACTTAGGTTAGTATTCATTTGATATCTCTTTATATAGCTTTATGAGTCTATGTGCCCTGTTGTATACATCTGGGGCTACGTGATGTAATATTCATATGCAGAAAATAGTTCTGCAGAGCAAAGGGGATGAAGAATGCACAGGCTAAGGCATGTGTTTTGAGGACCTCCCACATTGGTGTGAATCACAGACTAGCAAGTGCTAAGATAACCTTTTCCAGTAAATGATTCCTGTATGGCAAGAATTTTTAACTGAAGAGTATGAAGATAGCAAGATTGAATAGTTCCCACATAAGAATAAAGAAGTGTGTTTATAAATCAAGTCTAGTACAAAGCATCCACTGAAAAATAGATCAAGTCCTCAGATACTCATGTATGGCAGATGTAGAATATACAGGCTACTGCTTTCCATTTTTGTCCCATTACTATGCTGTTTGTGACTATATTCTTCACGGCTTCATCCAAAACTACCAATTTGTATGTTTTATTTTGGGGAAGTCTGTTTGTGTCAGTGGCCATTTAATTTGTCTTCCTTTCTTTGCAGGAATTACAAATGATTGATTTTCAGCTTTACTCTTACATAATTTGCCTTATTACAGATCAGATCGTACTTATGTTCCCTGTGTGGTATGAAAGCAGTGTGTTTTCCCAATTATTGTTTTGGGTGCTGTTTGTTTTTATTTCAGCTCCAACTGAAAAACAGTTCATTCATACCAAATCAAAAACATCTGAAAAATCAAGACTGCCACACACCAAACCTGGTAATGGAGTCATTCTTTTGATTTTGTGTTTGTGTTTAATCATTCTTTCCCTTAGCCTCAGGTTTCGTGCTTTTTAATGGAATTATTTGTAGCAGATTTTGTGCTGAAACAAATGCATTACACTTAAGTCAATCAATCCAAGATATGTCAAAACTACACTCTAAATAATAGTAAGATTTTTAGTAAAGCAATAAAATCATGACTAAAATACAATAATGTGGGTGTTGAAGAATTTCAGTGGTTAGATAGACTGACTTCTCTCTGATTACTTCCTGGTAATCAGAGATGCTTCTCTGTGAGCATATTTTATTTTTTTTTAACCGTAAAATGCAACAGAACTCCTTTGCAATGTTCTTGCACAGTTAGCAACTGACGCTGTGTGCTATACTGAAACAAAAGCAGTCTTAAAATAGTTACGGGGGGCTGTGTCTCTTCCCATTTTTTTTTATATAAGGAATGTATAGGAGAAGTTAATAGGAGAAAGATAATGGTATCTGTCAGCAGTTGATTTTTAAGACGTTCTGCTATTCTTTAGTTTGGGACATTTTGAAAGTTTTAGAAATAGTTTGTTTCTGTTACATTTCATATTCTAAGATTCTTCACATTTTCTCCTTAACAGCAATCCATCAGACAACTCCACAACCAATTATTACAAAATCTTCTACTATCACTGAGCATTGGGCAACAATGGGTAAATAAGTTTCCTTAAAGTTAAGATGCGGGTATTTTTAATATTTCAATGGAGAAATTTCTAGAGAACGTGCTCTGCTGTAGTAATTTGTGTAACATCATTCCACTGTTCTTCATTCTTGCACACGCTTACACACGTGCATGTTTCTCTATACAGATGAGTCTCAGTTTTATCATAGAAGTAAAGTAGAAATAGCCTAGAGCTCGTATCTGGTGAGAAGCCCGTATTCATCAGATCTCCAACCAAGTTCAGTGGTCTGATTTTTCCTTTAGAGCAAGAATTTTAGCCACTAGCTCAACTCATCCTACAATACAGTGCTAGGACTTTTCTGTGTTTCGGGTAGTCATTTTGTTTCAGGTTCCAGAAAGCCATGGAATTGTTATTGTCTTTTTTTCAGGCATTTCAGGCATGCTTTTTCTGTGGGCTAAATATGGCATTGGATCATGACTCCTGAAGAATACAATAATAATCTTTTTCCTTTTCTTTCAGCTCCAAAAGAAACACTGCTCATTCCTTCCAAAACCAAAACATCTGTCGGGCCAGAAGTACCACAGACTAAACCTGGTAATTTAAAGTTTGTAACTTTGAAAGTGTTATTGTGGCACTACCTTAGTTACACTTTCTGCTGTCATTCAGTACTACTGTCATGTCACATGCATGACATGTAGACAGAAATTAGTAGTATTGTTCAGCTCAGAGTATGGTAATAAATTATATCAAAGAGAATGCCCAAGAATTTCATCAATTTCCGTGGAGAGCAGAAGTTAAGATGGTTACGCTTTTTAACATTTATTTGTTGAATTGGTGGGTAGTAGCCATTAAAAATGTGAGGAATTTGATTAATGTTAATAAAAGCTTCCCTGAGTTCTTTTCTTTTGAGGGATTTTATTACCGTAAATACATTTCCTTCAATTTCTCAAGTACTTTTGAAACACGGGTTACAGAATCTCAGTCCAAGGTAGTTGGATGCTAAAAGTATAGGTACCTACTTCCTATCAGTAATTTTTGCAGTAATTACAATAGATTTAGGAATTCATAGTTATAATGAAGGTTGATGATACTTCAGCTTTATTCTGGGTGTGAACTGTTTTCATAAAAATTACTAGGTAGGAAGGTTACAGGAGAAAAAAAATTATTAGAGGAGGAGTGACAACATGGTTATGAGAAAAAGCAGCTCCTAATCTTTCTTACTCTTTGATCTAACCTCCAAACTGATAATATTTCAGTTTTAGGCAAATAGTTTAATGAATAGTTTTATCATTTACCTTCTTTTTTACCCTTAGACTTCTAGCCCTTTTTATATAGCCAAAAAGAATTCAAGCAGAGACCCTATTAATTCAAGAACTGTACAACAAGTTACTATGAAAATCAAACTGAACAGTCCAGGAAAAAAGATTTATTTTCTAAAGACCTTATATTGAAAGGCTTTCTGTTAAGTGGCCAAGTTAGAGTCTAAGTCTCAGCTGAAAAAGAGCTATTTCTAATCATGTCATAGTTAATGAGTGCTATGTTTTGGTACCACTACAAAGTTAGTTTTGGATGAAGAATTTTATAAAACAGAATTTATAGGTTTATTCTTTTCCTTTTAAATTGTAAATCATTATGATGTATGTACAAAATAAATCACTGTTAGCAAAGTTGTTAAAAACAAATGGTACTATTTAGCCACTACCCTTTACGCTACTAAGTATGTCACTTTCCAGCTTCCATGTTTTAACTTTATTTCTGAAAGACAGAGATGCCTGCAGTGTGTGTGTCTGCCTGCCAATCTCCTTTTCATCCAGTAACTTAGATATCTTTCACTAAATGCAGTCAAATTTGAGTGAGGGAGGAATACCTGAAAGGTAAATAGGTTACTACAAGCTTTTAGAAATCTTTTAGGGAAATACAAATTAATAAGACCAAAGACTGTCAGAACTCCACCTTAAGGGCATTTGTCCTGAAGGTTGGTGGGGGCCCAGCAGAATAGTTGTGCTGTCTGGCTGTCAGCATGAAAATACATCCAGACTAATCAGAACACATGTCTGTCTCATATCTGTTAAAATTGTCTTAGCAGATGTGTAGATAGGTTTTTATGAAACAAACGACACAGATCCTTAATGAAATCCAACTTCTTTAATTTCACTTCTCACAGAACAATGTTTTATTTCTTGTAGCTCCAAGGGCAACACACCTGGGATCAATTAACCTTATAACAGTTCATGTTGTTGATGGGTCCAAAATGACTTTGGGTAATAAAAATATTATGTCAGTTTATTTTTTATAAAACTTTACTTTCTCTGCTTTTGCTATATGGCTAAACTTGCACTTCAATAAACAGAAATACCTTAATATGTTTTTATGTGGTGTTCATTCGTTAGTCACATTCCAGTGCATGTACAAAATGTTGCTGGTTTTAATTTTCCAGCCAATTTTCTTTTTTCATGCAATTCTTCGTAGAAATGTACAAGGCTGAGGTGCAATATTAAAAGGCATTACCTGATCATCTTTTCTTCTTTTGTCTGACTTACTTGTGATATGTATCTTCCCAGTCTTGGAAAGTCTTTTATCTGTATAAAAGCATGATTTTCAGCCAGGTTTCTAGCACTGTCTCTTTTTGTTTATGGTCTGCACAAAGATTGTTTGAGTTTCCCTTCCAACTGTGGTGTCTTATGTTTAAAATAAATCATTTGCATTTGATAAGCAATAATATTTCCACTTTCAGTTCCAAATGAAACGTACCAGATTTCACCGAAGCCCAAAGCTCCTCTAGCAACTGAAACTCCACAATTCAGTACAGGTAATTTTTAGATTTTTCCTAAGTTGTTGTATTGAGAGTCTGTAGATCTGAAGTAAAATCAGTACAGTTTAAGGATCTGTTAATTATTACCTTTAAAACCATTTCAAATATATAACTTGAAATTTTATTTTTCCCCTTATCAAATGGCTTTTGTTCATAGCTCTGAAAGTCAAGATTTAATCGGTGTTGCCTCAAAGATGATATGCAACTTTTAAACAGTATTAGTGCTGTGTATGTGATCCTCAGATGTGTAGTGTTGCAAACATAGATGTAACTGGCTTCCACCTTTTTCCTTATAAAATACTAAATCTAAATCCATAAAACTTTTTCCAAATGCAAATATCAAAAATGAATATGTTCTTTCCCACATAAGTATTTTCTCTGACACTTCAGAGAGGCTGGATTAAGTGTTGTGGATAGAATGGTCATTAGATTTGACTATCAAATACCTATTTATTTTAAAATTTGAGTTACAGAGGCTGATCACTTGGCCCAGATGACAGTGACTACTGCTTACACTTTCAGCTTTCAGTGTGATACACACAGATTCTGTAACAACTAATATATCAAAATTATTTGGCAAGTGAAAGGTGCCAGTAAGAAAAGGTGAAGGCTTCTGATTTTAACCTTGATGAGGCACTATGCTTCACAGCCCTACACAGCGACGGCACTGAATGCTTCCAGTTGTTTTCTCAGCAATATTTTAATGTTTCATGTTTTTATCTGAATATTTGATTTGGGGGGGAAGGGAGGGGTTCAGTTTGCTGTTTTATTTTGAGGTTTTTTGTTTGTTTGTTTTTTACAGAACCTAATTAAATGTCTTAAGGCCATGGATACCTTGCAGAGCTAACTCTGTATCCATATACAGTTGGGTAACTGGCTGTAAATATTTTATATCTTTTCCTAAACCTAAACATGAATGTAACTGGTCAGACTGCATGATGGTGTCATCTGGCCACTAAGAAACTAGCCTTTCAGCGTGCATTTTGGATTGGAACTCATAGAATTCTCATATGTCCATTTTGCTGTATCTCATTGGTGCATGGACCTTTTTTCTGGCAAATTACAATGTATAATTACATTGGTGTTCCTTTTACAGCATTTAAACTGAACCTTATTTCTTTTAGCACCTCATAAAACACGTCTCACTTCTGCAAGACCAAAGCCATCTGATAAATCACAGATCAGACCTGGTAATAATTGTTTATTCAGTTTGGGATGGGGAGGAGATTAATTAATTGATTAATTTCACTTATTCTCAGTAGAATTTTAAGTGCTTCTGGGAAAGAGGGTATTTTTCTTTCAATCAATCAGTCTAGAAGTAAAGCCTTTCCAAATAAGAAAAAAAAAAAAAAGAAAGAAAAAAAAACCGCGTGTATCATCACAGCGTTACTTTTTTTTTCTCTAATATGGAATTGTTGGCATCACATAAAAGTCTGTTGGGTTTTCTTCTCATGGAACCCTTTTTCTTTTTTTTTCCTTTTTCTTTTTTTTTAAACTCTCTCACAGCTCTTAGTAAGACCACACCAGCACCACCTAGAACAAAAGCACCTGGACTGCCAAAGTGGATTGTGCCAACAACAGGTAGAGCTGCAGTTTTGAGGGTTTTTTAACTTATCAGTAAAAGACAGGAATATGACTTCCTTATATCACCTGGAGCCCTGCAAAATATTTCATTATGCTCGATTATAAAAGCTAATTCCTCAGAGTACTGTATGGAGTTGCTGCTACTGGTCATGCTATAATAATTCCTGAGTGTCACTATGAACTGATATTGACACTCAGTCAGTGTAAACTTACAGATAGATTATTGTGTGGCTACTGTTAACGTATGAGAGATGATAGGTCCAGAATGAATAATGGAAAAAGCTAACATACTAACCTGGAACCCTAAATCTTACCAGCTGAGTAAAGACAAAAGTTTCTTTTTCAGTAGGTGATATCTTAGAGAAATAATAATATTTTAAGACACCTGGATGATTTTTGAGAGTGAAGAAGTTTATTTCTTCCATTATGAAAATGATACATTATTTTCTGTGGTTAGCTCATCAGAATCCTTAACTTCTGATCTAAACTGATGAGAATCCTTAATTGGACTGTAAGGAAGAATGTGTTTTCAGGCTTACCTTTAGACATTACGTCATTTTTTCTTTCTCTGAAGAGCACATTTACTGAGGAGCCATGGATATGTTTGAAGACCAGTTTGGATCTTTTAATTCCTTGCTGGGCTGGCACTGCTGATGAACGTACTGCAGTTCTTCTTCCTGATTGTACTTATTTGCATCAGTGCAAAGATGTTTCATCCCATGCAGTGCGTTTGGCAGCTGCAGGGCCCAGATGATAGGCAGTGGAATTTGTTTTTTCCAGCAGCAGCACATGGGATTGTGGCCGGTTTCCTGGCAGGCTTTTCAGTCTCCTGGCTAGCTGTAGTGCCAGGTGGTAAACTTGACTGTGGGAAAGAGTCAGGGATTGCCTCCTCATGACTAACATTCCTTTTAGTTTTCTGCCATGTTTTAGCCATTTTCTCTAGAATTTTGTTTTATTGAGATGGCTTTTCAGATTTGTAGTAGTGTATGTGACTTATCTTACTCAGTTATTCTTTTTATTTAATCCTAATCATTTAAGAAATGTTCCTGATCTATTAAGCTTCCAGACAACTTTCAGCAAACAAATTTTGAGCAACATTTCCATTTCTCTAGTGAAAGAGAGAGATAGTTGGTTTTCATTATAACTGTCATTAACTTTGTGTTCTGTTTTCCTTTTATTTTTGAAATTGTGTGTGTATAGCCAAGTTCTAAAGGAACTCAAGTATTAAGGTATTTCAGTTTGTTTTATCAAGGGCACTTTTTCCAGTTCTTCGCTTAAAATTATCTACCTTTCTAATGGTATTCCTGCTATTAAAGATGCAGGGGTTAGTTTTAAGGTGTTCCAGACCCCATGAATATTTCCAGAAAAAAAGATAGAAGTAAGAGAAGAAACAAACACACATGCAAGAAATAAATCTATTCACATTTTTATTAATATTTTGGATGAATGTGATAAGTTGAAATGTTTATAATAAGCAACTTATGATAGCTAGCGTAAGGCAAATGCTCTGGGAAATACAACAAGCTGTTTGATAGTGCAGGTACCTTGCATGAAAACATAAACTTTTATGTATCTTTAAAATGCATTGAAACATTCAAAAAGGAGATTTTCTCAACAGGGAATTGTTGTGGTTTGATCAGCTTTTTCCCTGAAAATGTGACTTATTTTTCATTACTACTTTACTAATGGCAGAGCAGCAGTGCAAGTTTCTGAAAGAAAAAATTGCTTCTTACACCTAGAATGTGTAAAATACTTTGTTCATTCCCAGCTGATATAACTCAGAAAAGACTGTGATGCTAAATTCGATTGTAAGGACCAGGATAGACGTGGACTTTTTTGTAGACACTGTAAAATGCAAAGCTGAATTTGGCTTGTACTTGAGTGATTTATTCAATATGCTACTGCATTTTATTGATTTGTTTATTGTGAGATGAAGCTGAGAAACTAAATATACTCCAACTGTGACCTGTGATGCATAAGACTATTTTTCTTTTGAAAGCTGGTGCTGGTCTTCTCATGTGTTTTCTTCCTTGAACACCATTCACATTGATTAGCACACTGGTGCTTTGTTTATCTGAAGATCTAATTAATCAGTTGCCTAAAGACAAATTGCAGTTATATAAAACCACATGATGTGTTTAGAAATTTTGGTTGCAGGGGCCAGGTGACCTGCATCCTGTTCCCAGTTTACTACAAGTCTGATCATTTTAATCTTAAGCAAATAATTAAATGTTTCCATAATATAGTTTTCCCCTGTTGAGTAGTACTGCCACTCAGTTGCACTTTTAGAGAGTGTAGAGTTTCTATTCAATCTCATTCTGAGTGTAGCGCCACAACTGTGAATTCCTAGCATGCCTAGCAAGAATGGCCAAATAGTAAAATACTTGAAAAATTGCTTAATACTGTTGAAATACTAGTTTATTCTCAAAGCAAGCTGAGCACCAGATTATAAACCAATAAAGTCTCTTGTTTAAATGTTAGGATCGTGTTGGAATTGGCTTGAAATTGGATAATTAAATCGATTTTAAGATTTTTTTTTTGATACATTAACTTTCAGGGTTTTTTTCTTACCTCATGAGAAAGAGTGATTTTTATTTTTTTTTTATTATTTGTTTTCACAAACATGACAAAATTGCAAAGCATTTTTGACCTCTACCATATATAGAATCAAGAATCAATGGACATTTTATTCTGTATATTGAAAAACTAAAATATTCTCTGTACTCTTGGTTTAACTCATCTGTTATTTCTCAATCTTACTCATTCTCACTTTCCAAATATACTTTTTTCAAGGAATTTTTACAATTAAATTACAGAATCTTCTAGACCAAGACCACTTTCTATCTACTTGAATAGGAAGATAATGGATATCACTAAGTTATCAGTAAAAATATTGATGGGCCATGTATGCCAGTTTTGCACTTAATGTTAGCTACAGTTTGAACATACACAATACAGAAATATTCAGTTACTTGGTACTGCACTGTAGGTATTTGTTTCATTTCCTTTTGTTTCACAGATGAAGTATATACACCTGAGGATATTGCTGGACAAATAAGCATGGATATAGAAAAAGTTTTGGAATACAGCGATACCTGGGAAAAGCCATTTTCTGGTAAGGTTAATAAAAGAATACAATTTAACAAGCATTGCTACAAGCTAGCCAGTATTTGACTTTCCCTTTAAATGAATTTACTATTTCTGAAAATTAGTGTGTTTTAACTGAAAACGTTTACATCTAGGCTATTTACGAGAAATGAAAAAATGGGTTACAGCACACTAGAATTAAACTTGATATTATAAGAGTCTATCCTAAGAGGCTGCATGCCCTCCTTTTTCATGAAAAGTGGCAGAGTCAAGGAAATACATTTCCTGTCCACGGAGAACCTCTGAGATTAAATAAATCCTAATAGTTCACCATGCCACTGTCATCACAGGAATCTACGCTATCACAAAATCTCTAAATTCTTTTGTGTGTCCTCGGTCTCCACATATTTTTAATTAGTTTGGTACCATCATAGACCATTGCCTAAATCATTGTAGAACTAGTAGAAGGGGAGGGGAAGGAGTCTTTTTTTCCAGAGCACAGTATAGTAGATTCAACTGTGACACAGTCCACTGAATGTGATGTTTTGGCTTGCATGTAACTTGTGGTTGTGTTGTTCAGAAGATATGATGGAAACCACTGACAAAGCAGTACTTGCATGTTTTTACCCCATAAATATGTCAGACAATCCTGTGCCTTGTATATGGTCAGGGGAAATTAATCATGGATACTACCATGTAGTAGTATCTAGGGTATGATGACTTGTATCTACAAAAATTTATTTTCCTTTCTCAAGTCTTTAGGCATATTTTTTTCATCTCCACCTGGGGATGAAAAAAGAATATAAAACCTACAAATGCTATTTTCAAACCCACTACATCTTCCTAAATTACATAGAGCATTATTTCTTGTCTTGATCTGAGGGATTTAAAAAAAAAAAAGTCTTTTATAAGTGACTGCAGAAGTCCAAAGGAAAGGGAACAGAGAAAGATGGAGATGTTCCTGTTTGTAAATTGAAAGTATTTCTAAAAAGGCTCTCCCAAATGAGTCTTTGGATCTGCTCCCTTCTCGCCCACAGTCACTCTATTTATAGGGTAAACTAAGGTCAGATATGTAGGGCCTGAGGTACTCTGTGTAGCCAGTAACTCAGTATCAGGCAACTTGCATATTTGTTGACATTGGCAGCATTATAAGAATTATATTACTCTTGAGGATTTTCCCCTGTTAGGTACAAAAAGTCTTTTGTTACATAAATGTGTCGCACATATCTCCTGTTTTTTTTTTTAAAGAAAGAAGTGCAAAGGTGAATAGTGGAAGAAAAATCTTTTCCTTTGCCTTTCCTTTGCATGATAAAATCCTTTATTATTTCCTGGAAAATACAGTAAAATTTTTTGTAAGTATGAATTAAGAGGCTTAGGTTCTCCTTTCAGACCTCACTGTCAAAGGACCTTACCCAATAAATACAATAGGTACTGACTAGAACTGCACATAGAAATAACCTAGTTGGGTGCATCAAGAGTTTATAACACAATAGCTGTTTCTAGCTAGCCATGTCAGTGCATGAAGTGACAGTGACTTTTTTTTTTTCATTTTTCACTTTTGAAAGGCATAGGATAAAGCATCCCTAATGATAATTTTCCTTTTGCTACATCTTTTGCTTCAAGCTGAGGGTGACCAGTTTTATCAGTTAGAAAGCACAAAAGATCAGAAATTTTGTGAGTAGAATCCTTAAGACAATTCCTAGTACACGGAAGTGGTGTTTACTGTTGGAAGAAGTGTCCTAATCACTGCCAAAAAATTACCATTGACAGAAATAAGTAACTACACAGAAAATGAATTGCTGAAACACTTGTACAAAAGCCTAAAATTAGCTACATTTTTTCAGTGCAAGTTTGGTCTAAAACTCGGTGGCACGCACTTCCCAAAGAATTTAAGGCTGAAAATACAACTCATTTAAGTTTCTAACCTCACCTCTCCACTTTTGATATTGAATCAGGCATGAACCATTGTTTGAAAAGTCAGAATATAATTTGTAATGGGTTTCTGATTTTATGGAACTTGAGGTTAGATAATTACTAACACTGTCTTTTAATGTCATTCAGTAACTACGTCACCTGGCCCTCAGCATCCTCCTCTACCTCCTGTCAGGCCTACACAAATGCGAAGAAGACCTTTGCCTCCAAACACTGTGACTGGTAAACCAGGGAGTCCAGGTACCTCAGCCTTTTCAGCATAAATATTTTATCATGTGTGAGGTAATACTGAACTGACTAGCAGGGTATAGGGGATTTTTATAATACGGATTCTTTTTGCTTCATTTGTGATATCTCTAGAAGCTAGTCTTCTGGAACATAGAAATGTCTTTTGTCTTCATACATAAACTCTGTTTTCTTTTTGTTTTCCTAACCTAGTTATGTCAAAATCATCCCTAGTAAGGGAGCTGAAAGCAAAATAGCATAATGCAAGTCATCCTTTAAGATCAACCTTCAGAAAGTTTCATGTCTACTAATAGCATTTGCAGTTACTTAATGTACATGTCAGATGGGAGAGATGGAATATTATGGTTCAATGCATACTCCCAACTGGCTATTTGTAAAGAAATTCTGCCCCATGTATATGGTGTATCCATCAACCACTGCAAATGAAGAGCTAGTAGACACCCAGAAAACTAACTGCACTGGGATGCAGAGCAAGCTGAGTTATTTCATGTGCAAAGAGTTTAGCTTCGTTCCTGTGCTACGGTATTCTTGCTTCTCAGTATCAGCTTAAGAGCACACAGAAACTTTCACGTTTCCGATTTTGTTTTCATTTTATCCTGAAGGTGATATTCAGTATCCTTACCTAAAGAATCCTTAGGCTAATGATATTGCAAGTAGTCAGAAATTATCATGTCATTATGTTTAGCATCATGAGCAATGCTTCCCTCTTCATATTTCTGTCTTTAGTTCACTGGAAATACAAAGGTCTTGGCTCTGCTGTATTTCCTGTTGGCTTTTGTTTGTTTGTTTGTTTCATTTAGAGCTTTGTATGTCATTAAGGCACTAAAGACCTACATAATTCTTTAGTTTTTTGTGCAGCAGTTTAGAAGCAAGAATCTCTAAGCTGGATGAAGCAAGCTGTATATTTACTCAATTGCAGAGCCAAGATTGAAATGTTGGGTCTGTACTTGCTGTTGATAGGCGGTGTTTCCTTAGTAATAGCTACAACAGAATATAAGACGTTGTCACTCTTAAGCTGTAGCATGAAAAAATGTTGACCTGATACATTTTATTTTGCTTATAACGGGGCCTATATTAATTTTATCCATTCAGTGTCTAATTAATTTACCAGTGTTTTGAAATTTCACTGGTTTTCCATACACTAGAGGCCAGGTTATGTGGTAGTCAGCAGTTACCATACCTTCCCAGGCATTCAAGATGGAATAAATTGGTTAGATGATCTGGTTCTTCCTTATGAGGCCAGTAGCAGATTTTCCTTTTTCTGTGTTTCCTAGTGTTTTATCCAGCTTAGTTTTAAACTTCATAATTGAGTTTCTTCTGGTTCCCTGGGCAGGCTGTTCCACAGTACTAACAGGAAAAATTTGCCTCAATGTTCTTCTTGGATTTTTCCTTTCATAATTCTGCCCTGTTTCTCTTTCTCATTAACACTGTGTTTAATTCCTTACTTGCATCTTTCTTACTCATCCATTATGGGAAGGTCTCTATGCAGACTTTACAATTCTCCTGAACAGAATAAAAGGAAACAAGAGTGTTCCAGAACCTTTGTGAAACTGGACTTTAGTGAAACTCTTAATATATTTCCACCTTATTAAGGAAATTGGTGGCAAGTAAAGAGAGAATCTTTATTATTAGAACCTTAATAGATTTCCACTTTATTTAGGAAATGAATGGAAGGTGAGGATTTTTGTTGTTTTAAACTTGGTTCACCAGAGTCCTGCCTTCAGTCACCATGTTCTTTTGTGGCACACATGCAGGGAATGTAACTACATTATGTAGTTCTTGATTTCTTTGGGATTGAGATTTCACAGTAATGCAGTGGTTATCTGGGAGTAATGTTTTCTGTTTCTGAATGTTTTGTGAATGTAGTTCTTGTCTTTTACAGCTACTTTGAACACAACCAAGACATTCTTTACCATGGATTACTTGCCTCTTAGAAACTTGTTTTCATTGTTAGGTGATAACAGCTGAGGAGACAAGGCAATGTCACATAGTCTAAAATAGTTTTTAAAATACCTATTTAATTATGGAAAATAATAATGCCTTTATTAACCAGTTTCTGTCCAGACTTGTGGTGCCTAGTACAGAATAGATCAGTTCAGAAAGAAAGCTTTTTTCCCTTGGGTCATGTAGTGTTATACACGTTGGAAATGTTGGACGTGGTTGCATTTTTCTTAACTTCATTCGAAGTGCTTCTTAATTTCATTTTGTGGAAGCTCCAGTGTACTGTTCTGTGGTTAAACTCTTAATGCAGACCGTAATTAAGGACTCAGTGTTTATCATTATACATTACATATATGCATTATATGTTATATCTACAGTGTTTAACATTATAATGAGACTCTAGCCTTGGTAATAGACATGCTATATTGAGTGTAGAAATGAAAGGACTTTAGCTACATTTGAGGAAAGAATCCAAAGTTCAGTTGCTGAGTTTGGTTATTCTGTCTTACAACTCATGAGGAACTCATTTGAGAAACAGAAATGCTGATGCTGGTCATTTTACATCCTTTTACCAGTCTGTGTAGGATGAATCTGTGCATTAAACCAGATAGCACTCTAGTTGACTGAAGTCCTCCAAGACAATCTCCAAGTAGCAAAAAAGGTTCTTACTGGGCTTCAGGAATAGGTTATATTGGCAATAATGACAACTTGGAACTTTCCTAAATCCAGCTGGAAGCTGTTATATAAGTTTTGAGGGAATATCATAGTTTGAATTAAAGTACTTGTTTCATGAAGCAGTTGTCATAAATCTGAATTCTATTAGAAAATCAGAAAACTATCGCACTCTTTAAACAGTAAATGCCTTGTTGGCCCAAGTTCCTCTTTCTGCCATTATAGCTAAACCTGCTGGACCAACAACACCTGTGAGGACAGGAACATCATATAAGACACCAACAGCTTTTGCAACTCCAGATTATTATGGTAAGCCCATTACGGAAAGGTCTGGTTTGTTTTTGGGTGGGGTTTTTTTCATGAACATAAAGGTTTCCTTTTTTCCTTGTGCTTCCCTTCCCTAAACTATATTGATGCACTGTATATTTAATATAAGAGGTATTCTGTCTGAAGTGATTCTGATTTCCTTTATGGCACTTTGCAACTTTTCTGATGACTGAATTCATCTGGCCGTGTTCTGATACACACCTTGGTAAATGAGAACACGATGGCCCTCCCATCTTCCTAGAAATCAATACATGCTCAGTAGGCTGTCAATCCTATTCAGTGGCTACTTTAAATTTGTGAAGGGAGTAGATAAGGCATATCTTTTCTTCAGTGTTTCTTTTTACGTGGGACATAAACTCAAATTATTGTTTGCCAGTGACTGATAGTGCTCAACATGGTTGCGATACCCTCCTAGCTGTCTGATCAAGCTGCAACCATTTAGGTAAGAAAAAGTGTAATAGGGTAATTATAGTGGTTAGTTGGTAATGTGCCTTTTTATAAAATTGGGAGTTAACTACAAGTTCAGACTTAAATCTCTTCAAATGGCCATACAGGAATGGGTTTGGAGGAGGATATAGGTATATTGTCAAGAATTTTGCTCTTTCTAATTTTCCTGGACTTACAGTAGCACTGAAATTCTTGTCTCCTTATAATGATCATGAACTCACTATGACCCTTAGTGCTCAGTAAAGGAAGCCAGATGCTAGATTTATTGAAAAATGCTTGTTACAAAGGTATTGTGTTTTGTCCATTGAGGTGCATTGTAGTATTTGCATTTGAGATTCTGTTCACTGTGGGGTTATTTAACACAACACCATTGTCATGAACCTCGACTGCTCTAGCACATTTCTAATCACCAGCATATGTGCCTTCAATTTCCTTCAAATTTTGTGGTACTTGTTCACTGTCTGGAAACAGAATTTGTGATTTCCTTGTCACTATTTTTAGAGAAGTTCATGTGCCAACATAATAGTGCTATATATTCTATGAAAATGAAACAAGCTCCAAGCTAAACAGCTAGTACAGTGCAAAAAGATACTTTTTGAAAGGTCTAAAAAGCATTTTGCATATGTTGCATTAACTGAATCCAGCATCAGTCATGAACTCTGTCATTTTGATTATGTCTGTCTTTATACTATCAGTACATATGGGGTTTACTTAGCATCACAGCCAAAGTGCAATCCTTAAAAGGGAAAGACAGATCTGGCAGCAAACATCTACCATGGAAGAGCCTTACCATGACTTAAAATGCCAAATGAACTGTGAAATGCTGCAGTTGTAACATGGAAACCCACTATTATTTATTATTTAATTATAACTGTCTCCCACAGTTGATGCAACTGTCTTCAGCTCAAGTCCTACATCAGAAACAGATTCTTCAGGCAAACCAAGGTACCAAGGTAGGATTTTAATAGCTATGGCATTTTTATTTGGGGGAGTATATGAAGACTGACCTATATTGCATCAAAATTGTCTTCTTTGGTTATTTGAAAGCCAAAACTTCATTTGATTCTGTTCCACTTTAGTGTCAGATGAAAGGACTGTAGTGCAGACCATCAGCATATTCTTGACTAAATTCTACTTCTCATTCCAAGCTGTGCACATTCAGATAGTCTGGTAATATGGTAGTATACACTAGACTAGGTAACAAAGTAGTCAAGTTATTGCTGTTGCAGTAGACAGTTTAACAAGGTGAGATGACAGGATGAAATGCATTTGTACCAAAATATTTTTCAGGTTTTTTTTCTTGGTCTGGTAAGGGATATTGCATTTCTGAAGACACTGTCTTTCTTATCATAGCTTATTGTTTACATCCAATAGAAGTTTTAGTTTTAGAACGTATTTGCGTTCAGTAATCTTTTCCTAAATTTGATGTGGAGTACAAGATGTTTGTCTCAGAAGGTATGTTTCAAGGTTTAGTCCTGTACCACTGAAAATGGTTAGGATTTTGACAGTCACTTTAGACACTGCAAGTTTAATGGTGATATGACTCTGGACTAAACTTGTTCTCTTTCTGGTGAAACAAAGTAGTGATGGGTTTTACATCTTTGTATTAGCATAGGACTCAAAAGCTGCAAATGGAACTGTAATGTCATTTTATTATAGAAACTTACAGTTAATTGTCATATTTTATGACAGAAGTTAATTCTTTCAAACAGTGTGTATCACCTACTATTACTTTCAGAGTGATATTTCATCAGTGGTGCCAGTGGGAAGGGGGTGAAGGCAGTGTAGATTCCAGGTCTGGGAACAACAAAAAACTCAACAAGCAGCTTAACGTTGAATATATGAGTTTGATTCTTAGTTATTTTTGCTTAACTTTGATTTGTTGTGCAGATTTTTACTTGTGGCCATAAAATGGAAGTTGTGCAGTAAGTGCAATGGTACGGGCATTTTGTAAAACCACTCTGTATTCAATAACAGCTCTTTCCTATTGCTCCTAGCCCCCCACGTCAAGTACATGAAGAAAGATGATGATGTGCCCTGCTCTATCACAAGCTCTCTTGAACATTTTCCTCAAGAAGAACCTGGCAGCAAGGAAGAACCTACTCGTCCTCCACAGAATCCTCCAACCAACCTCACGGTGGTGACTGTTGAGGGCTGTCCAACTTTCGTCATATTGGACTGGGAAAAGCCAGACAATGACACTGTTACTGGTTGGTTTGATTTCTTTTCTCCATTGTATCAGAGTACAGTATTTCTGGCTTATTTTTACTGTCACAGTTTTATGCTATTTAAAAATACTTCAATCCCAAGGGATTCTTTCACCCTTACAGTCCTTTTATTTTGCACTGCTGTCAACTCCAGCATGGATAAGAAAGTGCTACTACATTAGCAACAACTGTACAGCTATGTAATTGGTGTCAGTGATGATGCAAAAAGATACTTAAGAAGTATGACTCTGCATCTTCTCTTAATTTCTGGCTTCTTTGTGTACAGGATCTGGTAAGATCTAGTCAAGAGTTCCAGCAATGTGACAGTAGTCTTTATTATATAGATGCATACACACAATGTAGACACCTTTCTTGGCATGAGGATGTTGTTGATTAGTGGGACAGACAAAATAAAACCTTACATCCTTTTAGTAAGGCAGTAGAACTCTGCCAACATAGTACTAGCTGTACCCACCATAGGGTCTACGAAGTTCTCAATGTTAAAAGAATCTGTTTGGATTTTTCATTTCCAAAGGAAGGTTTTTGTGTTGAGAATAAATCCTTGTGAGTCATGCAGGAATCAGTAGATAGACAGGTAAGCTTGCAAAATGATCATTGATAATTTTTCTGTCATCTTCTATCTATCAACACAAGCTTACCAAAATAGAACATTTAAATTAATTATCAACTGAACATTATAGTTCTTCTGTACTGTCAGGAAAATGACTTGTTTTTATCATGAACACAAAACTTTGATTTGCATAATCACTGGTTTATCACAGCCATGACTAACGAGATTTGGCTTGTGTTGCATTACAAGTGAGAAGAACAGATAAGACTAGTGAGGACCAAGACTTGATCATTAGCCATTGACATTTGGATGTAAGTGAGATGTTTTCAGGTGTTGTATATGCATGTTATGAGAGACTTCAGTGCAGGGGAATAATTAGGTGACTGTCACAAGCAAGGCCACTGTCTTCCCCAGATTACTCCTTCCTTGATTTTCTAGAAATAATTACTAGGTTTAGCCTCTATTCTTTATTGCTCTTCCCAACCATTTTGAAAAATAATAAATGCAAAACCAAAGGGACATTAAAAAAAAAAATTAGCCTGCACTTTTTTCTTCTGGGAAAGAGGAAGAAAGTTAGCCCTCTGCTGGATTAAGAAGGGAATAAAAAGAGACTGTAGGTTGATGAAAAGTACCAGCAAGAGAGAAGAATGATTGCCTGGCTTCACTTCCATGATGTGCTTCATCCTGGAAGAAAAAGAAGTGTGAGGTTATTGCTAACCTTAGAATTAGGCTGAGGATAGGCTCTCTGTGAACATTCCCCACTCCAGGCAGTTCTGCAATGCTTCTGTTTTTTTTCTGGGAAAAACCCGTTTGTTGCTGTTGTCATTTGGACAGACCAGTCCTTAGCTTGATTAGGTCAGATAAGGTCATTTAGTCTGCATGTTTTCTTGGAAGACCTGCTGTTTTTCTTAAGTATGTTAATGAACCCACTGCAGCACAACCATTCATCTTGCAAAAATAGAAAACCATTTCCGCTATAGTTGGTAAAACTGTCAGCCCACATGATCTAACGATGACAGCAAGGCATAATCACCTTCTGATACTATTTTCTTTCTTTTTCAATGTGACTTGTGAAATGTAGAGCAAGCAATGCTCACTGTTTCTTCTGGGACTTTAGGTGGAAACCCTTACTCTGTTCAGTTGTAATAAGCATTTCTGAAAATTAACTTTCCATGAAGTTTCTTCTCTTCTGTAAGACTATTCTGTGATAACTGAGACACCTGACATACCCTTCCCCATTCCAGAAAAAAAGATTAAACTCTTCAACAGAGTATGTGACCAATACTCATTTGGCTTCACTGAGTGAAACTTTAGTTTCAATCTAGCTATCTTCCTATCTAGATGTAACAGTTTTTCCAAAAATACCATCTTAATTCCTTTTAACTTCAATGTATAATACAGAAGATTGTGGCTTAGAAATACTCTCATTGAGCTTGTCTCCTTAACTTCAAAAAATTACTCAGTTAATGATTTATCCAAGGACACTTTCTGAATTCAAAAGAAGGCATTGAATCCCATTTTTTGAAAACAGTGATTACTTCATATTGGCACCGCTATGACATTACTTGTTTAGACAGACTTAAATCAAGTTTTCTGTCATCTCTTTTTATTTTTTTAGTTTTTACATGTTTTCTCAATCATCTGATTTAGGCATCACGTCTCATTTTTAACGCACTTTTTCAGATAGAACTGTGGAAACAGAAAATGCAATTTTTTGTGCCCCTTTTTTTAAAAGGTTACTTTACTTGACTTTTAGCTATGCACAAGGGGTTTCATCATATTGGATAGTCCTAAAAACAAATTCTACTTCAGTAATGGAAAGGTCTGACAAATAATAACCAAAACAGTGATCAAGCTTGTTTTCGTAAAGGCTGCGAATGTCAGGAACCAAGACCATTTTGTTGGTGCTCCACTACGCCTATTGTGTTGCCATAGAGATGTAGGGCAGTTTGTTGGCTTGTGCACTGAGTAAGGAGGGGGTACTGGACGCGCTCAGTAGTTCTTTGTGTGTGGGTGTGGGTGTGGGTGTATGCCCATTCTCACATGTGTTGTGTTTTCTTCTCCAACTTGAATGAACTAAAAAGTTCAAATCACGTATTGACTTGAGGCTGGCAGAAGGCAGAAAAATTGAAGTCCTGTCAAGTTACCTACCCATTCTCTATCTGGATGTACCTACCTAACTCAGTGGATATCCACCCTCTCTCTCATGCTTCCAAATAAACATAATTTCTCTAATGAGGCTTAATTAGGGCAAATAAGGGCTTTCTGTGTTTTTTTTTTTCTCCACAGTTCACTCAGCCCTTGGTGGCTATATAGGAAAAGGTTTATGTTTCCAAAGAAGAAAATGCATAAAGAGAAAACACAGATATGTTTTACACAAATACATACTAACTGATCAAGACATCAGTGCTGATGTCTTTGGTTATTGCATTGGGGTCCCACTTGAACAAATGGTCTAAATTAAAAGTCTTTTACATAATTATTTCCACCCCCCCAGCTCCTTCCATCTGAGATGCCCATTCCTGCAGGTTCATAAATTTGTTCTTAAAAAGCAATGGCTTGTCTTTTGCTGTTTATGGGTGACTCTTGTGGAGGAGGACTTCTGAACATGGAAATTTTGAAATCTTAAGTATCAGCAGTAATTCCTTCATACTTTTAAACTTATTTTAAAGTCTTATGATGCTCTGAATATGCTCTAAATAACCGATTCTATTACAAGGTAAAGATAAAAAGATGCTGTGTAGAGGTCCCTTTTGAAACTATTGCAGTAAATAATCTGAAATTCAGATGTACATACATGTATATAACTGCTCAAATTGAATTGCTGTAGTTTAGAAGCTTGGAATTGTAGAACATAATTTTTAAGGGCTTCTCTTGCACTTCCATTTAATTGCATTGTCTTACATAATTGACCCCAGCGGTTTTGATGGCTGCCTTTTGCATAGAAAAGTGCAAAGGAAGCACAATTGAGGTCAAAATCAGGTTAATTTGTGTGTGTATGCTCATTTACTTACACATCTCCTATATTTACTAGGAGTGAGGATCTTAGAATCCAGCAACAATTAAGAGAGGTTTTTTGCTTTTTAAAACTGTATCCCATTGCAAGTGTTTTATCTTTCTGTGTTGACAACAAACAACTCTCCTTGTATTGAGAACTAATAAATTTAGAAAAAAAAAGCCCTACACCTTGCTAGCATTTTCGTAAGAACTCAAAAATACATAGTATTATTAGATAGTAACAGGAAAGAAAGTAGTTTTCTAGAGGTTTTATAGCTGTTGATAGGTGGTCTCTGTCTTTGTCCTCACAGTATAATACTGCTTTATTCATTGTGCTGTAGATCTAAATGCTCATTGGAAATGTTATTTGAAAATACTCATCATTGCAAGCTTACAATTAGCAAAGCTGCACTTCGTATTATAGTCAGGTTTTAGGAAGGGAAAAGGAGGGGGCTGGGGAGGTTGTTGATTGCTTTGTAAGAAGGGGAAAGTTTGCAATATACACAGTCCCTTAGTTAGAAGAGGTTGCTATGAATCGGGACAGAGGATGCCTGCCAGAGAGACTGTATCTTGGACAGGGCTATGACTGAAGGGGTAGCTTCTTCCCAAACATCTGTTGCTAATTCCCTGTTCAAAGCATGGCTTGCGCTTGATGATACATCCCAGTGAGATGAAAAGAAAATAGTGAGACTCCATAAAATACAGAAATAAATTTATGCAAAATTATTTCATTGTAAACTGGCAGATTCCCTAAGTGCACAATCCAAGTTAGTTGGGCAGTTTCCTTTGGAAATATTAAATATATATGTCTTATTTTAAGTTAATCAAGGTTTAAGCATTTAGAAACTTTACTTTCATCTTTGACATTTTTTTATTCAAACTGCAGAATGCTTATATGTTTTTGTGTTTGGAATATTGTCACTAGTGTAGCTTTGGGCAGAGGTCAGATGTTGAGTGTGCTCTATCCCATAACTGAATGGAGGAGGAAGGATGAAGGGCTAGGCACTTGGCAATCTGGAATTGGATTTTTCTTTCATAACAATTTTTGCATACTAATGTCCAGACTGACATGTCTGGACATAAATGTCCAGAATGGACATTTAGCTACTAATGTCCAATGTTCACACAAGATGTCCTTACAGTAGACAGTAGGAGTGGAAATCAGATGAGAAAAGAGAGGGCAATGAAGAAGCTCAAGTAAGAGCTGTTATTTAAGCAAATGTCTCTTTACTATAATTTTCCAGAGTATGAGGTTGTGTCAACTGAAAATGGAGCAAGTGATGGTGAAAAGGAGAAATCGATTATCACTACAAATCAAACCCATTCTACTGTGGAAAACCTAAAACCTGACACAAGGTAATTAAATAAAATAATTTTCTAAGTTAATCCGACTAATTTAGACTGTCAGCTCTCTGCAACTTCAAATGAAAATACATATATATAAAAGACCAAATTGCTTTTACAACTGTTCTGATAGAAAAAAAAAGGTATGCTTTGGGTTTGCTTTCTTTTAAATTAACAGATAAGATATATCTGAGGAATCTTTAGGAAATTTCCAAGACTATATATGGTCTGGACAAACTGCAGAAGTGACCTGTTCTGTCAGAAAGATTAACAGTCAAATGTAAGAAAATGTTCTGTTTTTTATCAAAATAATCTCTTGAATTTGAAAGAAACAAAGTGAACACAAGAAAAAACACAAGAAACCTGATATGTGAGGTCAAGATTTACATGTACAGTTGTTTCTCTCTGGGGTTTAAGGATACTCAGGACAGATGACATAGGCTGCTTGCCTGTTTAGATGGATGTTCATTCAAATACTGGAATGCAAGTTAGGGCACTGTATGAAGCTTAATCATTGCATTACACCATGGAGAAGAAAGATACATTTGTCCTGTATATGTAGTTTTCTTTCATTGTCTCAAAACAGCTGGCAAGTTAAAAATGGTCAGAGAATTCCAGTTGATGGCGTACATCTCATGCAATTAGTCCAAATACACATCATCATTCTTTTAAAAAAAAATCTCATCAAAAATGATTCTTCTTTTTTTGTGGTAATATTCAGAGCAGGGAAGAAAACCACTTGTCCTGTGTTTGTGTTGCATATATTGATTGCATCAGAAAGTTAATGAATGACACATTTTTTTCCTGTAAGACTGTCCATTTGGCTTTGGTGAATGGATTTTTCTGATTCAGATAAACTACCCTTTCCTATTATTATCCTTAAATTGGTAACACAGCACAAAATTCTGCATAGAACCCATCTTGAACCTTTACTTTCAGGTAGTACATGGTTTAATCTGGGTGTTACTTTCTTAGCTCACATACTTGTGACCAGCAGCTGCTAGGAGGAGGAAAGAGGAACTATTGCAGAAAGTGGAGGGGAAGGGAAAAGAATTGGAAATGAAAGGCTGGGGGAAACTGTGACACCCAAAAAGAGCTTCATTTAGAGACTCCAAAGCTGTGATGGGGTAGAATTGCTGTGTATTGCACCAAGAATATATTTGTTATTTCTTAAAGGCAAATGACTTGTGCAAGGGTGAACAGCAAATATGTTGTTCTGTGTTGTAAAGAGGCAATTAGGATATGCTAGCGATACAACAAAGACCAGGCATTGGTTTCCTCAGTCTCTTCCTCAATCAGTTGAGAAAGCTTAGAAGAGACAGCAAAACTGTATTTCTGGAATAACAACTGAAGAAAGGCAGTAGGTGCTGCTAAATTTGTCATGCTGTGCTGTTTGTGTTTTCATCTCAGTTCTGCTTTGAAATAATACATTTGCATCCTTGAAAATAACTGTTTGTTATTAATGAGATTCTCTTCCATTATGCACTGAAACTCTTCATGTCACATACAGTGATATAAATGGGATTAATTTGGTTAAGCGTAAAAAAGACATGGAAACCTCAATGATGCTGAGGTCAATGTCCAGATGGCCAGAAAAGAAAGACATTTTTATACTGCTCTTTGTTCAGAAAGGAAGCAAGATGGAGGCAGGCAGACCCAGCTGGAACCATTGGAAAGGTCATAAGGAAGGTGGGCGCAATACAGAAGCAAATGAGATGGTTTTTTTAACTTCAATTTGTAATTCTGTCAATCCTATGAGATGACTTTCAGGTTTGGTAAGCAAGAGCAGATCAAAGACCATGGAGAAAAGCTGTCTTTTGGAGCTTGGATTTTGTTACAAGAAGCTACATATGAGATCAGTACTTACTGGTGGAGGCTGACAACATATAAAGGGATAACATTTCCCTGATGGGATGGTGGCTATTATCCCCGCCCTCCCCCCCCCAGTCTCACAAGGGAAAGACAGCGAAAGTCTTTCTGGTTTCAGGAGGCCACCACCTGAAACTGAAAATCTTTGATGTAAATTGCAGCGGTGCATGTCCCTTGATTCCCACAGGATTTAAAAGATGTAAAGTTCCTTCTCAGAGTGGCTCTGTTTGATTAAAGTCCCATTTCAAAATCTGTGTGTCCTAATTTTGAGGGCACCTTGAGAGCTTTGGCAAAAGCACAAGAAATTGTTACTGTTACCATTTGAATCCAGGCTTGTTGGCCGACAAAATTCAGGGAAAATAAGAAAGTTAATAAGACAACTGGTGTCACATAGACAGTATCAATGTTGCAAAGAATGGTATATGTCCATAATAAAATTCTCCTGTCTGTCAGGAGCAGATTACTCACTAGATGAAGAAAATGAACCTGTGCACAGAATTGACTGAAAATAGGGAGAGACAATGAAACACAGCTCAATAAATTAATTAGCAGAGTTCCTGAAATGTCTGCAAATTCATCAAGTAATACATTAAGACTGGGAAGCAGACTTTTACATAACTAGCCTTAAAGGAAAGAGCTGTAGAAGAGGTGGAGTTGGAAAAGAAACTTGGAAGAGAAAAAGAAATCCCTCTCACAAATGTTCAACATTTACAAAACTACCAGCAAGTATATGGAAAGAGAGATGCTCAGTAGCAGAAGGTGGATTAACTGGAGAAGAACCTCTTGGCCTTGAAATACTTCGGAGAAGCTGACAAGCTGAATTTGAGAGTCTGTTTTTTCCAGCTTTCCTGAAGTGAGGCTGTGTAAATCCCATATGCTGCTCTGAAGGTTCAGTACATCTAGAGCTGAAGACAGTTCAGGACGGATCTAAACCAGACAAACCTAAACAAAGATGTTCCAAAAGGAATAAAAATGTTTGTGAATGTGGTATCTCAGTCTCTATGGGTAAATTTAAACCAAAAAGATCCTATAGCAGCAAGACAGTTGAAGCCTGTAATTCTCCAGACGTATGCTCTTGAGGAGCAGTGCATGACAAAGGTGGTCTGCAGTCCCATTGCCCAAAGTCTATCATCCTGTTGATGTAAATTAGGGAGGATATGTTAGTGCCTGGCCCAAGAGCTAATGAGTTAATCACCCACACCCAGCAGGAGGGAAGCAAGACAAACAGCTCTTCAGCGTGAAGGGGGAAGAACAAGCAGCAGGGAAAAACTGGGTGCATCCAAGCCTGCCAGATCATGCTGTTTGTTTGCTTTTCTCTTTCACATTCTTCTTTTAGATAGGTCATACTGCTACACCTCTGGGAAGCTCTGCAGTAAGCCAGACACACGTCGTCTTTTGAGCTGGCCTTTTGACAAGGCAGCTTTTAAAGATTAGGAGCTAATGACCAGACTTGGAATATTTAAGAAGTTTGGACAGTGTTAGGGAGGCGGCAATGAGAGACTCTTACCGTCTCTCGTGAAAAATTGCATGTGTGACTGCAACTGTCAGTAAGTACAAACATAGAAGTTAAATGAGATACAAATTTCTCTGAATCAGAGGATTACCATGTAGTATTCTGTGTGTCCATTTAGCAGTCTGAAAAGTGACTAGATCCAGAAAAAAAAAATGCACTGGCTGAAAAAGAAAAGTTCTGACTTTCATTACAAATATCAAGTATTTGGTTATAACAGACTCATACCATGCTAATATAGAAATGAAAATGGACTTTCATAGGCATGCAACAACTTGTGAGGGTTACTTTTAAACAAAGTTGTATATATTATGGCAGTTTGTTTTGTCTCTTGTTTTTTCTTGTAATGTGTATGCCAGCTTTATGTGTTCTTTGCGACTTGATTGCAAGACATCTAGACTCTGAGATGAGAGTAAAATAGTGATTTGAAAATCTGTCTAACTGTGAGGACATACACCCTTTAAATGTGGGGCACAGTCAGCTTCTTTCCAACACATCTGCTTGATTTAATAAAAAAAAAAAAAAGAAGTTCTAAAGGCTCCCATACAATGTGATTTTGTTGGAGTGCTGAGATGGCTATGATTTTTGCCCTAGAAAAAGCACATTGTATCCTTGCTGTTCTCTCATGATAAGGCATGCCTGACAGTTTAAAATGTCACATTCATTTAAAGGATTTTTCCTTACAGGTTGAGTATATTCGCCTCTTTTTCACCTGGAGAATTGCCAGGTGTGGTGTTTGCAGAATTTCACTATCACGTCTTAGAAAACTTCTGACGGTTTTAAGTAACCTGGAAAGTTCAAATCTTGATATCCATTATTTGGTTGGTCAGAAACTGCTGCTGTTCCTGGCACTAACTGCTGTCTGGGTTCAATCTAAATTTCTCTTTCATTTCATCAGATATTTTGCTTTTGATTGTAACTTTCACCTGACATCTGTTACAGCATGTAGTGTGGTTATGCTGTGTGAGCTAGATAACTATACGTATCCTTCTTACACAGATAGTTATTTGGATGTAACTGGTGCCTGAAGAGGAAAACTTTCTCTTGTTTTATGAATGTCTTCTGCTTAAACATTTGTATTATAGATAAGCTTCTGTGACCTAATAATGATATATATAACTTTGTACTGTAGTTAGCTTTTGTTACCCTTCACATTATTTTTAGAGTAGATCCAGGTCACATTTCACTCAGCCCTCTTTTCAGTATCACACTTAAATGAATTTTCTGCAGTTTGTGTCATCTTTATCTTCCAATTAGTCCTTCACTTGTTAAATGAGTGAAACAGTGAAATGCCATTTATCCTTCTTCCTTCTAGTTAGTCTGAACCAAGCATTGAGCTGCTCAGTTTTCACTCTGTTGTTCAAGCAGTGAGAGTCTGTAACTACCGTGCTTGTTGATCAATCCTGAGCAACCTAATGTAGCTTTTAAGTTCACATTGTCATGAAAAGGGGCCTGGACCAGATGAATTTCATAGGTCCCTTCTGACCTAAATTAGTGTATGATTTTATCTTAGGCGTAGTTTCTGATCTTGTAAATCTCAACTTCGCCCATTTTCGTTAATGCAAGCCGAGGTGATTGTGTATGTTAATACAAATGTCATTCATTTCTTAGCAAAGGAAAAGGGGAGAAAGGG